CTCGATAAAATTGTTGATTTGAGGTTTGTTTGCTTTTACCAAAGTGGTTAATTAAATTCAATTGTTTTCGTTTCTTCCTTGAGCTTCTGATTAGCTCATATCTCTCCATACACAACCATCCCCGTGTTTCTGTTCAGTTTAGTTTTATTGAGTCTTCAGATTGCTCCAACACAATGATTATCTAACAGACTCTCTCCCTTTTTAGGTGTAAATTTTTAAAAAAAAAGTGATTTCCGATTTCATTCTGGAGTCATGTGAGACTTCAACACACTGCATGAAGTTTAACACAATATAAAGTGTGTTAAAAAATAAACCTGGCAACTAATCTGAGAAGTAATTACATTGAAATATATGCGACGCACGGATCAGTTCGGGCACGTGAAGAGAGCTGTAACCCCGTCACAATCCACAAAATCTGTTGGGATTATACAGCGTAACATCAAAGCAGCTAAACATTAAGAAATGAAGCAACTTTTGGTGACAGGGAAAGGCAGCAGTGACATGCAGCCTGTGTATTAATATCTCTCTCCCGGGCTTTTCTGTGAACAGAAGAGGCTCCTTATTGAGGAGATCCACTGTTTGCAAAGCGTATCCCCTCTGTTTCTGCAGGCCCTTCAGGGGCCGGAGCTGGCTGACAATGCCGGCCATTCTTAGCACTTTACTGCCCCAGATGACTGTGTCAGTGGCCCGCCGGCTGGTGACAGAGTCCCGTGACCAGCACTACACCCCAGCCCCAGCCCCAACGCCGACTCCAGCGCCAGCCGCGAACCAGCGCCGGCCTCAGACGTGGTCTCTATCTGCGGTCCCATCTCCTGGAAATTTGTACGGTCACGGCCACACTTTTCAATCCGGGACCAACTACGCCACGTAACATTAGGACTTATCATGGGCCCTGTGCCACGTAACACATGTGATGCATTAGATGCATTGATAGGATTCTCATTTACAATTAATTATTTAATTTGCCACATGTTGTTGATTAATTCAAGAACCGTGTTGTTTTTACCAGTGGCCCGAAGCCTAAAGATTTTGCATGTACCATCACAAATGACACAACATTGGGCATTAAATAAATAAAAAAAACTTTAAAGTTTAAATAAGTATCCACACTAAGTAGTTGCAGATGAAAAAGTAAATTTCGATCAAGTAATTGAATGAAAGAATGTTTAGCTAAGGCCGTTAGTATCCATGTGGATCACTCAAACATTTCTTATTTCATACTGCAAGTAAACTACAATGACCACAATGCATTGTAGACATTAAAGCATGGTGTCTCTCTTATCCCCAGAGGCCCATTAACTCAACACCATCAAGGGGAGGCTATGGTTCGTCACTCCAATATATTTTGGAGGTACATCATAAAAAATAAAAAAATCTGAATTTAAAAAAATCAAGTGCGTGTGGAGAGCCAGCAGGCTGTTGCAGCTAACCCGGCATCGGCGCCATCGCTGTCCCAGGACTCATTCGCACTGCAGGATTAAACCCCCCGCTGTACCGCTCAGCTGTTTCATAGCCTCATTTCATTTCAGTTACAATCTCACACTCCGGCTCCACCCAGTGTAGCTCTCCTCTGGCCCAGTAGCTGCTGCTGGATCCAGGCTTCCCACACAAACACCGGGGGAGCTCTACAACGGCCCAGGCGGCTTCTTACACCGAATAACAAACATCCACTACAGTAATAAATACCTTTGTGTATCAATTATGTCACAAATTGTGTCATATTTGCTGGGGGATTGCAACAACGCTTGCCACAGGAAGAAACGTTTTTAAAAAGCAGGATGCCTGGGAGTTCGAATTTGCGTGTGAAAAAGTGTTTGATTTTGCTGTCACATCCAAGGCATTGCAATGGAACGAGCCAGCCACAGCTGAAAATAGCTCATAATCAATCAACTGACAGACCCATATCTGTGCTCTTAAAACGTATAAATGTGCAATGCAGAGGGCGGATCGATGCATGACAGGATTCCACAAGCATCGATATGGACATGCTCTTTGGCATAACAAGCGCTTGCCATCGGCCCGTACTTATTTCCTGTGCCTCTGTCAAATGGGCCAGCCATAGTTAGGCCTGCTGGAAAAAGTGTAACAAGGTCTGTGAAGGACAACGCGGATGGAAAGGCAGAGGTATATAATCCGCCATCACAAAATCTAAATGCCACATATAGCTACATCTCACCAAGCGATCTTGTCTGGTGGTTTTTACCACAAAACTTCTGCCGTGCCGACGGTTAACAAGTAAGGAAGCGGCCTGCCGGTCGGTTTCTCCTATAAATAGTCCTGTGTTGGCCAATTTTCTCTTACATATACTCTGAATGATCTACGACATAACTACAACACAAGAATTTGAAAAGGTGAGCAGGTGTAGAGAAGAAAAGTGGAAGACAAAATAAGCGGGTCGGGTCGGTGCTAAGCTGAAAAGTAGCTTGCTATGAGAAGAGAAGGGACGAGCTAGCAGATAGACCCCGAAAAACAACACAAAAACACAACCGCCATTCTCCAAACATGACAAGTTTGTTTCAATACAGCCCGAGTCCACAGTTATGACCTCTGCCCCCTTCCTTTCAATCCAGTCGGCTCCTAAAGCCTTCTGGCAGTGTTTCACTACTTCTAGGGTAGTCGCTGACAACAGTTAATGTATTTCAGTGGTCATAACAACAGTAGGTGCGTGTGTGTGTGTGTGTGTGTGTGTGCGTGAGGGCGTTTACACACAGCCAGGTCTGCTTCTATGAAGCATAGAGGATCTATGGAGGCCCTCCGTCCACATAGTTCATACAGATGTTAAAACTAAGAGGGGAAGTAAGTGAGCGGCCACGCACTGACAAATTCCAGACCTCAATCCAACACACTGACAATAGAGGCGTATTGCAATGAGACTGCAAAGTGAGATTTCAAAATCAATTTGAAATGTGAACACTGAGGTTTCCTTCTCCAAAGAGCGTGGAAGGAATTGGGACTGACTTATTATATTCCAAGGGGAATTCTTAGTAGACTCATTGCACTACATCACATGTACGCGCTCTTGTTTAGAAATGGAAAATCAGTTGGTACCAAAACACAACAACTGTCACTCAGCTGAACTCCCTTTAAAAAAGGACAAATGACCATCACCCTCATAATTATTGACCCCATCGCTGCGGACTGAAAACTCAACTTTTAGCCCTTGTAGACTAGACAAAATGAAGCTGTAACTTATTATAATGTTTTATCGCCTTTATCACACCAGTAAAACAGATTTGTTAGCTTGATGATGATTTATTGGCCAAACATACAACTGCTCACCCGCTCTTAACCAATAAGGAGCAGCAACGTAACAGCCTGAGAGACAGCGACAGGAGGACAGCCAGGAGGGCCGTGGAGACAGGTAATCAAAGAATGAATGATTTTTAAGAGAACGAGGTTGGGATCAGAGATGGCAATTGTGAGAGCAAACTAATTAAGCATCAGAGTAAATCTGTTATAACTTTCCAGGAAAAAAGGGGAATGGGCTGGCTGTAACACGGCCAGAAAGCGTATCCAGCCAGTTCAAAACCAATACATGCACTCAGAGACCAAAGCATTTAAATACTGTATGCGTCCCACTGTCTGCGTTCCACTCTGTTAATGTTTACTGGTGTCACAGGACAGCAGTATTCTCTGTGCTTCAGCTAGTTGCAAGCCTCAGTGGTTTCAGTTATTACAATATGGAATATTCTTCCTTATTTCAACAGTCAGAAGCGCATTGCATTGACTGAGTTGTGGGGACATTAAGAAAGAAGATGTTAAGTGTGGTTGATACCAGGATATTACGTGGTGTCATGCTACTGAAATATGGACTCAAATAAACACAAGATGCTTTTTTTTTTGCATATAATGCCGTCGTACTGCACACAGACTGACTCGGAGCAGCAGAGACAAACACAGGCTTTGGACTGTAACGGCTCCACCTTACAGATTCATGTGACTCCTCCAACCACCACCTGACTATCTCTCTCCTTTCTATGGAAGCTGCTTTCAGGCAGGGCAATCAGGGGAAGACTTGACCCGAAGTCAAATTTATGTTCAAGAAATGGAAGATATCCCCGAGCAGAGTACAGAGACTGTTTGTCTACGTGCTACTCCACCTTTGAAAGATCTCAACACCACGTCTGCGTAACACGGGCTCACAGATCGCTGACAACAAGACAGTATCTCCAGTCGCTGATAAAGCGTTCCTTTGACAGAACCCTGAGAGATAAAGGGGAGCCAAACCGTGGACGAAAGAAGGATCAACTTCCAGTGGGCTGCACGCCTGAGCCTCTACCTTCTACATGCCCTCATATTTAAATGTGAATCCAGAGGTGAGTCAGAGAGGAAGTCGAAAGGAGAGCACCGTAATCGGTGAGTCACTTTGCATATCCAAACTTCCTTTTACTGGCAAGTCAGGGGCCCTCTGTTGTGTGTTACCAGCACCCTATGGTGGCCCAGGGTGAAGATGGAGCCTCATACAATCTGGGGCACCGTGCAACGAGGCATCAGTTTCAGCGCCTTGCCACACTGCAGTTATCAGTATTTCCTAACACACAGTATCTGGAGTACCATTGTAAAACTCTATACAGATTGTAACCAAAATCAAACCATGACCCACATAGCTTTGGAACAGCCTTAGCGACACTGCAATGGAGTCGCTCAACTCCACACGCAGGTTGTCACTGTCAGCAACACTACTTTGATTACAGCATTATTAAAGCTTTATAAATACGGTTACATCAATACAATGCCAGCGATTACAGCGCGGTCATGAGGAGATATTTGTATCAATTTCAGAAAGGACAAATACAACCGCTGCTTGCCACGCCAAGAGTAAACACATGTCAGCCGCAGTCATATAGGACATGGCACCATCACACCTCACACACACACAGAGCAGGGCAGGAGGGCATGGGAGGGGGGGGGGTTAAAAAGCTCACTTTTCTTGATAACAATATTGTGTGATGTGTGAGGGGCCAAAGCTTAAAAATCAAACTTTAAATGTTTGGACTCACTATTGTGCACAGTCGATGAGCTGGTACTCGTTGGACCTCTCAAAGCACGCCTTCACTCCTTCGTCGTCCCACAGCTTCTTTGCATGATCAAAGAACTCCTGAAGAAGAAGAAAAACTTTTGAGAAACAGACAATAAAAAGGTATATTGACAGATCAAGATGGGAAGGCAGAGTGCTTGGAATGAATTGACATTGATTGATGCTGTTGAGGCACCACTGTGAGCTTTATAATTAACCATGATAAAGAAAGATTCATTCTTTCCATTAAAGAAAGTCTACTTTTTTCTACTATGCATTTAAGGAACTGCGTTGAGTAACTGCAGACATGTGTTTAGAAAATGGGACACCAGAGACCAAAGGAAATTACACATTATCTATGTATTCATATAGAGAACTACTCAGTTACACACATTTCATCTAAATGTACACACATGTGCCCATCACAACCACTGTCCTCTACTGTTGCTGTGTAACCAAAGCTCTGGGTGCCAAAGACAGTCATCATCAGTATGGGCCAAGAGTAGAATATCTTATTTTACGGACGTAGCTCTTCTTTGGGGGGAAACACGCATACTTTTTTCCAATAGAATCTTCATGTCTGCATAATTCAAACGCAGCTGGAGTAGGGATGCGATAAGCCTAGCTTAGCATACAGAGCGGAAGCAGGAGGAAACAGCCAGCCTGAGTCGGACTGAAACAAAAAAAAAAAAAAAACATCACAGCCTGGGACGGTCACTGTGGGCCACTTCCCAGCGTCTTGATGTCAAAATGAACCAGCATATCGTTACATCAACGGTGTAAGAATACAAAAACCTGCCCTCACAGACCCAATACAGCAATCTGATCTACGGCCAGGGAGGCTGAACAAGCATGCTGGTGGATATACTAAAGAAATGTTATGTAGTTCTGCCTAAAAAGAATAAAAAATAAATAAAATCATAAATGGTCATATATATGCCCTTCAGTGTTGGGCATGTTTCTAACGTATTGCCTTACAGAGGAAAAGAGTCACATCTAACTTAATGTGATATCTTTCCAATTTTCCAAGGACAGCACGGCAACAGTGTAAAAAGTATTTGAATGTGGAAACAGAAGTAGAGATTTTATCTTTCCAAATATTTACAAAAAAGCTATTTGCAGTAGCGGAGGCTGCTGACTCGAGTTCTCACTTCCTTGATACACAACTGAATTTAAGCTGACAACTTTCTCACAAGATGCTGTCTGAACTGTAACTTTAAAAGGAACGGAACGGTTGTACTTTGCAGCCATAAATTAAAAGTGAACAGATAAACCCTAGTTACATTACACCTCCCAACATTTGGGGTTTTCTCCAGTCAGTCAGAGCTCTATGAAGGGCGCTCATCTCATAAATGACTTTTTCCCAGGACCCTCTGAACGCCCTCAACAGGAGATGGTTGGGCTAATATCCCCCGTCGCCTCCTGTGCTCATGTCTTTCAGATGGAGCGGCTCCTCCTCCAGCCAGGAACCACCACATGACTCTCTGTACTCAGCACTGGCTCCGCGCTCTGACCGGCGAGAGGGTGAAAGTAGCCCCGAACCAGAGGGAGCCTGATAAATGATCACATGCTCCTGGAGATCTCCTCTCGGGCGGATCCCGTGATTAAGTTCAACATGGACGCTCCACTGAAGTCTCACAGAGAGAGAGAGACTTTGATATTGTTTTTTGTTACAGATAAATATAGACTCACACTTCAGGCACGGATGTGGTCATGTTAGGTGTGTTTAGGTACATTTCAGCAAAGTATTCCACGTCAAACGATTACTCTCAATTTTACAGCCATGGATCGGTTTTGAATGTACCTGCTTAACGTCTTAAAGTCTTAATTCAAAAAAAAGAAAAACGAAGCCATATCTGCGTTGTAGCTCGTATATGCTTCCACTTCTTACAGTCAAACTTACACGACCACCTCCACTAACCCCAATAAGGTCCAACGGCACCGAGAACAATTGGTTCTGTGGGGCTCGACGGGCTCAAAAACCCAAAGAAGAGCCCGGCGAAGCTACCAAGCGTTGGTACTGGATGGAAGACGGAAAAGGGGTGGAGGGTGGAAAGGGGCGGAGGAGGGTGGAAAGGGGCAGAGTATGGTCCTCGGGGCTCTTTTCCACAGAGGCGTGTGACACTGGGCCTTTGAATAAATGCAGTGTGTGCTGCAGTGCCCTACAGAGGAACTGATAACACAGAAAGAGTCCAGGAGGGAATTTTTCTTTAACATAGGCTTTTTCAAACTGCCCCGCCGCCCTCCTTCCACTACCCCTCCATCAACAAATACGCATTCTCTGGTGGCTCTGATAAGGCCAATTCGCAGTTCTTCCCCTAGTTTCAACGGTAATCAAGTTATTTGTGATGTAATATTTCTCTTCAATCATGTAGCTCGGTCTGACACAGGAAACAAAATGACCTAAATCGGATTTTACTTAGCGGAACAAAGTTGCGGAGCGAATGGTTTGCGTCACCCGGCGCGAGGGGACACTGGAATTCCTTTGGGTAAAGTTTTCATGAGACATTTGGTCAAAATGTACAGCCACAAATTCCCTCCATTTGCCTCAGCTGTCCATCAACACGGCATTTATTGGATTGGAATAAGATACCCGTCTTAGATGGTCACCAAGCACAGAAACAGATCCCACTGTTGTTGCTTGTAGAGTAAAAGGAGTATACAAAATCTTTTAAAAGAGCGCAAAAAGGACAATTAGATAAAGAGAAACTGGTCATCTTTCATAACACAGTTCCAAAAGCGGAGCAGCCCTTTGCACCACCCTTTGGCCCACATCTGGGCTCCTCAGTCAATCAATTTAGGGAAAAACAAACCTCCAGGACTGAGACTGTTCATCGTATTCATCTAAGGTTACAGCACGTGTATTAAACTTGTGCAGAAGTTTAAACACAAACACAGAACTAGTTAAACAAAAGATTGGGGATGAACATAATATAAAGCTCACCTTCCACAACCAACCGTCACTCACAAGACAAAGGTTGTTTTTGGTTTTGTAAGTGCATAGAAGTAACATTACCAGGTCTCGAGTGGTGCTCAATCGTTACAGTGACCATCTACTTCTAGCATCGAAAATACAGGACCTCACGTGGGCATGACCATGCCTGATGGGAGAGAAGGCTACACGGTGTAAAAAAAACGACAACAAAAAACAGGCACTCATTTGAATTTGTTCCACTTCAGGCGACGGACGGGCGGCTAGCATCGCTTCCACGGTGGCATTTGTTTCCATTTGCATAGAAGACCGTTCAGTGCTTTCCTTTCCATGGGCCTACTGTTATCCCAAACCACTACGGCTTCACCCCCAAAAAAGGATGCTTTTGTGATAGTGTACAGGCCAGAAACATCAAGTACTAAACAGTACTTGAGGGAAATTGTAGCCAATGCTTCCAGGCCCATGTTCCACATACTAGTGTGACAAAGGTATGTCAGATATACAAGGCTGACATACAGGAACCATAGGGAGGAGAAATCCATCACGTAGTCACGTAGGAGAGACAACAACATCTCCAGCAAACGTTCCTTTATAAGACCATGATGCAATGCAGCCTTAGTTCTATTTGTCGCCTTTCTGTTTGACAAAACCAGACGCAGCACAACCAAACATTGTTCTCTGGCTCACTTTTCGCACAGCTATGGGATCACGCCACATTAAAATGCCCAATAAACCTATATAATTTGATAGGCAAACCTGTAATGTCAAATCACTACAGCAAAAAGCAACAACTGTAAAAACAACATGAGGGCGAGTACACAAAACCGCCATGAAAGAAGGTTGAGAACACAGCAGATTTTTTTTGAAAAGTTGTTTTGACGTCCTAAGAGTTGAACCACAGTATCCCAGAGTAGAAGAAGGCTTGATCTTTTTCACAATGCCTGATGAACTTTTCTTTCTTTCTTTCTTTCTTTCTTGAAAGTACAGAGCAGACTTGATTAAATTGGTTTCGGTAAATGTTCCCAGCAAAAGAAGCTTTGAACAGGCAGGACTTTTTTTTTTTTGAGAGAGAGGCAGCTCATAAAAGCGAGTTCAATGACTCATCTCCATGGTCACCACAATGCAGTTAAGCATTTCAGTGATGTGTTAAGACTTTCATATAGTCTCAGTAAGGTACGTCATATGACAAGGTCATCTTGAAAGTGATGACTGTACTGAGAAAATTAGCACCAATACCATTGGTTTGATCATTTAGAAGTTGCTTGAGAAAGTTCTGGAATCTTGGTCAGAAACAACAAGACGTCTGAAGATATCACCCTGGACTCTGCGGTGGAACCAGTTTGAGATGAATCTCTCACGTCGGGGAAATGTCAGATGTTGAAGACTATTTGCCGACTTCTTCTTCCCGTCCGCAGCAATAACATATCACGAAACAAGTGCACTGAAAATCATGTTTATCAAAAGAAAGTTCCCTTTTAAAATTTCTGAACCCTTTTCACCGGGACTTCATCTCTCCAAAGGTTTCCAGGTAAAACATATCTCCACATTTCACAATAGGCGCCAACAAGTGAGAGCCACAGGTCACCGATTGGCAGTGTTCCTGCGCTGCTGTATTGGATGTCATGCCCGGTGGCACTACGTGACAATGTAGTGGTGACACTGACGGCACTAGTGAAGCCTGAGACTGATGACAAGCACAGACACTCCAAACAGAGCCATGTTGTTCCCTTCGGTGTGGCCCGGGCCTGGGAACTCAACGCCGGCACTCCCAATGGCCCCGGCCCTCAAACAGCACAACACACAACATCACAGGCTACCGCTGCCCTGCTAACGCTCACTGTGGGCTCCATCAGGAAATCAACACCCAAATCCCTTTAATGGATATTCTTAAGATGTAGAGTTAAATAAAAGGTGCCGAGGGGGGGGAAGCTGGGAGAGAAAACTAAACAGTGAGCACAAGGCCTGCACATTAGCCAGATTTCGGGGTCTTGTTGTGAAACTCATATGCTAGAATTTATTTAATACTTAAAATACATGCGAAATTGATTCCTCTATTGCATCTTATCAATACGGTGCAATAACTGCACATTTGATCAAATATTGTACAAAGATAAAAAAAAGGGTGGGTTGAGAGTAATTTATTTTTATTGACAATTAATGTCAAATAAAGACGTGGCAAACCACATAACTAGCAACTGGGGAAGCTTTGGCATCAATAGACAATACATTGATTTAAAAGATCAATACACAAAAAGGATACTAACCCCCGTGCTGAATAAATACACAATAGCATGTTTGTACTTATCTTATTAAACCCGTAAGCTTATCAGAACCCCCCAAAAAATGGATTTGAAACCTTTGATCTATAGCTCGGTCATTCCTGTTGCACAGAGCTAGACGGCCGGCGTGAAACAAGGAACACTTTCAAAACTATGTAAAACATTATCTACATTTCCAACACCAGATCTAGTGCTACCGCTGTGCTCCACCTTAGCATTTAAATCCACACACAGAACATCTGCTCCAACTAAAAAGGCAACATTTTACCTGAATAAACTACTGTTGATAGTTGTTGTTTTTTTTTTTTAAAAGACCCCCACTACGTCACGTAGGGAGTAAATTAAAAGGAGAGGCTACATTAAGTCTGTTGTGGAATCACATCTGACGTCCCACCGCTTCAACAGCAAGATATACATAGTTGGCCATAAAAACAGCGAATGCTCTCATCACATAACATCCAACACCCACACAAACACAGAAGCATTTTTGAAAGACAAAAAGCATGTAGTATCCCAGTCGCTCTCTCTCTCAGTTATTCATATCTGCACACAAACCTTATGAATGTCTTACCTGTGAGTAGTCAAAGTCGGAGAGAGGTGCTATGCTTTTGATGTATTCGATTCTGAATTGGTCCTCTGGGTTGGCTAGCGGGACAGGAGGTATTAAAGTGCTCATTGCAGACACTATAGTCTACAAAGCAGAAGTTGTGAGGAGGGCGTGGGAGGGGGACAACAAAAAAAACAAGCATTAAGCATGATGAATACAGGAAAATAATCTAATAATCTAATCGTAAGCCTGTATAAGACTAATAATCATCAGTAAAATGGGAATTGCAGTGGGTGTTACAACAGGGACATCGAGCACATTTAGGAGGCAATGAAACTCACCACTATGGCATCCTTCACGTTTTTCCGAATATCTTGGATTTTCTGTTTCTTTTCTCTGTATGGAGACAGAATGGATGTGTTGGGCAGCCGTTACAAAACCATCTAGCACAGAAGACCACAAATGATTTATCCTCAAGTTGGTTATGATTAGGATGGGGGTTACAGCCAGGTCAGCCTGTATTCTTAATACAATGATACATACAGTACAAGTGTCAAGGCTACGAGTATGTACCAGGCTGCAGGCAAATGTCAAAGTTAAATGACAACATTGCTTGTGGTCATGGATTTCCTCATTTTTTAATCTTAAAAGATTTGAGCTCCCTAATCACGAATAAAAAGATAATTTACCCTTCTGCACACGTACGATTGTCGTACAGTTGCAGGACTCTTGACATGTACTGGGCCCGTTTAAAATAGACCACTGGTGAAATCGATGCTATGCGAGGCCTTGCAGCAAAACAAATCATCAATAGGCCTGTGTCGATCACAACCTTTCACCCTCTCACATGAAACAGGAAACGGGGGATCGCCGGGCTTCTTTATGACACTGAAATCCTCACATATGTATGATAACTGTACATGTACACGGGAGAGGAGGGAGGCGGGGGGGATATTAGCTGCTGCTTTGCATGGGATACTGGGCCCGACAGGCGCTGCAGTGCCTGGGGAAAATCCATTCACAGGCTATTCTCCGGCCCTCGGTTAGTGTTATTCACTGGGAGGGGGAAGCCGTACGAATAAGCAAACGGCATCACTGTCGACACGTTAACGTAGCCATTTAATAACCGTATCGAGCCAGCACTCACTCCGCGTTGAAGCCGTTGACGTGTAGAATCTTCATCTGCTTCACAATGGTGCTTTTTCCGGACTCTCCCGCACCTTCGAGAGAGAAAAAAAAAACAGACCCCCCCCACCAAGAAAAAAGAGAGATACATTAAAATACCACCAAAATGAAGGCGAACGGGGGGCGTACAGGTTAGCGTGAGAACCGCGGATGTTTTAGGAACCGAGCCGGTTTAATTCTTTGCTCCGCTTCCATCAACATCCACCCCCATGACATATTATCGCAAGCGCTGTCAAATGGGGCTACGTGTTCGCTAAACGAAAGGGATTACTGTTAGCTTACATTTCAGACCAGCCGTCACGTTCAAATCAACCTTACCAAGCAATAGCAGCCTGTGCGTGGCTTTGTACGCCTGCCTTTCCTTTTGCAGCTGCTTTTCGATCTTTTTATTAGCCTCTCGTTGTGCCTTTTCGTCGATGCGTTGATCTTCAGTCTTGCTGTTGCCCAAACAACCCATCTTCCGTCGCCCAAGCCCCTTCCTTGTGGAATCGTTAAAAAATATATGTATAAAATAAACACCCGGGGTGGGGATTTTTTTGTGGTTTGGGGGGGAAAAAACACAGCAATGAGTCTGCTGTAAAATAAAAATAAAAAAATTAAAAAGGAAGAAACAAAATGAGAAAATCTCTGCGAGGCTTCTCCGTCGGAGGGAGGAATACGTTTCCCCGATGCAATTCCGCTTTAGCCGCAGCCAACCGTCATCCAAACCGTCCGTTATCTTACAAACCGACGGGGAATAACGACTCGGTTCCACAAAGATATATCAAAAATACATATAAATAAGGAGAGAGAGAGAGGGTTTTCAATTTCTGGTAATCCAGTCAACTGTTCCTATCGCGTCTCCAAACCCCTCTCTTCTCTCAGTATTTTTTTTTCTATCTGAATTTCTATCAGTTTTTCTGTCTCTTTAACTCAGCACTGCCTCTCTCTGTGGCACCAGGAAGTAACCGTGGAACCGTGGAGGTGGTGGAAAACAAACCTGCGTTAAACTGAAACATTAACGACCCGCGCTGATAGAGCATTTTATAACTCGTGTGGAAGAGAAAAAAAAGGGAGACGAGCCGTTCACCGGGGTTTTTAGTCCGTCCGCTATCTTGCTATCAAACTACTCGGCCAAAAAGGGGTGGAAACCCGGACGCCTCTCTCTCTCTCTCTCTCTCTCTCTCTCTCTCTCTCTCTCCACCTCTCTCTCTCTCTCTCTCTCTCTCTCTATTTGCTGGTTCCAAAGAGGCTGGGTCTCTTCTTCTTCTTCTTCGTCGTCTTCTTCTACGTCTTCTTCTTCTTCTTCTTCTTCTTCTTCTTCTACGTGTAGGCTTCCAGTCAGTGCGGCGGCCCGGACACAAACTGGCGACCCGTTTGGTGTTTAGTGTGTGAGCACCGGGCTTTTTTTTCAGCTGGGGGCCATCGTTGTAGTCTTTGAGCGAATTAGGACTACTGGTGGTGGAGGAAGTGCACGGAGCCTTCACTTCACACGTCCACAAAAATGGACTTGAAGTACACTACTATAGAAAATGGCCCCTTTCGGATGTATATACTGCATTATTATACATGTACGTGTACATATTATTATATATTAATAAGCCAATACTGACCTGGAGAGTAATAAAGTGCCTTCACTACAATTTTGTGACACTTTTACTTTATTCATTGCAGGCCTGGGGCCCATCATTGTAGTCCTCTAATTTTTAGCATATTAGTTACTTTGCAAAATCAATGTTGGAGTTTTATTATAGATTAAATTCCCCAGTGGTATTTACGACGCCCACAATTAGCTCCACATTTACGGAATTAAAGTTCAGTCAATGATTAGAATCCAATTGTTTGTACATTATACTGGCCTTCATAGTAATCTCTGAGAGATTGATGACTACTAGTGCAGAGAGAAATACCCAGTGGTGGATGAAGAACTCAGATCTGATATTTTAGAATACGCAGCAACACCACAGTGTAGAAATACTATAGTTATGCACTAAACATATTACTTATGTTAAAGTACAACAGTATTAGCATCAAAATAAACTTCAAATACCAAAAATCACAATTGTCACTATGAAAAATCAGTCTTTCGGCTGGTACGGGTGGTGCCCAGGGTGGAATGAAAGTGCAATACAGGCTTCTGAACTATGGCAAGTAGAAGTATGAGTCCATTTTGAGATTTTGAGTCTAAAGTTTTCTCCCAGACTTAACAAAAAAACATGATCAATTCATGAAATATGATGCACTGTTATAGTAAACTATCTAGCAGTACATAAAGAAGTTTAAATAAGTTTCACTTTGATCAGCTACCTCAGTGAATTGCTTATTACGCGTTAATGCGTCAGAACCATCCAATAATATGTGCACGAATACTGTCCCATTTGATACTTTGAGTACATTTTGTTGAGTATTTTTGCATTACAATGCTTACTTGATTAAAATATATTTCCCTCCCACCGCAGGTAAGAAAGTAATTGTTAATCAAGAAGAGTCCCAATGGTTATGTGCCAGTCATAATGTATGTATGTAGCCTTAAGCAAGATGTAAGAGCCTCCCTAAACTAGCAGGCAATTTTGACGCACTGGCCAAAGTGTAAAGATCATTTCCAATCCCTATATGTAAAATATAGGAACTATAGATTTGTATTACTATTTTACTTATTTTAATATTGTTGTCATCCCCTTAAACATAAAAATTACATTCAATGTGATTATTTCACTACACAGTCATCAACAAACTACCCAACCGGGAGTAAAAAAGTATCATAGTAATGCCTATGACCACATAAAACATATAATATCAATCTGGATGATTTCTTGAGTAGACATTTGATATACCTCACTTTTGACAACTTTTCCCGTTTTATAAGATATAATTGCTTAGTGCCAAAACATCTCACGTCAATTTTTCTGAAAGTGTATTATTTGTCTTAACTAATGTCTTCACCAATGTATGTGTTTGTAAGTGTGGCTTAACCGTAACCAACAACTGCAATTTACATGTACACCAGCATTATCTTATTTGTAGGGAACAATAAGCGATACATTGCCAATATTGATGTAAATATGTGTGAGACAAAGAATAAATTGACTTGAAAGCCACAGTCTTGAATTGAGGTCAGGAAAAACATTTACGAGTATGAGCGTGCCGTACTTTGCATTTATCATTAATCCTCATAGATCACTCAAACGCATGAGGCATCCGTCAATGACTATTTTTGTACCATGTAACAAGGACTGTGCTGTTATTGTCTCCATTATGCAAACAAAATGCAAATACTGGGGTCATGTAGCGAAATGAGTGCAACAAAGTTGTGTGGCATGCAAATCACGACCGGAACACTTACTAAATAGTACAATCCCCTCCCTCGACCCCCCTCCACACCACACGCTCATCAAAAATAATTCCCAAAAGTCCTGTCTCCCCACTTCAGGAAGCAAGGTCAACACAAGCGAGTGGCCCACATCACTCTCTAGTGGTCAAAGGCAGCAACGCATTCAGCCCCCTTTGAATGATTCACAATTTTTGTTGCATAAATTACCTTCCTTTTTAGGAAGTACCGTCATATATGTATGTTTAGCTTGCTGTGGCTTCCTCCCAACGAGACTAAAAAGGGTCTGTGTGTTTTTTTAAGGATGGTTAAGGTTTATTTGATTTCAAATTCATCTGATAATCAGGACGAAAGTTTTCAGGCCCTTTGCTAAAGTAAACACAGCAGCACTACACTCTAAAAATACTCTATTGCAAAAAATTCTATTTTCAAAGTCTGACAAAGATGTTTTAACTGTTTTCAGATTGAAATTACACCTGTAGGGCTACTATAGACACCCTTAACAATAGCTGCTCATCAATGATCAACCCGACAATACAGTTTATTTTTGGAGGCTTTGCAAAAATATTGCACTTACATAGTATTATTAAAATATTTTCTGGCTGTGTTGCAATACACCTTATGCAGTATCTGACACTTAAAAAGGCGTGTTTTTTTAGTAATAAATCTTCCATGCATATCACAAGCCCCATTCAATTCAAAGCATTTACTGTAAAAACAAGGCATGGCTCCAAATGAAATCCTACTAAAACAGCCACCCTGAATTATTTTACAATGCTTGAGAGAACTTTATAGCACTCTCTTAAGGTGCAGACAATCTTGATAAAGTCAAAACTATACACAAGGCGAATCATGGGGAACAATCCCAGTCCAATGTCCTCCTGCTGCGGTGTGGTCCACTATGATTCAGCCGCTATCAGCATCATAAATATGACAATAATTCATACGCCGGCATGACCTGTTGGTCATTACATTAACTGGGAACACAGTTTGTAGCAAAGTTCACCAATGGTCAATGATAAAACCCGTTTAGACTCAAGCAAAGTTCACCTTACTCTGTTGGTATTTAAAGGGGAGGGGCCACATAGGGCCAATCCGTTTTGGTGAGCGAGTTTTTCCAAACTACGGCTTATTGCACACACACAATAAAGGACACAGACAGATCAGTGACTTGCTATTTGTTGGCCTGCCTGCCTCAGCTCAGTCATCGCTCCTCTTGAGTGCTACATTGCTGGTGTTCATGCTCATGAAGGCTGATAAGGCTGAGATATGAAACAGCAAGTTAAGGACATCTAAGAGTCGTTAGAAATATTATCTCAGGGCTGTGCAGAATGGGATCCAGGAGACTTAACAATAGTGACTTTATTTCCAGGAAATAATCGCAGCTCGTCCTTCAGTTTCTATCACTGTATTCCCATACAGAAGTGTAAAGATTCCTATGAAAAGAAAAGTTGGATTTTCTGAATTGTTCTCTGTCATAACTGTTTTATTGACTTTTGTAAGTGTTTTTTTTTTAGAAAACAGTCCTGTCTTCAAATGGCACACGGTTTCATAAGAGAAGTATTGGTTATGTTAAAATCCGGTGGTACCTTTCATAACAATAAAAACATGTACAACATGTAGTACGTGTGCATGACTTCCCATGTCTAAAACACAAACTTACAAAGTTGTATACGAAGGCTGATTTGTTCATTTGTAATTGTATAGTTGTACTGATTTATGTATTACAATAAAAACGTTATATTTCTATCTATTGTTAAACTGATTCATCAATTGCAGTGAGAAATAGCCCCCTCACAATTTCCCCCAAAAGCAAATATATGTGTTTATTGGAGGAGCTGTAACCAGGGACTTTAATACATTTGCTTTAATATGACTTAACTGAATGTGAAAATATCCTACAGATAAACTAATGGCGTCATTTCAACTTGATAAATACAAAAAAAACACACACAGAGCCATGTACTATTAAAGTACATGTGAAAATACTGTCACACCCTAATTTACAGAATAAATCACTTTCCTTTGAACTTTGATTTATAAAGCCTCCTTTTGGCTGCATCCCTGCACCTAATTAGTATTCAGTCAGTTAGTCCAATGAACCACTACACTTTATGTGTATGAAAACAGACCTATTGCAGTGAGACAATTATGATCCATAATAATGCGTTACTTTATAGAGGAAACTAACCAGAATTTGAGAGCTGAAATGCGTCATTATTCGTTTATAAAATGTATATGACTCAAACGGATGGATTTGGGCTCCAGCACAAGTTGAACATGGCAGCTCGTAGAGGATAAACATTAGCTCCTTATGGCTATCATTATTCCACCAAATACCTGCAGCAAATACAAACAGATAAAGTGACCCAGATTAGCCAGCATACGTTGCCTTGAAATGCAACACTATTTGAAAGGTGTCCACTTTCAGAGGAACACAAACCACCTCAGTCTTCTGGCATGCAACAAGACTCCTATTGGAGACCTGGAGGATATGAAGTCCTGGAAATGCTTCTTGAGGAAAAAGCAGAAGTGGCCTGTCGCTGGAGAACGAGGCTTCTGGGGGCACCAGGACAAAATAACTGTGATTTTAAAGTGGTGCAAAAAAGCCGCCCGAACCATAAGGACAAGCTGAACTGACACAGGGGCAAAGGTCACAGTCACTGTATAGCTTTCAGCACTTCCCTATGTGACTTCCTTAGGATGAGCCAGTTCTTCCTGTGTGTAATTAGTGGGAACTGTTTACTGAGGAAATTAAACTGGTAACCATTCATGATATTGAGTAACGAGGTATCACACTGGTAAAGTAAAGCAAATACATGCAATATGGCTTTAAGTGTTGTTACGTGTTTGTGGGTGTGGGGCTGTGCGCGCATGCATGCATGCTGCACACGCACACAAAAAAAACATTGTTTTCTCATCAGGGTGGCTAAGGTGACATTCAAAGCTCCTGTTTCTGATCAAGGCTCTCTCTTTTGAAAGAGAATCATTGTTTGTTATGGAAACTAAAGAACTGAGCCTATATGCACAATATATATATATGTGCAATATATATAGATATCGAAGGTTACTGTATGTGTGGTAGAATAATACAACTTCCAAGCTAAATCCAAGCCAACAGTATTGTTCAGGATGCTGCTGACTGATATTTGGAAAGGCTCTGGAAAAACAATCAATAAACTACCTATCATGAGATTCCTGTGAACTAATAAAATATACAACATAATACTGGTACACGGCCCGCTATTTATTCATCTGTTCTGTTAAGATTAAGCAAAACGGATAAGGGCTTCATCTAGGGCGGAATTCTTTATGACTCCATCAATGAGTTCATGTTTTATATGATTCTAATCACTTCATCAATAAAATGCCAAAAATAACATCATTCCAACGTTGGATGTTTTTAGAGCCTGTAAGGTTTGAACATTGATTATTTATGGAAGTATGAACATATCGCAGCAGGGAAGAAATATCCACTTGTATCAAAATGCTTTGGCAAGAAATGATTGGCATACATAAATCTTTAATCAGAAAGAGGGATATATTTTCACCAAATGAATCATCAGAATTGGAATTAATTTGTTATATTTCCATCTGTTCAACACTGAAGCCCATTTACGAACAACAATGACAAGTGGTCGACACATTGCTCTATAGTCTACTAAACTATTATCGTTATTAAACTGTACAACACTCGACCATACTGTACTACAGTTCCCTATACTACACTCTAATCGACTATACTGTACACGTATTTGTTCAATTACCTGACTGTTATTGTGCAGTTCATTTGTTCCACTACTCTACGATTAATACTGTACTACTGAAAGAATGATTTATGTTGAATGAAGAATATACTTTAACTTTGCACTGGCCACTGCACGTTACTTTACTACACTATACCATACTATACTATACCATAATATACTATACCATACTATACAATACTATACTATACCATATCATACTATACTGTACTATACCATACCATAATATACCATACGATACTATACCACACTATACTATTCTATACCCTTCTATACTATACCATACTATACTGTACTATACCATACTATACTATTACTTTACCCTTCTATACTATACCATACTATACTGTACTATACTATACCATACTATACTATTCTTTACCATTCTATACTATACCATACTATACTGTACTATACTATTCTATACCATACTATACTATAACATGATATTCTATACTGCACTATACTGTACCTAGGGCTGAGTAACAATATTTGGTATTAAATCATTGGTGTGAGATGAGAAAAATATTTTTATATTGTAAAGTGTTCTCTTTTCCTCTTTTAAAGGCTCATAACATTGAAGCGATTGTATTTGTTAATATTGATATATTAAATAAAACATATTGTCATATAGGATTTGTTGATTCTAGACTATATAGCCAAAAATTGCACACAAAAGATTGCACTTTCCGCGTCTGTCGGAGGTTCAAGAGAGCAGAATTGAATGCAGAAAACTAAAAGCTTATACGTATTCTGTAAACCGAGTAAAACGACTGATGATTAACGTGTTAACACAGCTGTGATACATGTGTGATGTGTTCTAGCAAGCTTTTTAAACAGCACGCCCGGTTTACGGTCCTGTTTTGATGTACTTAAGCCTTTTGTGGGACCTTAATGAAAAATAGCATTTCTGGTCAATTCATGCATCTTTTTTATACCATGTGTGTGTATTATTTTGCACTGTTCTGGCTTTTCTCAAATCAACTAAACATATTTGTAATGCAAACTAAAGTCTATTAAAGTAAGCTTTATAAAACTGCCGCGTGAAGTAGAGAGGTGTGCGCCAGGAACCGCAAGGTTGGTAGTTCGGACCCTGTCTGCTCCAGGTCCCATGTCGAAGTGTCCCTGAACAAGACACCTGACCCCTAATTGCTCCCTGGGAAAAATGTCAAAACCATGGGTTAAAAATGCAATGTCAGTTGCTCTTGTCAGCTAAATGCCTTGTAATGTAATGTAATGGAACTATACTATCAGCCACTATACTTAACTGAACTACAATCACTTTAGTGTAAAGGTGCCTCAGATATTCAAAAGCATGTGTTATTTCTGAGATCCACTGGCCACTATACTATATCATATTAAACAGTCATGAAGCCAAAAGCTATTTTGTCTCAATAAGTACATCATTCTAAACCAAAGCCAGCTAAACGTCACTATACGTCTATATTACATTGTACTACATGTATAAGTAAAGTGTTGACTCTCATCTGTTTTCCCTGGACTGATGTTACTCTACACAAATGGCCACTATTATATAACCTACAACACTCTGCTCTTCTCTACGCTGTACTACACATGTTTACTCTCTCTCTCTCTCTACTACTATCTTTGTACACCAACATCATTTATACCACATTCCAAATTTAACTACTCAACAGCCACTTCTAACTTTGGTGAGAAACCCCCTATAGATAAACAGAAACTCTTATGTTGCACTATTTAATGCTCATTTACTTTGAGAAAGCGTGGTCTATTAACATCTTTGTATAATAAAATCTTTGTACAATACTATTCTGTAGTGTACCATGCTACGCTAATAAACAATGTGTAAACATGACCCAATCAACACAAGCTGAGTGGTCCCTACACCGTTGTACACAAAAGTCAACTGGATTATACTCTAAACCTCTGCACTGTACTACAATATACTCAGCTATACTACCTAATTGAGAGGAAACACTGTTAAAACGCCACAATTCAACCAATAGTATTTACACCTGTACCCCTGTACTCAATACTACACTGTGCTGTACTGTTACTTCACTGTACTAACGTTGGATTCCAGATGCGACTCAACAGCTGCACGTTAAGTGAGACTAGAAGTTCATGTTAAAGGCTCCATGTACTACGTTGAGGACAGCAGGGCCCCCCCGCGTGTCCACGCGTCCATCTTCAGCGTTTTATACCACCGAGAGCCGCGGGAGGTAGTTTATTCCAGAGCTAAACCGACAGATGTGGCAACAAGGCCCCGGCAGAGGGGGGTGTGGGGGGGGGGGTGGAAAAGGCCGGTACGTTTTGGTTTCTAACACGCACACAAAACAAAAAAACACAGCGGCTTCCTAGAGCACCAACAACAACGCCGGAGAGGGGACTCGACCTACCGAGCAGCAGCAGCCGATGCGTCTGCTTGTACTCCCGCTTGAGCTCCCTCAGCGCGCGGTCAATGCTCTTACTGACTTTCTTCGCCTCCTTCTCGGCCTCCTTCTCCTCCACCAGCAATTTGTCCCAGTTTTTCTGCTTTTGCGTGCTGGTCTTTTGCGGCAGCTGTAAGCGTCGGCCGCGGTCCTTGCCTGTCCTCTTGCCGCTGCTCCCTCCTCCTCCGCCACCGCCGTTTTGTATGAGCACACCGTCGGTGCCGGTGTCCCCGCGGCGGAGCTCCCCGGCGGCCGGCGGCCGGGCAGGGTCCCCGGGGCGAACCGGACCGCCGCCGCCGCGCAGCGACGAGGTCTCCCCGCATCCCGCGGTCTCCTCCGGGCGAGCTCCCGCGTGGCGGGTCGGCGCGGCGGCTTCCGCGGGCTGATCCGAGTCCGAGGTCGCGTTGGAGATCGACCCGCTCAGTTCCCCGAAGAGCCGGGGACGCAAACTGTAGCACAGCCCCATGTTGAAACCAATGTTTGTCCGTGAATGTGATTTCTCATAAATTAAAAACAGCAACAACAACAACAAAAATGTAAAAAAAAATGTAGCGGTCGCGCCGGCAGCCCTCAGCGAGCCATCGTCACATCGGAGCTCCGGCGGTGCGATTTAAGTCCGAAATTGAGAAGAAAATATGAATGAATTACGTCCCGACATTTGCTAGATGTCATTTTGCATTTTCCCCAGTCAGCCTTCGCTTCGTAGTCAGCGGATCACCTGATCCTTCAGTGGACACTGCGGGGTCCATCTTACCGTAAGTAACCAAAAGCACAACCTTCGGAAAAAAACGTCACAATCCGCTGCGCAGACAGTCGACAATCTGACTGCACGGTTGTTAGGTGCAATGCACGGCACGTCACGCTACTACACTATGGCCATTTCGAGAATGCTCGTCATGATTTTCATTCCGCACATTTCATCGCATGCATGCCTGGAGACAACTGTAGATAGTGAACCTGCTTTTTATTATCAGACCGATGACTCTCAGATGCGTGCTCTTTCTATGACGAACGGGTCTAATAAAATGGCAACCCTTGTGAAAATGGAAGATAGAATCAAAATTGTATTTACAAAACACCGTTTTTTTAGTTGATTCGCACAAGGATAATAACAATATCTGTAATAAAACTGACATGTACTGTGCAGACTAATTTACAAAAATGTATTTATGTTGTACCAGCCTTTTGATTATTGTTCTTCGTCAGTGTCATTTCCCGGATCTCTAAATATACAGGATCTATTTTAAGCCTCTAAGCAAGTGCCCTTTTGAATTATATGTGACAAAAAATATCCGTTTTTCAAATTGAGAACCAGGGACATTTCAAGGGTCCTTGTCTCCGCAGAAAAACAAGGCCATTTTTTATTTGTAATCCTAATCCAGTAACATTTACAGTGGAATATATTGTGAGCCGTAATAATTTGTAGTTAGTTTGTTTAGTAACCCAACGGAAATATCCCCAGTGACTGTTTTTTTCAGGTGATGTCTACTGACATTGAGTATTAACCGATGTGGGTCCTTTGTGACATAAGTAACTCCTCAAGGCTCATAAAAAGGTGGATTTACCTGAGACATACAGCCCAGTCAACCAGATGCAGGGTTAAAAAGGAACCACTAGGTGGAGCCAATACCATGTCATACCATTACGATGGTACTACAGATCAAAGCTCAGAAATCATTATTTTAATCTGATTTAAATTTATACACATCAAAATGTCGATACATTAATCATTATTAATTGAATTATGTACGGATTTATTTTCTTAATATTGTGTATGCTACTCTAGGTGTATTGTGGTGCGTAGTGTTGTTCTTATTATTAGCACAAACATCTTCATTCGTTGCCTAGGGAGACCGGAAGCTGCTCTTGTGAACGGACCTCGCTGGCAGCATCTCTCCATCACCTTCATATCTTCATCATCAATAAATGCCTCCTTTGGTTGGTATACTTTATCCAATTGAATGTTAATACTACTATAATCATTATCTGGTTAACAGACCATAATTTAAAAATGGTGTAAAATAACGTTAACTAGCTGGCTAACTAAGTAATGTTAGCTTATTTTTGCTCATTAGCTAACATTACTGAATCTATTGTAAGTTAGTAGTTAGCAGACTTGCTAATATTAGTTGTTGCTAACCAGCCAAATTGGTTGATGCTGTATGATAAAGTTTTGAGACTGTGATGAAATGATTTGACTGTATAAAAGTTTGCAAAATTCTGTTCAATGTTTCTCAACAGCAAAAAATATTTTGGTAGAAAAAAGAGAGAAAAACATTTGATTTCAAGATCTGCATCCAGGCTTTTTCACAACAAAGAAACTGAATTGATTAGAAAACAATACTAAATAATAAAGAAACACTGTGCTGATGAGATTTAAAAACAAACTATCAATTCTTAACAAGCCAGCTAGTTACAACTTCTAACTGACTAGTGCCGTCTTCAACTAATTGGACCTGTCTAACGCAGTATTATGTGATTTGTAAATACACTCTTCCCAATTCATTCAAGTCAAGCTCCTGTTTGCTGGAAAATGTGAGTGGGTTGGAAGGAAGAGAAAAGCATTTGGGAATATTATCTTCCGCCACTGCATATTTCTGTGGCCAAAAACATCTTCCAAATGGCAGTCGAGTTGTTTTGAATGACATCAAAACACCTCAAAACCACTGGCTCACCTGTTTGTGATCAGTGCTAGACAACACCAGTAAAGCCCTCTGATTCAGAATCAAATTCTTGAATGTAGTTTAGGTTTCCTACATGGCAACTTCATCACACCTTAAAAAAAGGACTCAGCATGATAAACGATTTTCCAGGTTCTCTCTGTGAGAGAACGTTTCCTGGCACTCTTTCTTCATCACACGTCAACTTTAATCCACCTTTTGCAACAAGACAGCTACACTTATCCATTCCTCCCTCGCCAGGCAAACTTCCACCTTCCTTCATCACACTCTCATGTTATACTCCTGTGTTTATAGACTAAAGGTCCTTTGAGTGGCCTCACGGTAACAAGAGGGCAGAGCCGCATGTGGGGGCATTGATCTGTGAACAGATGCAACTGTGCTTACAATGACCAACTGTTGGACTGTTTGGGACTGACGAGGCTCCTCGGGGAGGGAGAGGCCGGGCGGTCTGTGGACGATGAACCGCTAAGCCGCGCTGAAGCAGCTGGGAAAGAGCAATGACACTGGGGAGCTGGTGGCCATAAAGACAATAAAAACATGCCTGAGGGATAAAGTGCTTTGTTTGGTTTCAAAGCATTAAGCAAATTGACCAAACAAATAAATGTTTTTTACTTTTATTACATTAGCGGTAATTATTGCTCCTATACATTGTCATTACATCTTTACTTGCCATTTTAAGGATTAGCAGATTCAGATTTTTTGGCAAGAAATGAATTATGAATGTTTCACGAGCGTGCTTCAGGCAGTGTTTGTAAATGTAATGCTACAGTGCGAGCTGATACTACCGATGACAGTGAAAGAAGTGAAAGCACACCGCACAGTGTTTGTCCTGGAGTATAATACCAAAGAAAGACGAAAGGTTACAAAAGGTTACACGTGCAAAACATTATAATGATGCACCTCTAAATATTTATATATTACATAGAGATATACAAATGTTATTATGGGTACAACAATGACGCAACATTTTTTTTTGGTATCCCATGGACACCATGAAGAGAGCAAGACATATTATACAGTGGCAACACAAAACAGGAATGACCCAGTCAGAGTTTTGCTGTACATAGTCTAAGCAATTGATCCTTCAAATGAAAAAATGTAAAAACACGCTTTGCCCCTTTGTGAATACCTGTATTAGCTCATGGTACCTCTAACAGCAATAGTAGCCTGATGATAAAACTGAAATGCCTATTCGTATCGCTGAAAATAGTTATGCATGTCTGTTTTATTCATGGGATGAGTGTTTGAATCTAAGGGAAGTGAGAGTAATTATGGTCAGACAAGAAATCTCCACTAGTTCAAACCGCAGCTTTTAGATACAATTTGCCAGCAATAACTGCCATATTCTGAAATAATATCTTTTAAACCACCAATCCTTCTGCACATATTTGCAATAGTCATGTATCTTCGCTAAACTAGCAATGCAAATAATGTCTTATGTGTACGGCATACATGTTTTAACGATGTAAATATGTATATTAAATACACATTATTGAAGCATTTTAGTGAGAAATGAACATTAATCCTTGGCCCGCTGTAGGTCCAGTCTTAACTTGAACATGGAAGATGTCTGCTGCTAAATGTAATTTCTGTCTGAAAAAGCACTGACAGATCAAACTATTCTTGGCAATTGATGTTTTTTTGTACATCAGGCCTTCAGGAATGAGTGAAAAAGCTTTACACAAAACGTCAAACACTATATTACAGTATTTAAGGTTGTAAACTTTCATAATGAGATGATTCTAAATGACTTTTATATGTCTCCTAATTACTTTCGATGTAAGTCACTTAAGAAGCTGAACCATACCAATGTGGTGAAACTAAGGGAAGTCCTCAGAGAAAACAACTTCCTCGACTTTGTCTTTGAGTATATGAAAGAAAACCTCTATCAACTCATGAAAGAAAGAAAAAAAAATCCCACAGCAAAATGTGTTATTTTTCTTGTATAATTCTGCAAGTATCCGGGTCACATTGAGTCATCATGTTTCGTTCTCAGTTTTTGCAGAAACAAGTTGTTCCCTGAGACAGTCGTCAGAAACGTGACATTTCAGATATTACAGGGAGCGTCCTTTATTCATAGACATGGTAGGTGACATCCAGGAAAGCCTTTCAACAGCCTTCGTGGTGTTTTTTCCGTCTTTTACAATACTGTTTCAACAACCTTGTCCGCACAGTCCTGGTATAAATAGTTTAGAATTCAGCGAATAGAAAATCCAAAAGCACATGAATGGTGGACATAAGAAATGGTGCATCACAGGATTTGCTTTAGCCCAAAATGACTCACTTCTCCTGTGAGAAGAGGAGGTGTGAATGGTACCAAAGCTTAACTGAACAGGTTTATCTCTCTTCTATCAGCACTAGTTCTGGTGCTTGTCGATGCTGGTTTCTTTCCCAATTCAATAATGAGTGATTGTTTCCTAATCGCGTTTTTCTTCTAATTCCTTCTTTCTTCTCTTTGTATTTTACCACTTGCCGCTGGCGGGAAGTTAAGATATTTTCTGCAAATGGGATAGGAAACGTTCTGTTCCAGGTTTTGTCTGGCTTAGCATTTGTGCACAAGCACGGTAAGAGACTCCTGCTGTATTTCACTTTTTCTTTCCAAGACTTGACTGGTTAAAACACCTTTTGTTTTTGGCCTCGACACAGAGTGGTATAAAGTGCCGGTGGTTTTGATAGCGGTAGAAACTTATACGCGCTAACGTTTTTGTTTGATTTAGTCAAATCAAGACAATTCTGAGCATCAGCACGGGTTTAGCCGACTGCCTCTTGTCTTGCAGGGTATTGTCATCGTGACATGAAACCGGAGAACTTGCTCTGCATGGGCCAGAGCTGGTTAAGACTGCAGATTTTGAACTAGCAAGAGAAACCCGCCCGCTGAATCCTTTCACTGATTATGTGTCCACAAGATGGTGAGACAAATTTCTTCTACAAGATCGGAGCAATGATAACGAGACACGGTCTGCAGTCAGACCTGAAATATACTTACGACTCATATTAAGGCCTGCTGTGATATAAAGTAGATTAGCTCAATCCTAAAAAGACTTAAATTGGTACTCACTAGAAAAATCTGTTTGGGAAAATGAACTGATAATCACTATTATTGTGGCTCAGTTGGCTACTATTACACAACATTAGCATACTAATCATTTTCCTATCAACTAACACAACATAATATATGACTGCTAAATTGGGATTTTCCATCTTTACTATGACAAAGCACCAAATATGCTCTTTTATCAATTGACTGAACCGACCCCACTCTCAATAGTTGATGGTGAGAGACACAAACATTTATTCTGTGTTTATACTAAATGACTTAACGCAAATGTGCCATAAATATCCTCTCGTGCTGTTGACAGGTACAGAGCCGCAGAGCTTCTACTAGTAAAGATCCTACAGCTTCCCCGTTGACATCTGGGCCGTGGGAGGCATCATGGCGGAGCTCTACACACTAGTACCCCGGTTTCCTGGCAACAGTGAGGTGGACGAGATCTTCAAGACCTGCCAGGTGCTGGTAAACCGTCCCAACGCAGTGGGACACGTCATATCTCTGCTTTCATGGAGGATGTAACCAACCAGTATCTCTCAAATCATGGGGACGTCCTCTCATTCTATGGAGCTAATATCAGACTATTTAACCTCACTTCCTTTTCTTTTGTTGTGATGCTTCGGTGACTCGTTGCTCACTCTCTTCAGTCAGACTGGCCCGAGGGATACGACCTGCGCGCCTTGATGAACGTCTGCTTCCCAATGTCTGTGCCCGCCAGCCTCAGATCTCTGATCTCCAACGCCAGCAACGAGGCAATCGCACTGATGGAAGACATGTTGCAGTGAGATCCCCCAAAAAAGACCAAGTGCAGCTCAGGTACATTCAGAAACCCATTAGGATGCAGCACAGATCGGTAGGAATGAACATATGGAGACAAATGCTTTTTGAGTGCATCTATTCAGAGACCCAAGTGAGCATCAATCAGCTTACGTTTGCAGTTACTGTAATATCGAACCGGACATCTCTGTGTACTGCTGAGGCAAAGCGCCGCCAATGACTTCATGAATTTATTTTACATTTCAGCCGTGGTGAGAAATGTCGACTATGGTTTCTCTAGTTCTTTACAAGATGTGTACTGCATCATATCCTGTGTCCTATAAACATTTATACAAACATAACATAAAAATAACAAACAAATACCATTTATTCTACACTAATTTTGATCTGGTTCAACTCTAATGTATAATACTTTTGTGTTGCAGAAATTTGTATGTTTTTTAAACCTCGCAATATTAATATTTTTCGTTTTTGTTTGTGTTGCAGGCTCCACGGTTACACCTAATAAAAAAAGCATTACTTGCTACAGAACTCAAGACAAAAAAACTCATATGTAACCAAGTACCCTTTAAAATTTCTCATCTACTTTTCATTGTGTTCTCTTGTCCTTGTCCACTCTTTCTCGTTCTTTTAGACGAAAGTTGTTCTAAACTCAGACACGCAGCTTCTAAAAGACAAAAACCTACAGGATCTTAATCTCTTCTCAAATAGGACTGCAAAACAACATATATGCAGTTGGTGTCTGCAACTTAGTCTGATGATCCCTCTACCCAGCTGTTATTTGAAGATAAGACACTGTGGAAATCTTAAAATCATTGTCTTTCAGACTCCTTCGTGAGTAACGCTAACGCCAAGAGCCCGACCGAGACGCGCATGTCAGCTGTTCAGAAGCCTCAAACAGGAGCGTCCAGACAGAGAAGCGCACCGGCACTGATAGGAGGACCCGCTGCTCGTGAGTGAGGACTGAGAGAGTTTTATTTTCCTCAGAGAGAATAATGGTTGAGTCACACCATTCTGGGTTCAGTGTTCTTTGGTACCAATCAGGTCAGGAAGAGAAGGTACGAGAGGCCAATTCTTGGTGTGCAAAAAGTCCTGTGTGCAGCATCTCCTGCAAGTTTTATCTCATATCTGTCCTGCAATTCGTACAATTCGCCCATAAGTTCTAGTTTATTTGATTTTTTTAATATCTTAGAAAACATATTGTGGGTGAATGTTTTACAAATTTACAAAACTTTAAAACATCCCCAAAGTGAACAAAAAAGTGTTATTCATTTTAAAATAGAGAACCAGAAATAATAAGTCACATAAATGGAATGTTTGTGAATGCACTGTATTTGATTGCACAATTCATATATTTTACTGTAAAAACACAAGTCGGGAGCTAGTGGGCTATTTAAGACTTGCGTGGTTTGTTTTGCATTCCAGCGATTATCTTCAACAGCATCAGCCCACTAAAAAGACACATTTGAATCAGGAATTGAAATTGAGAAAAAAAGTTCAAAATGTATGATTGTCTCTAGTTCATCAAAAAACACACTCTACATGGTGCAGGATATCGAAAAATGTATTACCTCGCTAAAGTCATCAAACCAGCTGGCATGAACTTCCAGGAGTTGAGAAATCTCAGTCCCATCACCACAGCCAGAGTCCCCGAGGTGCCTGCAGGGAAACAGCGTTAGTGAAATCTGCATCTGACCTGCCACAGTTGAACAAAAAAAAACCCAAACTTTCTCACCAAGTGAGAGCCAGACATTTTGGGGATTTCGAGACTGCAGATAAGCACCGACTGCAGCCAGCAGGCCAAACAGGAGCCCTGCAGCCAGAGAGGGGACGCTGCCTGTGGAGGGAAGAGCAGTGGGCATTATTATCAAATATGTCATGTCAGCACCACAACATCTCTTCAATGATAAAAATCATGTTGAATCAAAAAAAAAAAAGTTTTCAACAAATACCGACTGATTAAGAAAATATAGCAGTGAGCACCAACCGGGATGGATTTCTGATGGAAATTGGTTAGAACGCATGAAGGGCGATTTCCATCGTCTGGTTAGCCAGATAAAATGCGATTAGAACTTCGACACGAGTTGTAGAATGACACGAAGATGTTAACGGTCACTTTGAACCTAATTCTCAAAATTCATATTGCACTGGTTGGTGAAATGTGGTAAACGTACAGACGTGATTTCCACGCGTGTGATCGTGTCATGTAAAAACGTTGCTGCACAAACAGGAGTTTTAAAGCCCCGTGGTGACCAACATGAACCACGTCGGTGCGCGTCTCCAAACCTGCTTTCACGTATCCGAGGATTCCTCCCGCGCACACCAGCGCAGCGTAGCCGAACCCGAGCCGGTCCATGGCCGACGACCGCCCCGAGGCAGAGCAGTTTCTGCCAGCGAGTGGACAACTTACGTGACACAGACACACCACCCACCCGAAGTCTGCAACTTCCGAACATTCGCTTTGATTGGTTCACTTCCGGTGTAATTTCAAAATAAAAAGGCTACGTACATTAGAACAACTCACTTGTCTTTAACAGTGGCAAAGAAAAGGCCCTCGACCCTCATTAATAGATCCTTTATAAGAATGTTAATGGTTCAGACAATATAGCTCAAAATAAGATGCGCTCATTGAGTTAAAAAACTGTTTTTATTCTTGCACATCTCATGTTGCATTGCCATCTCTTATTTTTAAATGTTGACAACCAAATATATATTCACAAAATATGTGCTTTATGACCCCCCTGTGGCAACCACAAAAAGGACGCGCATTGACCAAGTCCAGATATACAACAGTCCATGAATGATAAAACATAGTAATTGTTCTTCCGTTTTATTTCTCGCTTCTCTTTTTCTTAATTTTTTTGGGCTTGCTTTCGTCTTCTAGAATGACTACTTCTTCTGCTGCAATTCGGACTCGCTTTGTCTTCAAAAGCTCCTGAATGAGTTCTGTGGACAGAAGCAAACACGATTTATCTGGGTTTTATTAAGAGAAGGCTGAACCACCAACAGAACGACAACTCAAAAAAGACCTAAATGACATTTCTCAGTACAAAATCTCTATCCTAATATGATGATGCAGAAATGAAACAAAAGTTATTGTTTGCAGGACAACTACCTTTAGATGTTGTTGCTTTTGCCGCAGGTTCCTCAACGGTCGGCTGCACCGATGAAGGTTTCCACACAGCCAGGCAGGTCAGTCTGGCCGTGGTGTTCACCTCCCCGAGGAGGGAGGGAGGCTCCAGCTCCTGTTCAAAAGTGCATCGCTAGATTAACTGCAGCTAGCCAGGTCAGTGTGGTTTGGCTCATCTTTTGCTTTTAGCGATTGCTTTATAAAAAAAAAAAAATTCTGCTTTTCTCAGTTGAATATGTCCACGGGTAATGACGTGAATAGAGATTTCATTATAAAACAAAATATAGCTGCAAAAGTAAATGTTAAATTTGGTTGAAGTTACAAGTAACAGACGTGCCTCTTTTAAATGGAGTTTCCACATCTTGATGAAGCCGTCGTTTGAAGCGGTTACCAGCACGCAGTAATCCTCCATCACGAAACTGTCAACATCTTTCACCCTACAATCACAAAAGAATTTTGTTTGTTTTCCTTACCCATTTCTCACCAAATATTACATTTAAATAAACATGTCTGCGAGATTAAGATACTATTTGGGATAAAAAATAAAATGAAAAAACTCATTGCCCCATCAGGTGTTTTCTAGAAATGCAGTCCCAAAACAATTGACATACATAATTAACTGTAAAGAACATTAAAAAAATAAATATATTTCGTGTTTACCTGGTTTCATGAGCCTTAAACTCACACACCCATTCCTCTTTTCCCAGATCACATAACCTCACAATTTCATCATCTCCTGCGACTGCCAGGATGGAGTTCTGAAATACAAACAGGATTATATTTACTTAAACTGAATCTAGTATTGCAGACACGAAGAATCTGAGGCACTCCCATTTCTACATTGCATTGAAATGTGAGCGTAAGCTCCTAGTCAGAAAACTCACGTTTAAGAACTTGATCGACGAGATCCTCTTGGGGTTTGTGACGGTTCCCGTCACAGAGGCCGTCATCAGGTCGTAGATGTTCACTTTGTCGCTTACCACAGCCACATATTTATTCCCGTCTGGAGACCATCTGACAATGTGTGCATCTGTGAGAAGAGGGTTAAGAAAAGTAATTTCACACGTACTAATATTATTAAAAGAACTTTAAAAAGTCTGTAACTTCAGAATGAGAGACTTACTCTGCTTTATGTTTTTGATGAAGGCCGATCTTCCGTTAATTAGATTCCATGTTCTAAAAAAATAAAATTAAAAAAAAAAGAGCCACGTTGGATTCAGATACATTTATTGTCCAACTTTCCAGCAGAGGTGTGAATTTTACCTGAGAGTCTTATCCGTCCCAACTGAAAGTGCAATCTTCCCAGATGGATGGACGGACAGCGACGTAACGTGACCTCTGAGGAAAGCGACATAAAGAAAGTTATTTCAACTCGTCCCATGCAGCCAAGTACAAGACAATCATTTTCACAAACATGACCATTCACATCGGCTTACTGGTGAGCTTTGATTGATTTCACACACTCCCACTTCTTAGTGCTCCACACACAGATAAGTCCGTCCTCGCTGCCGCTCAGTAAATGAGACGTCCCATAAAATTCCAGGCAAGTGATGGTACCTGTGAAATACGAGGTGGTTAAGGGTCAGGTCCGCATACCCCAGGCGAGTGCGTTGATTCTTGACAAAATCTATTACGATGAAATCTCTAATGAGATGATGTTCCAGCAATTAAGAAACTAAGTTCGGTCTAAGTTTGAGAGAATTAAAAAAGCCATTTGTAAAAAAAATGTTTATGTTCTATTTTTTTGTATTTTAAAAATGTACGAATTGTCTTAGCTACACGAAAACACACAAACAAAATGTAATTGCCTTTCTAACCAGCCACACATCTTCCATCTCTAATGCATCCGTGGTGCTTCCATATAAAACGTGACCTCACGCGGATTTAACCACAGACATTTCCAAGAATGTAACCACTCACCGTCGTGCTGCAGCAGAGCTCCGTGTTCGATCCTGTTCTTCATGTCGTACAGCTGGATGGTCTCATCTTTGCTTCCCGTGGCCACAAACCTCTCGCTGGTCGCCACAGCTGATATGGATGCCGTGTGGGCGTGATGCGTGAAGTTCGCCTCGGATGTCCACTCCTGCACGACGAACAAAAAACCCAACTAAGTGGATCCGTTTGCAATAACCTTAATGCTGAACTCAGCTATAAAAAACAAACAAACCCAGTATTTGCCAGATGTGCAAACTATAAAAGCATTAAAAAGCTTTGATAATGTAGTCGTAGTACGACCATGGTGTTACCATACAGAGTGCCCATCATGCCCAGGGACAGTTACAGTTAGAACCAACAGTGCAACTTACTTTCTCCTCAGTGTTTATGCGGTAACTAAACGCTATCTGCTCGTAGCTGCCCGCAATCAGCTCCAGCCCAGACGCCATGCTGCAAGTTGTAGCTACACAGTGCTAAGCTAGCAGCTCTCTTTACACTTGTTTTCGGTCACCCGATGTGGACAACAGCTAATAACGGCTTCTGCGAGTAGAAGCAGGGACCTGCACGAGACTCATCGAGACAATATACAACGTAAGCCACGTGGGGAAGCTTTTTAAATATGAATATCTGCCCCTATTCTAACCCACTTTCCAAGTCCAAAACAACGTGGAGACTGTTGCGCGTGCGTAGAAGACGACTTCCGCCTGTCCGCCAAGTAGTGGTTTTCATAATAAAAGCCCGAGTTATTTTTTCGTGTCAATGCAATTACGTTTATATTTTTGAAAATGTGTCTTTTCAAGTATGCAGTGATTGCAGTTCTCTAAAATTGGAGAATAATATGCATAGAAAAAAATATTTAATTGTCGATGGTCGCAATAATTTGTTATATAAATATATTTGTAATACAAATAATACATTTGTCATTCTAGAAAAACGTTAAATTTCTTAACTTAAAAATAAATTAATTGAAATTACATCAAAATAGAATAGGACGCACGGAATATTACGTAGGTCTATATGCATGTTTTTTTAATGACTACATGTTGATTAAACTGTCTATTTATACATTATATATTAACACAAACGTGTATTAAAAACTCTGTTTTGGCAACAAGCAGCATTTCCTCTCTGTAAGCCCACTGTACACCTTTAGGATGGGCTCCGCCCCCAACATGACGCGGTAGTGGCCTCTTCGCTCTTCTAATTGGCTGCTTTCCATTGGGCGTGTGAAGACAACTGTCCGAGTGAAACGGTTCACCGTTGAGCTGCGTTGAATTACCTGCCGCCTTCAACTCTCTTCCGCTAAACGGAGTCATGTCGAGGAGGTACGTTTTTGGAATAAGTAGCGGATACATCACGATTACTTAAAAAAAGTAATATTTTTCAGTTCCTGTTATTTACACGTTTCTTATTCTGTGATTGGTGTTGCGCTTTGTTTCTACTTAAAACAAAAAGGTTTCACGTCAGCCAAATTGAAACAGTATCACTTACAGCTTCCTTCATGATGTTAATAATTACATTAGATTAGGTTTTATTACAATGCGGCTTTCTGGTTCAGAGTAACAGCAGTTCTCAGAGCAGATTGCAGGTTTTTACAGATCTGGATTCTGTCTGTTTGTATGTGACAGCTGCGATTAGTGTGTTTAAATACATTATTGCACAAACAGGACTAGACGAGAAACACACTCTGCTGCAAGTCATGACGTGATCATACCTCGTGATCAGAAGCCAGGCTAAAATAAAAACAGAGAAGCTTTTGTTATTTGAGTGAGCTCTTTCCTGCGATTCCGTCCTTACTCAACTTATTTTTGTTGCAATGAGTCATCTGCTGTTCTGTTTTGTGGCAGAAAGGGTTTGGCAGTTATGAAATACTAGTGGCTTTATCACACGACAAGAGTCAAGATCAGATGGAGCTGAAACCAAAAGACGCAAGTGATCATGGTGTCATAACTAAAGTGTCAGTTGTACCATAAAACATTATTTGAACATTTTAATATAAGTTAAGGTGCTGATTGAAGCAAGTAGCGACTTTATAATGTTGGTTATGGTTAGGTGGGATCTTTTTGTGGAGGTTTTCCCATCTGCTCTCAGTTTTTTCCCCCTTTGGCATCTTTTGGAGAAGGATGGGAAGAAAATTATTATAAAATGAAACCCTGCGCAAACCATAAATGACGTTACAATAAACAAACATGTTGAACATCAAAGGCTGTTCACAACTGAGCAACCAGAAGTTTGTCTGACATTTGATACTGTGACTTCCTGTTGACTAAAAGCTACACACGAGTAAGCGTTTTCCTGAACCACTATTAAACCCAGGAATTCATCAGTCGCTGTAAAACAAGGTCTTCTTTCAAACTCATACTGGGTGTGAAACACCAAAAAATCCTCAACCCTGCCAAGTATTTCTTAGAGAGCTAATTCCTGATTGACACCAGAAAACCAAAAGAGCTCATTGTTGATTTAAAAAAGGAGCCCGTGTTCATCAGTGGAGCAAGTCAACAAGCTGACCTAAAAAATTAGCACCAAGTTCTTGTAAACTTTTACAGTGGAGTATTGAAAGGCATCCTGACTGGACACATTAAGACCTGGCATGAGTTGGACACTCAGTTTCCTGCTTTTACTCCTTTTGCTGTTTCACAGTCAACAAGCCACTCAGGATCTCACCGAGGTGTTAAACCAAATATGGCGCCTGGATACCAACCGCCTCAAACCGGGCACCGATTACATCATTTCCCTCCAGGTCAGTACCAGTCTGCTGTGCAATGTCAAACACTCTGATATAAATTGACACGCTGACGTCTGTGTATTGGTGTGTGTGTGTGCGTTTCGCTCAGGGGAGTGCAGGTTTTGTGCCACAGGGGAGCAACTACGCCAGAGACCTGGCCAGAGCTCCGCTCTTCAAATATGTCAACGAGGACAAACTCCGGAGCATCGAGACATATTTACGTAAGAACCAGTTCATAACAACCCCCCTCCACCCCTCCCACCCACGCCTAAAGAAGCACTTACATTCAAAACATGCTGTTTTTTTCAAATGCAGATTTCGTCAACCTGCTGGACAACTACGAATCGTCCACAGGCGTGTCAGAGAGGGTGACGTCAGAGGAGCTTCAAGAGAACAGGCTCTTTATCAATTCCATGATGGAGACCGATGTCATGAAGGTGCAGTAGCTGGGAGAGAGATCCATTCCCCCACTTTTATAACATTATTATGTTTAACGGTTTGATGTCTTCCACTCTGACACACATTTTTATAATGATTTAGTTACAGACCAGATGATGATCTTTTAGCACGACGGGACATTTTTATGAAACTAAAATTACCTTATAAAAATATAAAAATACTTTACTGTACGTTTTTTACCAATGTTTATGTTGAATCCTTCTTTTGATGTATTTGTGGGAACGCCCAAAAGAGAAAAGAACATGTGAGATAAGGCTATAAAAGCCCTTTAAGTGCATGAGCGGCATCTGACTTACAAATTATTAAGAGGAGAAAACTACAAACTTCAAGACAATAAAATTACTACAAAATTTCAAGACAATAACTAACCAACTTTCAGTCTCATAAATAATACAGACCACTTCAGCCTGACAAACCCTCTCTATTACCAGCGTAATTCCTGCACGACACCTTTTCTGACATTTCCTCGTACTGCTTGTGTTTTCGTCATAGCACGCTCACAAGTACCTGGTCAGGAAGCGGCAGTCGCCGTCAGACCCTGAGCAGTTCAAGAAGCAGCTGTATGACATCTGGTTCCGCCTCTACCACAGGGACAAGAGTGGAGGGTGAGTTTCCCGATAACAGCAGAGGGAGCTATGGATTAAGAAAGATTACGATCCTGGAGGATATCACACAGCGCATGCTTGATCATCCACAGCGGGGAAGGCCGAACCATTTTTGATTGTGGCCATATACAGAAAAATCACAGGCCAAACAACAGTAAATATGTAGTTTTTAAGCAGTTCACGCCAATGAAACGGTGTTTTTGAGTTAATGGGTTTAATTTCAGTTTTCTTCGCTGTACTGTTTAAGGACATTTTGAATGTATTTGATTTTCAACTGCTCTTTTATAAGCACCTTTTTAAATTTGATCTAGTCACCAACTCAAACATAAAAGATAAGGAATACGGTTCTAATCTCGGGATGAATGCAAGCGCACACTGAGACATAATCCCTCATTCTTTGAACTACGTTGTTGTTGTTTTTACTGTAGAGAGGATTCCTGTGGGTTTGAACATGTGTTTGTGGGAGAAACCAAGTTTGGACAGGAGATCATGGGTCTCCACAACTGGGTCCAGTTCTACCTGCTGGAAAAGCACGGCCATGTTGACTACAAAGGCTACAAAGCCAGAGACCGCAAAAACACCGTAAGAAAGCACTGTGTCCTCATGTGGATTGTGAAGAAACTGAACGCGCTGAGCAGAAAAATGAAAATGCTTTTTCTTTCTTCATTAATCTCCAGCCTGACGAGGATGACCACGTCCTGAACCTGCAGTTCAGCTGGAAGGGCCTGGTGAAGCCGCTTGGCAGCTGCTTCCTTGGTGTGAGTCCCGAGTTTGAGGTAGCTCTCTTCACCATCATCTTCCTCATGTCGAATGAGAAGAAGACGTCCGTGGTGGTGAAAGTGGACGAGTACGTGCTGGAGCTGGTTGTCTATCGGCACGGGAGATCCATCGGCACGTCTTTCCCCAAATTGCTCAGCAGCAACCACAAGGATCTGTAACATAACGTCACCAAGCTGCCATATGTAAACATTTTGAATGTCATTCCAACAGTATAAAACAAATCTGGTTCTCTTAAATCTCTTAAACTGTTTATAACGAGTTTTCAGCATAAACCTCCTGATCTGGACCTGTGTCAGTGAAAGAGTATATATTGTCACAATCCTTTATCTATACGATGTTGTATACTATTAATGCGCAAATAAAACATTTTTTATCTTCTTTCACTAAGTAGTTGTGACATTTTAGTTTGTGAACTACGGTCAGATACCTCACAAGATTTAGAGAGATGAATTTCTTTTTAATATATGAATTCAAACAATTTAGCACAAAAACACTGTCATGAAATTATTTTATTTTTAAAGATTTTTATCTTAATTAGTTTATTTTTTATTATCTGATATTTTCATAGATGTGTGAATTCTGAGGGATTATTCTCAGAAGTTTAAAATATTGTTTCATTCTGATAAAAAAATCCTGCTAATATAATAATGATAATATGCTCTCGGTAGTAATTGTGTATACTATATATAAATTATTATTTATTTCTATATGGAATTTTAAAGGTTTTCATTTTCCTGTATTTGAGTGTTGAGTGTCTTTGTATAAATTATGTATCGAAAAATACTTAAAATCTTGAGATGGCTGCAAAAGTTAAAACCAGGACGATCCTTAACCCATAAAATGTGACATAGCAATGGATCCAATTTGCACTAATACTGATCTGTGCATTGTATTCAGTCACCTGAGTGGAGGTCCAGAGTGCAGAGCCATCCGTGAACTGTTCCTTTAAAACCGAGCTATCGCCTTTGCGCATGCGTACTCCAACAAACCGTGTCAAACCAGAGAAATGAAACTGTTCCTCTGAGAACCATCTGACGATGCGCTGAACCAGCAGGTAAAGACAGCTCGCGTCCAGAAGCTGGACAGAGGCACCCTGGATGCGCGCTAACAAGAAGTCTAAATTCCTCGCGGGACAAACTTTTGCCCCTTAAAGGCGACAGACGCGTTTAGCTAACAGCTAACAGCTAGCTGCTCGGCGGCTAACGTATCCGTCAGTTGGGAAGCGCGTTGCCGCTGCGTCCGTCCGGGAGCCACATGACAACCGCTCACATGACTCCCGACAGCTGCTGTGACCACACCGAGGACATCACCGCGGGGACGAGGCCCTTTCACTGTGCTTTTGTTTGCAGCTTTGGGATCGCCGGAGTGTCGGGGCTGGTTAAACAACAACAACAACAACAACATGTTTGGTAAAAAGAAGCGAGCACCGCAGCCCAGAGGCCAGGGCGCTGCTGCAGCCAAGCAGGTAACAACACCAACAACAACAACATCAGAGCGGGTGTTTGTTTGTAGGAGATGCCTGCCATAAGGGAGAAGTTCATCCCTCACTTCCTGGTTGCAGATGGGTCTGTTCGTGGACCTGGACCCCGAGCAGATGGCCATGGAGGGAAACGTGGACGACCCGGACTTGGAGGCGGAACTCGCCGCTATTACTGGAAATAAAACCGCGGGCGGAGGAAGACCAAAGCAGAAAGGAAAAAGTGAGTTCAGCGGAAACGAGTCAAGTACCGTAAAGAATCCCTCTTGCTGGTCGGAGGCGTGAAGCTCTTTAGGGACCAAAGTGTTTCCTCATGGACGCGGCTGGAAAATGGGAGATCCCCCTTCCTTAAACACCCCTTTTATAAAAAGACTCACTTCACACTGTTCCTGCTCCTCTCAATTATTCTCTTCCTTTATTAAAATGTGAAAGCCGGACATTTAACCTTGCATTACACTTTGTCAGCGACAGTGAGATGAACATGGCCAAAATCGCAGGGAACGCTTCTGAAGTCCTGTTTTCAGCTCCTGCACAAGATAGAAGTGTTTCACTGGACACATTCTTTGTATCCACTTCCATCTAACGACATAGTGTAATATATGATCCATTCATTTTGCTGGAAAAACTCTGCAACTACGTGAGCAAGAAATGTTCTTCCATATTTATTATCCCGTGTTTTTTGCTTCCTAATAGAGCAACCCTTTTTCCCTTTACGATATACCGATATTATCATGTATTATTATATGTTGTTGATCTCACTATAATTGCATTATGTTTGTGTCGTAGGCCCGCTGCCCATGGAAGATATCGCAAGAATGGCGGACGAGTGTATGAAAGATGACGATGAGGATGACGACGACACTAACCTGGAAGACGACGAAGATCTATTGGTTTGTTTTGTGCCAACCGGAAAATATTTATTGCTAAGTTGAGCTTGACAGGGGCAGCAGTACATAATATGTGTAATATAAGCAGTTGGGATGACCATCAGGGGTCCACCTTAGGACCCCAAAAACTGTTGAAAATACAAAACCCAACCTCACTTGGTTGTGTAAAAATACGAAAATATTTTACAGGTCTAACATTGCAGTTTAAATAATCTGTTTTGTGGTTTACATATTGATTTGAAGGACCTTCATTCCACCTGCACATTTTGGTTCACAGATTTCACGGGTGTCTTACCAAACGGAAAACTACAACCATCAAACTTGGAGGTTGATCTGTTGCTTTCTTCCCCCCCCGAACAGGCGGAGCTGCAGGAAGTGGTGGGTGAAGAGGAAGCCGAGGATGTCGTACCCGCTCCCATCACATCCTCTGCCCTCGCCTCTCAAGCTGACACGCCAGAGACGCCTCTGACGCAGGTACATTCCACGTCCCACTAACCAAAATATGTGTTGAAACTTTAGCTGTCGGCAGTAACACAAAAGGGATGATAGTTGTCCTCCTTTCCCCCTGCTGGTTTACACAATGACTTGTTTTTCTAGATCTCCCTAGTAGGAATGAGCATTCTTCTAAACACATTTCCTTTATTAATTCCAATACTTAGCGTGCCGTATTGTAAACCAGTGATTAAAGATGAGATTTAAATAATGTGGAAATTGCAATAAGAATTGTTGCCCCCCTTTCGTTGTTGTTTTTGTGCAGCAGCAGAAGGTGACGGTCCCCTCAGCAGCTCCTGGCAGCCTCCAACACGCCCTGGAGGAGAGAGTGTTCATGTACGAGACCGCCCTGCAAAACGCCAAAGCTGCAGGGGAGACCGCCAAGGTCAGGAGATACGACCGCGGCCTGAAGGTCAGTGAAACTACTGCCGGTGAAAGTTGTACGGCGAAGGGGCGCAATTGCATTTTTGACATTTTACAATATTGTTTTAATCTGGTTTGAATTGAATTTCTAAATGTCCCAAAACATTTACTTCTGCGTTTTTGCCACCAGTTTGTAAATAGGGTTTTTTCAATTGTAAGCCATAACTTTTATTATGATGAATAAATACATTGGCTGTGCTTTACCAGTGGAAGGGCATTCATGGGTATAAAATTATTTTATATTTACACATGTTAACCATCTAATATGATAATCAACATGATATTCCAATATATTTCCCCCCCGTTATTTTTCATATTGACTAATTTTCCTGTTTGATCGTAATTTGAGTGGAATCCCCTGACTGCTGTGATGCTTCCTTCATTACACGCACACACAGTACCCGGTACAGTCACTATAGTTCTGACTGTGATTGTTTCTCCCTGCAGACTCTGGAGTCGATGTTGGCGGGTATTAAAAAAGGGAGACCCGTGAACGAGGCGGACATCCCTCCTCCTGTCGCCGCCGGGGCCCCGAGTGCCGCCCCTCCGCCCGCTGTTCCCCGTCGACCGGCTCCCCCCGCGCCCTCGCCTCCCGAACCCACTGCTTCAGTTCGGGGGGCGGAGTCAGAAGCAGCACCCGAGATCGCCCGCCCCAGCAGTGAAGAGGAGCCGTCGTCCCCTCCCACCCTGCCCCCTCTGATCGGCGTCCCGTCTCCCGAGGAGGGGAGCGGGGAACCTGATGGTTCGTGTGAGCCGGAATATCCAAAGTTAAATTAGCCAACGTAGAGGATATTAGAGAAAGTACACATTAAACATGGAAAGGTGGTTGACCGATCATTAACACTTCATTGTGATTCTGCCCCCCGTGAATCCACAGCAAACGAGTCGACCAAAGCGTTGCTTCTGGAGAGGCAGAAGGAATACAAGGCGGCCGCTCTGACAGCCAAGAAGTGGGGAGACGTGGAGCAAGCCAGGCTTTACTTCAAGACCAGCAAGGTGAGCAGGCGGACCACGGCACCAAGTCTCTGTCTGCACAAACATGTTTTGTATAAATTTGAATCTCTTTTTTTAGGACATTCAAATGTATTCAAAACCCTGCTGGTAAAACCCCTTTCTTGGTTTTCTGTGTTCTGTTCCGGCATTTCATAGCGAATCATTTTCTTATCATCAGTATGGTGTCAGGAATTACTGCGTGTTGGAAAAATGGTTAATGGCATTATCTGACAACTTCCTTGTAGGATATGTACTTTTGTTTTGTAAATATCTAAACATAAAACTATAAATGATTAAATGGTTTCATTAAACCAATGCAGGCAACAAGTAGGACATATGTGACGAAATAGAATACGGATCAATCGCAAGTCTTTCACTTGCTATCAAATCCAATGTACAGTGAGCTGAAACCGTTAATAAAGGGAAACTAATTCATTAATCCTGTCTTTCAAGTATCTATTTTTCAATAAAAGCTTAATAAGCAGTCTTGTCTGATCCAAACATTCAAACTATTTTGACTTTCACCGCGTGTTTCTGCTGCGGTAACGAAGCAGCAGCTGCATTTCTGACCAATAGACATGCAGAGTTCTTAGCTTGATGCTTGCGAAATACAAAAAATGTGGCGCTCTCTCGTCTGGGCCTGTTGCTTCATATTCTGACTCCAGGATCTCCCTCTCAAGTATGTGAAACATGCCAACAATTTGGACGTAGACAAAGGGCGTCATTATGTCTGAGAGTTTGTTGCATTTTGCATTGCAGAGGTTCGATCTGGTGATTGAGGCGTTGGAAAAGGGACAAGCCGTCGACCTGGGCGGCCTTCCTCCATCTCCACAGGGTGAGGAACACAACATGCAAGCAAATAAGTTTAGAATGCACAACCACGCTGACGCTATTTATGCTGCGGCTTCCTGCTGACGTACAGAACGAATAAAAGGAGAAGAAATAAGAAATATTTGTAACGCACAAGTACAACTTAAAAATCACCCAAATAAAACAAGTGGATCACATTCATGTAAAAAGAGAAATGTTGATGGAGTCTGTAGGTGTCCAGGTGAATAACAATAGGAGCAGCATGTCGAGACACAGCAGAACAATAAGGATTTAAAATGTTTTCTTTTAAACACGAGCCCTGGAATCCTGACAGAGGCTGCAAGTATTTTCACCACCATGTATAAAAACAAGCGACCTGTTTTTCGGGACAGAAACCTCTTGTCTCTGCTTCTGCATGTTTTGATCGCTCTCTTGTTTATTGTATTTCAGCTGCAGGAGGAGGCTGCGTTGCAGTGAGGGAACCGCCCTCGAGATCAAACATAGATGTCACCCAACTGGTTACATCAGCACCAGGTAGTAATATTATCACCGCGTGTATTCCTTCTGCCGGCGTTCTTGCAATAGATCAAGTTCCTTCTTTTAAACAGTCACTGTGTGCCTGTGCAATTCCTCCTAACCGTCACAGTATTTTATATCAAGTAGCTAATGTGAGACGTGACCCAATGCTTGGAACTAAAACCACAAGATATTCACTAAACCTACGCTTGAACCCAAATTCTGCATCTAATTTTATTCATTTCTTGAAAGTCAATGTTTAAGAAAGTCTTTGTGAATACTGCTGCCCTCAGCCGCTGCCCCTCCGTCGGCCCCTTCGGCCCCCAAAGACGTGCTGGAGGCTCTGGAGCAGAGACGTGCCAAGTATGTTGAGGCGTCCAATCAGGCCAAAGCCAGCGGAGACGACCGCAAGGCCCGCATGCACGACCGCATCGCCAAGGTAACGAGGAGAGAGTCCCGATGCTGAAGCTCTGTCGTGCTCGATTATCGATCAGCTACAAGTCCGATCAATAGGATGAAACTGGTGCATTATAACAAAAAAATAAATCAGCGTTTTCAATGTAGTTTAGTCAGTAAGAAATAAAATGTACAGTGAGTGCAGTGAATAATAATAATAATGATAATAATGGGATGAAAATGTGCATGGATACAGAAAAGGGGCACACGGGTGTTACCAGGAATAGACCCAACGGTAACGGCACCATTCCTCAGAACGCTCCACTTAAAGCACTACGGCATCAGATCGTTCCTCCTCTTATGCCAAAACCGCAGCGTTTTTAAGCGTTTTCAACGTTTCGCCCTCCTGCAGCAATACCAGAGTGCAGTCCGAGCTCACAAAGCAGGGAAAGCGGTCGACTTCGATGAGCTGCCGGTTCCCCCTGGTGAGGTTCTTTTGTCCTCAGTCGTGTTTTTGAGTCGACCTGTAATGTACGAATAATATTTCAGTTCCACAAAAAAAAAAAAGTTAATTTGTGTTTCCGGTTGTGTTTGTAACGCATCACTATGAAAGCTGTGAGTGAGTCGCTGTGTCAGTGACACATGCCGCATTTCTGCACCCGACCAAATGAAACCCAATGAAAGCGTTTAACAACCGTAACGCCAGCCAGATTGCAAATTAGTTTTTTCAAAATGTTCTTTTTTTTTTTTTTTTAATTGTTCAGGTTTTCCTCCGATCCCGGGGCAGAAGGTCACCGGAGCAGAGCAGGGATTCATTGCTGCTCTGGAGGCCGCAGATAAGCTTTCCTCCACCGATGACGCCGAAATGGCGAAAGAAGAAGAAGAGGAAGAAGATGAGGAGGAAGAGGTGGGCTATCGGCAGCGCGTTTTATATATTCCAATACTGCTGATTATTCATGCAGTGGTTTCTGTTTGTTGTAGTCTAAGCCTGCCGCTCCAGAAGGGCCAAAGAAGCCCATGTTGGACCTCCCCGCTGCAGGACAGGACGGAATCTCCCTGTCAGGTCAGTAGAGACCATTTGAGTCATTGGAAGATTCGACAGGTTCTTATTCTGCAGCAGTAAATGACTGTGGTTTAGTCCTGTGATGTAAGTTGGACAATAAGAGCACAAGAGACCGATTATATTTATATTATTTAATTTAAGTTTAATTAGTTATTATAAAAGAAAACAAATAAGACATCAATTAAGATAACTGAAATTAAATGATAAGTGAGAAATGCACACACACACACGCACACACACAACACTGCTTATTAAATCATCATTGATTTGTTCATTTTTTTTAAAGCAAAAAATCAAAATTTTCTGATTCCAGCTTCTCAAAAGTGATGATTTGCTGTCAGATGTGATGTAACTTTTATTAATTTATAATAAAGTCACAAAATTTGAATTGTCAGCCTAATTAATAAAGAATATAGCTATTAGTTGCAGCCCTAAAACTAATAACGTAACAAACACGGTCAAGCGAGAACTAAAACATCCTTCCACCTGCAGCCCCGCTGCAAGTTATCGTGTAAACAAAGAATGAACTGCTGACGTGTAGCACGTCTGCAGAGAAGAACCTGATCCTCACAGGCAGAAAACATCTGCTCGCTCACATTCTCATTGCTTTTCTGCCTCCGGTCGTCCCGCAGCGGGTCAGCAGCTCGACTTCCTGGAGGGCAGGAAGAAGCAGTACATGAAGGCCGCTCTGCAGGCCAAGCAGAAAAAGGACATGGAGCAGGCCAAGGTCCTCCTCCGCACCGCCAGGCGCTTCGACCCCATAATTGAGGCCGCCCGCAGCGGCAAGACGGTGGACATCAGTGCGGTGAGCAGGCGGGCAGTTGATTATTATGATTACCGTGATATTCGTTACGCTGTTGGCAAAGTTGTTGCTTAGTTTGCCGCATCATTTGAAAGCGAGCGGAATTAGATCTCTGCTCGCTCAGTTTGAATGTTAAACGGTGAGAAGTGTCTACTAAAAATATCCCCACCAAAAAGTCCTGCAGTAGCTTAGTATGACGGGAAAAATGTCATACGGAAAGTCACGGCATCGGCTGGCATGTGACCCGTAGGTGCCGTCGCCGCCTGGTGACGAAGACGAAGACTTCATCCTGGTTCATCACAGCGACGTGCAGGTGTCTGAGAAGGCCGAGGAGCTTTACGCGCAACTGGCCAAGATCCTTAAAGAGCAGTACGAGGTGAAACAATCGGCGCGACAGAATAACGTGCCTAGTTTCATTTTATTTTGTTAATATATTTACCTTTTTACCGAAGTAGACTTCTTCATATTCATTTATTTGTTTGTTGCTTTTCTGTCTCGCTGTTCTTATTCATGGTCCCTTGAGATATCTGACAGCGGTTCTTCTCCTGCTATTTCCTAGAAATGTATGACTCACTCTAAGCAGTTCACACATCTGGGCAACGTCACCGAAACCACAAAGTAAGTCTCCGTCATGAGGCTGCAAGTATTACCATCAACAAAAAAGACTTTGGGGATTAAATGGATTATCCATTTTTTGTTTTACACCAGTAAAATGTAAAATGTGTGTGCGCGTGCGCTTTAGGTTTGAGAAGATGGCGGAGAGTTGTAAGAAGAGCCTGGAGGTCCTGAAGCTGGCTCAGTCCCGGGGTCTGTCTCCCCCTAAACATCACTTTGAGGAGAGATCCTTTCACACTGTCCGGTAGGTGTTATACTGCAAATATTTTGAATTTAATATTTTTGTTTCGTTAAATGTAGCAGGTTGAAAAGACGGAGTAACGTCAGAGATTCTTCGTTCAGATATTCAAAACACCCCATGGCCACTTTATAAAATTAAATGCAATTCTACGAAGTTTGACGTATTGACGACTATGCATCACTTGTGATGTGTCCTGATACTAAAGTCAAACCTGAGGATATAAAATGTTAAAGCTGCTATTTGGAGTTTACTCCATCGTATTCATAGCAGATGGAGAATCAATAAATCCCTCATCTATTTATCTTTTGTCTCTGGATTTCTTTCTTTCTTTCATTGCTTCCTACTGTCTCTTCCTTTGCAGGATATTTCCAGACCTGAGCAGCACAGACATGGTTGTCCTCATCGTCAAAGCGATGAATCTTCCTGCTCCCAGTGGTAAAATCAGTAATCAGTAACAAGTGGGCTCCATGTTCAATGAACTCTTGAGTCCACATGACGTCTGCTAGCGCTGAAATAAATGATTCTGAAATAATTATTTTCATCTTGTATTTTCTTTGCTGTTTGTGATCAACTTTCGCTTTCAGGGATTCAAACAAACGACCTGGATGCGTACGTGAAGTTTGACTTCCCGTACCCCAGCGCGGTAAGACTCTGCTGCTCGATCCGCCGCAGCCCGCTGAGGCCTCTCTGCTCTTCAACGTGTTTTTGTTTTTGTGTTGTCGCCACCAGGAGCAGCCACAGAAACACAAAACCACTGTCATCAAGAACACCAACTCGCCAGGTGAGACATGAACAACGCCGCTGACGACCGGGCGACCATAAAAAATACCTGTTTAAGATTCACTTTTGAGTTTTGAATACAAAATTGTCATGAGTGTGATGCTATGGTGCGGGAAATCCATAATCTATAACAATTGTAAATATCCTTATTCAACAGCTGTTTGAAAATATGTGTTTTTATTTCAAAATAAATCATTGCACCGTTGTAACAACGCAGTTCATTTAGAGTCACATTCAGGTTTGTTGCCAAGTCGGTTTTCACTGCATTTATATCTCTCGTCATTTAATCTGCGATCTCCTTTGAAAGCAGAATACAACCAGAGCTTCAGCCTGTCAATCAACCGAAACCACCGCGGCTTCAGGAGGGTTGTGACGTCTAAAGGCCTCAAGCTGGAGCTGCTGCACAAAGGGTGAGTCGCACACAGCTGCGCTCGCCGCGGGGCATCAACCTCACGCGGCTTCAGCAGGAGCTCGTCTCATTTCCAGTTCCAGGCGCCGAGCCGCGCTCGATCACTTTGCGGCTGCATTCAGCAGTCAGTGTCGCTTAAATAAAAAAGAAAAAAAAAAAGAAAGCCCTGAGTTGTCGTGTTGTTGTCGCGCTGAGACTGTGGCAGTGACGCCGTGTCTGGTCTCCCAGCGGCTTCCTGCGGAGCGACAAGCCCGTTGGGACGGCCCTCGTCAAGCTGGAGAAGCTGGAGTCGCAGAGCGAAATCAGGGAGATCGTGGAGGTGATGGACGGCCGCAAAGCCACGGGCGGCCGCGTGGAGGTCAAGATCCGCCTGCGGGAGCCTCTGAGCGGACAGGACATGCAGAGGAGCACCGAGCGCTGGCTGGTGATCGACTAGTCGCAGGTGACACGAGACATACGTGGGACATGCGTGTCCACGGCATTTCGTCTGCTATTATTTTCAATGTTTGTGTCGGATGCTGCATTTGATTCACGTTATTTGTAACTATTTCTGTGTCTCGCAGATGATGAAAGACAAAATCAAAGACGCTCGAGAGGAGGAGGACGTCGTTCGGTCGACTTTACCTACGCGGGTCTTTGACTTGAACCCGAGACGCGACGCTGAAGCTGGATTTATGGCCGGCCGGCATCTGTCTTCAGCTGATGGACAATTACTTGTTGTCCGAATGGTTCACTGGTCTCATCACTGGCGATTCACACGGACTGAATGCAGATGGAAGCCTGCGAAGCATCGGGACGGACTCGCGGGCAGAACAAGACGAAGCTTTCTCACATCTGAGAAAACCACCACGATGGGTTCACCCCGAAGAGTCTCCTCAGGCATCCGTCCGTCTCCCGGAGCACAGCAGGCAGTGTGTCCTCGCTGAGAGGCGGAGCTAACCTGATGACTAAAGTTAATATCAAAGAGTGTAGATATTCCTCATATTACCACAGCTCTGGTATCTAGAACGGCACCTATGCACTAATACCAAAGTAATCACTGTTGCTGTAAAGTCATGCATTCATTTAAATGTCCTTTTTTTACTGGCCAAGTTTGTTGAGTTAAATTGATGATAGAAACGTTTTTACCACTTTTCCTCCACAAGTTTCTGTTGATTTTCAGTGTAAAAGCAGAAAACCCTTTGGTGGTTTAAAATAGTTAAGCCAAGAAATTATGATGCTATACAAGGTACGATTTATATTGTTCTGAAGTCCACACGCCCTTTATATTTATTTGGCACCTGTTAACTTTGATTAGTAAGTCCTCTGACTGTGGTCACTTAACTGCACTCTCACTTCTCTGTGGCTTAAGATTTAGTTAGATCGATCGATCTGGTTTATGCATAAGACACATGTGTGCAAATCAAAACTGCTTGGAGTTTAATGTTAATGTTTAATTGTTAAATAATCTAAATGTTAATTTAGCTGAAGGAAAACATCCACAATTACACAGATAATAAGATGGTAATCTTTTTTAAGTAAACTTGTTTGAAACTGACTAAATCCTTGAAGGAATAGTTTGAACTTTTTGGAAATGCACTTACAGTTCAATGAAAATAATTGATACCACTTATGTTCATGTGTTAAATATGAAGCCAGATACAAATGTTTTATACATAAATACACATCTTAAGTTCACTATTATACAATAAGTGAACTTCAAGACGAGTGGTATCGATCTTCTCATCAAGCTGTCAAAGGAGAGCGTTTTCCAAAATGTGTAGAAACTACTTTTTATTACTATGCAACACTCTCTAGATCTCGGGATGAAGCACTTTACATTAACATTAAAGCTGCGAGCACCATTGGGGCCGTTGCCCGTCAGGAGCCAAGGGTCCAGGAGAAATGGCGTACTGTAAACATCCATGTGGAAAAACTAAATAAAAAACTTTTAAAAGCCATTAGTTAAAGCTAAAAGGTGTGATCATATTGTGTGATTTGTACTTAGTGAATTATGCTTGTTGACGATTTAATTGATTTTAACAAGCGTCATGTTGACATTCAGTTACTCTACGTGGCTCTGGAACAAGCGAAAACGGTTCTGTGCTGTTGATTTGAAAACCGTTATATTCAATTATTGCTCCCACTTTTTTTGGTACATAGTTACGTCAAAGTCTGTTCTGTTTTTGTGCCCACGAATCCTTTGGATTAGTTTAGTTTTTTGATCCCGGGATGTAGGTTGCGCCTTGGAACGGTCAAAAAGGTCATAAAACACAAAATCGCAGACTTCCTGTTGGCTTTTGGGCTTTTCTCCAGGAGGATTTGTTGTACATCACATCACATATATGTACCTAACATGCAGCTTGCTGTAACCAATACTGGGGCTTTATCATAAGGGTGCAGCGACTCCACAACTATCGCAGATAATTTCTGTAAAATGCCAAATTTCACAACCTTGTTAGTATTCCAAGCACCTTGTTTTTGCAAAGAAATACGCATACGAAGTTACACAAAGGAACAGCAGGTCCTCTGCTCAGATATGTGAGTTATCGGCCCTGAAGTGACACTTTTTCAGGGAGATTTTCTGCCTCGTCTGCTGCAAATGTAACGTATGCAGTTTTATCTCATTTGAAAAGTAACAAAATTGTGTTGCAATAATTTTGAACTTAATAGTTTAAAGAACACCAATGAACGTCTGAATGGACATCAGCTGCTCAGCTGGTCCATAGCGCTGCAGAACAGCTGCTGGTTTGAAATATAAAGAGTAACCAGAACAAAAGACATGCTGCTGTTACAGAAAAAAATTAAACGCTTCTCAATTTGAGTGAGCGGACCCTTTACTGTCGTAAGCACAAGGAGACACTTAATACCATTTTTAAAATCAGGTGAACTGTCAATACGATGTGACAAAATGAGACGAGACGGTCACAGCCTTTCCGTTCCTTACAAGGAAAACATGAATGCAACCTTCCGTTTATCACACGAATAAGGAAAACGGTTGCCCATCATTTTATTTGGTTAAAACACTTGTTTACAAAGTCCAATGCTGTCACACTTTGTATTTACAGAATAATCTCTGATAATAATCCCTAAAACAGAATCACGGCTTTTTAAAAATTCTGGATTGAATTTGCTCCACTTAAAAATCTACCGATTCAAGTTGTATTTCACCGTTGGCAAGCATTTTTTGTTTAGTAAAAAAATAAAACAATTTAGGAATACAACTTTTCAAAAACAAAGGATAAAAGGCAAAAACTACTCATTTTAATTTTCTGTATAGATTTTAATTTTACATATTCTACAGTTTGATAAAGATCAGCTGTCTTGACATTTAGGGCCTGGAAGGGAAGGAAAGGACAGGGTTTTGACTGTTTATTAAAAAGGAAAAAATACTTAAACAGAACCGAGGCCATGATGGAACTGAATGAGTGGAGTTTCTTTGTTTCATCCACAAATTCAAAGATAACTGTTAAAAAGCTTGTTTGCATGCAGTGTTATAGGTTTAGATCGATCTTACAACTCAATACAAAATGAAAGAAATTGCTACTTTTTCAGTCAAACAAAATTGCACCTTTTTTCTTTTGGATTTAGGACGTATTGCACACAGAAAATGCCCAAACGAAACGTAACAGAAAAATAAACCCTCGCGTCTCGTCTTCATTAACGCTAATTTATAAAAAAACAGAACTGCCGGCGGCGGCCGACGGACGTCACAAAGTGGAGACACAGTGATTGAGAAACACCAACTCTAGTCTCATCACAGTAATAAACCCAGAACCGCTGACCTTTGACCTCTCATTCGGTCATTACTGAACATTTTGAATCCCAATACTTTGCTACGGCGGCTCCTAAAATACTTCAAATCAAGTAACAAATACAGAACAGCTGCAGATCGAATTCAAACGCATCGGCTCGTCCGCAGCTTTTTTAATGTGATTGTCGGATTCAGAATTGCGACAACGAGATTTAGAATTGAGACTTGGTTTTACATTAGCACGATTAAAGATGCAGAAGTTGCCGTAATGCAGAATGATTACTGTACAGAGTGTTTTGACACGACACAGTGGTTTTTGGTGATTAATCTAGCCAGAAACTGAAAAAAAAACACACATTTTACAGATCTGAGCAGAAACAGGAGGAATACATTCGTATGTTTTTTGTTTTTTTCCCCGCAGGTCCACGTTGCTGAAAGAGAGCAGTCCAGAGCAGAGGGAGAGCGAGAGGGAGAGACAGGCTGCAGCCACCGGTTTACAGACGCACTCAAACGGTTGAGGTGTTTTTTTTTTTTTCCCCCTCGATCGACAGGGTTCCAAAGCAGGTCGGACGCGTCTGCGGCGGGAAGTTCATGATTTCAGGGCTTTGGAGGGACGATAGAGTTGCAGGGAAACGTGAGATGGAATACATTCAGCTTCAGGTCGGTCAGACTGTCGTTTCTGCAGGAACCCCGGATCTTTACAGTTAACTTTTCTGCCTTTGAAAAAAATAAAATTATTAGAACCAACATTCTTACGGAACAAAGCGGCAACCCGGCGCTCGCCTCCACTCTCCTGTTAATGGCTTAGAATCCAGTGCACTGCTTCTGCAATTTAATACAGTTCATATATATATATATATATATTTAGCTTTACATCTTCAGTTATTCACTTTAATATAACTGCAGTGGCTTTTCCAACAAGAGTTGATGGATGAGATTTAAAAACAGATTTCCCTCTTAACGCTTTATGTACAGATCAAGTTTATTAATAAAGCATTGGAACCTTTTTGTTTTAAGTCGGCGGTCCATCGCAGGACGAAAAGGCTTTTTTGTAACAGGTTTTCACAGAGCGTCAGTCCGAGGAGTTCATGACGATCCCCTCTGTCTTCGTCTGGGACTTATGGAGGCTACAGATGCAGAGTTGAAACGGAGCACAAGTTACTACGCCTATAAAAATATGTACAGCAGGTTAATGAACCGAAGTATCTGGTGATTGACGCGTGAAGCTAAAAATGTTCCATTTTTTCTTTTCCCCGCTCGCTGCTGGAGGCACTGAGCACCGTGGTGCAAAAGAGGAAGAAATGAGAGCGAAATAAAAATGACCACATCACCTTCCATCCCCCCATCTGGACGTCAGAGGAAAGCGTCCAGACTTCCCGGCGGTGAATAAGAGTCGCTCTTGTTTGAGAGCGTCCGTGCTACACGGAGGTCACAGGGTTCAGCTGCCACGGTGACACGCGGGTAACGGGTGGGCTACATACAACGCCTATGAAAAGGGTTTATTCTCCCTGGAAGTTTTATGGTTTTACAACATTGAATCAAAGTAGTTTTTGACAATGATCCACAGACATCGTTCTTTTAAAGTATAAAATACTTGATTGCTTAACTATTGGCCTCGTTTTCATCTGTTGTACAAAGCCGTTTAGTTCTTACTGTTGGAAGTCTGCATTTCTTGTTTTTTTTTTTTAAATAAAACAGCTGATTGGAGAACGCATGTGAAACCGCTGTGTTTGGTCAGAAGAACCATTTCAGCATTTAGTGAGAAGACAAAACTCTATCAGTCTGACTTAAAAGCGTCTTATTGTGCAAACATGGTTTTGTGATTGATGTTCCGAATTCATACTTTCCACATGAAATACACTTTGCTTCAATGTTGCACAGACAGTAAAACTTCTTTTTATAGGCACTGTAACGCCACACTGGGGCTGAACAGTATGATCGCCGGTGTTCAATTCCTGCTCGGAGCACCTCGAATGAACACCAGACGTACCCGTCAGGTGAGGTTCAGGTACACAGAACACACAGGTGGCCCTGCTCAGAGCTTCCTCGGGGCCCCAGGCGGCCCTTGGATGCATAGGTTGGACTTGAGGAAGGCTTCTCCGCCTGGCAGGCCAACTTTTCTTCTTTTTTTGTTTTTGTGCAAACGGTTGTAGTGAGATGTCAGAAAGTAAATGCCGTTCGGATGTGACGCCCCCCCCCTCCTCCCAGGACTCCTAGGAGATGATCTCCAGGATGTAGAAGACCAGCTCCATGACCACCGGGCCCTCGCTGAGCTGACACGCCCCGCTGTGGATGACGGGGATCAGAGCGCTGTCCAGGTCGCTCAGGTACTGAGGCAGAAGAGGCTGCCCGTTGCTCCCTGCCAGGTAACCCACCTGTGACAACGAGGATGCAAAGAACATTTAAATATTTATTTTATTTTAAACATTTAAGGATTTTAAAGGGCTTTATTGTTCACGGAATTATCACAAATTGATCGGTTTCCTTTACTACAATCCCACAAAAAAAAAAAGACTGCTCTTAGTAGATAGTCCCCAAAATTGACTACAATCTGTATGAACGAGACGACAAGATCTCTGTAACATCTGAGCCGTCCCACCTGGTCAGAGTCCAGAGTGACCCTCAGTCCCAGCTTGGCCATGCCGTCCTCCTTCAGCAGCTTCAGGTGGGGACAAAGCGCCATGCAGAAAGCTCTCGCCACGTTCTCCGTCAGCCGGCTGTGGTCGGCCGGGTCGCTGGGTTGATCTTCACTCTGGAGGAAAAACACCTAAAAAAAAGTATATATAGAAAATCACTACTTTACAAACATGCAAGTTGAAATAAGCATTAACAAATGACAATTGTATTGGATTCTTTGATGATTCAGAAAGTTTGAGGAAGAAGAAGGAAATATATGGTGCAAGAGTTGTTGTTTACAGGTAAAGGACAGTGAAAGAAACCAGGTTAAGCTGCAGTGGAAACATTTAATTGTAAACCTAAATGGTTGGTTGCTGCTGGTCCCAGTTAAAAGACGGAACCTGCACCCTCGTGGTGTTGCCTTTTTACGAGGGTCAGCGGCGTACCTCGGTCCAGCGGATGACTTTGCCATTGGCTTTGAACTCTGAGCCGTGGAAGATCTTGACACTGATGATGGACTCCATAGACTTCCCATCGATGGGACTAATGACGCTAAATAACCACAACACACAAAACAACAGGACATTTGAGTAACTAATGCCATAGTATGGCATTAAAGCATAGTTGGTCAAATAAGTCATAAAAAACATTAGTATATTAAAAGTGTGAACTTAAATGTAATCGTATAGTATTTTGTGAAGATTTGATTAAAAATGTTCGATCATATTTGGGTCCTTCTGAAGTATCAGGTTCAGGAGAATGACCAGAAATTGAAGGCCTCCGGCTCCGACTGAGGCGTAAACATTGTAAGAGGCCTGAGGAAAAGGAAAGCCAATCACTTGATAAAGACTACGGGTGAAATCAGGGTTGAAACTGTCTCAATTACATCTAATAGTGTAAAGTTACATTTAATTGACTGCGTTGGTGTTCATCGCAAAGCCACGTCAAAGCTCGAAGATTTCCCTCAAGCATGCATAATGAGTTTTTTATAGCAAAGTAGTAAAAGCAGCGGTGAGTGCAATCGTATGTGACATAAAAGCATCTCGTCTCACCAGGTCGAAATCAGTTCCAGTCTCAGAATCACATTTGTTTGCGACGCGCAAAAAAAGGTAAAATCTAATTCAGTCGACCCTTCATTTGCACGAGATCGTTAAAAAAAACAACGTATTAACAAAGCTAGAAGACACGGGCCTCGTCATCATCCTTTCTCACCCCTTGTTGAAGTCGTGGTCGTCCTCGGTCCACTGGATGTGGACGAGCTCCTGGTTCTCCTGCTGGTCGGCTTTACCGCACGTGACGGAGAAGTCCTTCATGTCCCTCAGGGCTTGACGTAGAGAGTCCATGGTCTCCGCTGTGATCTGGATCATCACACCGTCTAAGGGTGGAGAGAAGTTAGAACACGGGCCATCACGATTTCTGCTTCCGAACCCCTTCAGGTTATGTTTTGGGACGTTGAATAACTTGAATCCTTATATATATTATTGAATTATCAATAATCGATGAAATCAAAAGAACTGTTATTTGTAGCCAGCTGTCAGAAATAATAAAACCAATTTTGAAAACCTATTTCCTATTTTGCAGTGTATGTCATTTTGAATAATGCTCATCTATTTTTGAGTGAAATTCCAGCGTATTAATTATCTGGAAAATGAATTAAATTGATGGAATAAGTTGCATGTGGCATGAATCTGTCTCACACCCAGAATTGTGCTAATAGGCATAAAATCTTTAACAATTGGTTAGTTTATTTATCTCTTTGTGCAGCATGAACTTGTTGCAATATGGGCTTTATTCCTTGTGTGTGTCCTGTGTGTTAATAGAGACCATACAAATGTACAAATATTCTAAACCAATATTTCAGGACGTTTACAGCCAGGACGTCTTTTTGTCACATTTCTCACCTTCCACAATGCTGGTTTTGGCCAAGAAGCCCGACGACACTTTCAAAGCACCACTGAATACAAAGAAGCAGGCGCCAGTAACTGTAGGAAAAAGGAAAAATAATCACAATTAAACTACATCACAGATCAACTAAACAAGTTTTTGTTTTTTTTATGAAAAGGAGGCACCCTTGCGGGGCTGGTGATGGATGCTGATGGCCTGCGTCTGGTAGTTCCCGTCATCGTTCTGGACGCACACCAGGTGGGAGTCGGCCCGGTCATTGAAACACGCGCCCATGGCCAGCACGTGTTCGTTGGACTTGTTCATCGCCTTCATCAGCTGCAAAGACAAACAATAAACCAGGTCTAAATGAGATGCCCCCTGGAAGCGCGAGCCGAGGAAAGTGGGCTTAACGAAGGCGGCCTGGTTAAGCCTTTCGATTTGGGCTTGTGGGGAAACTCATTCAAATGGCGTAGAGATGACAGATTGCAAAGAAAGACGTCGACACGGGCGGTTATCAATAGTTGAAAGATCCCGCATAATTCGGTTTAAATTCTCTGCGCTCTCTCTGAAGCCGTCCTCTGCCAAATCCAAAATAAAACTGAAAGTCTGGAGGGCTTTAACCACTCGCTGCGCTGAAGGCTCTCCTGCAAGCTGTTGAGAGACGCTCTCCACTTTACTTTATCTGGTTCCCATCTGCTGCTGCAACAGCAGCCGCCGCCAAACGCTACAACCGGCAGCGCGCTCTCTCTCTCCACCGCCACTTTCCTTCCCAGCCAAAAATAGTCCTCTGTGCGTATCACTTCTTCTGCTCAAGCATTCATTCACACCTCGCGGGCAGCGGCACTAGAACACGTCGGCAGCCCACGCCCAATGTTCGGCTGCAGGGGCCCGGGAGGGATTGTCACACCTCACCTACGCAGAGTGAACGCGCCGGTTTGTGTGTTAATGATCAGGGAGCTTCGTAGGCGCCTCCTCCGGTGATGTCATCAGTCTGCAGGAGGGCTTCGTTTTTTGTTTGAAAAATGATCTGTGACTTTGGGGTATACCGATATGCGACTGGAGACACGAGGAGAGAAGGGAAGGCCGTTCGCTCGTGTCTTGAAGTGAAAGGTTTGCAGCAGTTTTAGGGAGTTTAGACAACAAGAGATTTACTGATGTAAAAGCTGTCACAACGTGAAAGGAAGGTCTCCCGTTGCTTTGATCTGAACTCTGTTGAGGCTCCTTCCTCATCCATGGTTTTGGTAACCACGCATACCCACATTTGTGTATAACGGACTGTGCCAGTTTAATTTAGTGTGTGTTATGTGTTAGTAGATCACCAGACGTGGGACACTCACCTCATTGTACCGATTACTGGGGATCTTAATGCTCGTCTTCTTCACCTCCATGTCCACCACGAGACCTTTCACCACCGGTAGCGTGTACTGGTAGTTACGGAAGTCCTGAGACCGGGACAAAGAAACTCAAGTTACATGTTTCAGTGAAAAAGTTTGAGAAAAAATGTGTCAACCAGGCAGACACAGGTCTGATAAGGATAGAGACACACCGAGCACCACACAACACTGACGCTTTGTTAGTTATGTTTACATTAATGTCAGGAGACCACACAATGCATGTGATTGGATCTTGTATTGCGGCGGGAGGACCTGCTCCTCCTCGTTGCCAGTTTAGGGCCAATAGAAATCTTTTCTTCTATGTCTAACAACAAGTACAATCATAATGTTCTTCCTGATGTTAGTCAGTTCTTCCGGACCTGCGGGCCGACAGAACGCAGCGCAGATACTTTACCTGTAATCTGACAAATAAAGCGAACAAGAGGAGTTGTTTGGCTGAATTGTTCCACGTATCCCCAACCGTGATTCCACATTTGATCACGTTTTTTTCAAAATGCATAAATGAAGGCGCTTCAACCTTGAAAATAAACGTTGACAGAAACAAGGCAACTTACTGCGAGCAGGTTCATGATGGTGTGACCGGTCTCTCCAAAGAGGGGTTTCCTGAAGCGAACACTGAACAGCGGACACGGGTAAACTGCAAAACAAAGCGTTTCAGTTGAGGAATAATTGACAGGAGAACTGATACAAACTACAAACATGTTGTCCTCTTTCTAAAGTCAAGGCCACCGGGTGTCTCAGTTCGTTTGGAAGTAATCTTCACATTTGAGGTTAAACCTCGGTCAGAAATGTGGTCACAGAAAGGGATTTACTTTTATTACATTAGTTCGATTCAGTGTTTGTTCATGTAGCATTTCCAGGATTTCTTCATGCTTTCATTAAATAGCACAGCTTGTGTTTCTGGTTTACTCATAAATGCAAATGAGCTACGAAACACGTTGAACTGTGCCTGTAAAAGAATGCGGTTTGTCTTTTTCCTCAAGCAACCAAAGCTCCTTAGATTACTATTTTTAGCCTTATCTGAGCAAACAGCTGGAAATGAGATCTCATTAGCAATAATTTAAAAAAATAAATAAATAAATCCATCTCAACCTCAATCTGCAGTTAGCGGGATCCACGCGCTGACGAGCAACCCGAGCTCCTGCTGGTTATTGCTCGGGGTAAGAGAGCTACACTGACTGTGAGGGGGACTGAATTCATGGTGATGGCAGCATCTTGTGCTTAAGAGCCTCGGCGGAATGTGGCTTTTTATTTAAGTATTCTATCCAAGCCGGCTGGAGGCAGGAAAGAGGCTTAGCAGAGGCAGGCGGCGCTTCGTGCTAGGAGGTCTGGCTGTGAGAAAAGGGGATTTGGTGGTGATCAAAAATAAATAAATAAAATCACAAGACCTACTGGTCCGTGTGAAAAGCTGCGAGAAATGTTGAGTACAGCCGGTTTGATGTCTACGAGCTTCATCTGACAATTGACATACTAAGCTCTACAAGATCAAGCTGGATCGTAATATTTTACCATAAGAACCCATCACACTCGCACCCTTTGCTTTCCCTTTCTTCAAATCAAACTGTGATGTTCGGTTCCAACATGTGACAGAGAAGTGTCATCTTTTTTTTGGTCAACCCTTTCAAAGAAAATCACTATACACCGTGAGCCCCACAGCGCAGGTGCACTCACATCGGTACTCCGCGCCCAGCCGCAGCATGAGGCGGATGGGGAAGACCTTGGCCCAGGGCGTCTCCCACTTCTGTACCAGGATGCCGAAGAGGTACGGTGGGTTGGGCAGCAGAAGGTCCTGCAGCGACTGGAAGGAGGGGCTGATGTAGAGGAAACCGCCGTGCTCCTTACTGCCTAGGAAGCTCTGCGTGAAGAACGAGTGACTCAGGTGGCCCAGCACGCTGCCTTTAGGAGACGAGGAAGAAAGTGGAGGGAGGTTAGTGATAAAGGAGATGTGAGAAGGAGGGGAAGGCTGAGCAGGGTAAAAAATGAACACAAAAAGACACACAAAAGGGGGAAAGATAGTGCCAACCTTTGAAACAAAATATTCATTATACCTGAAATTACAAGGGTGCTAGAGGCCATTCCTTGTCTGATTTAAGTTCTTCAACAGTGAATACAAAAGGTATCTTGCCTGCTCACCCTGCAGCCTCATATTACCAGGACGGCTTCATGTTACTAATTATCTGGGGGAGGAATAGCTTGCTTTATGCCACATAACCAGATAATGACACGACAAAGCTCAGTGGTTGGAACTTGCTAGAGCCAGCACTTCTTCCCGAGACCTGACAGGCAGCAAGTTAATCAGAAATGACTCACACAATATGGCTCTGTTGCTCCAGCCTGAAACTGCCCCAGTGTGACTATAAAAAAGGAAATAGCCTGAGGGGAGAGAGCCGTCAAAGTCACCCACTATTAGCCCATTTTGCACCGCAGCATACGGAGTTGAAAACGCACAATAAGCGCTGGAGAGATGTCGAGCCTGCAGGGAGCCGACCTGACAGCCGGATGCTAATGTCCTCTCCACGGAACAAAAAAGTAGAGCATGAACACTTCCCCTGTACATTATTCAACATTACTTTAAGGTTAGCCGTTCCTTTAACTGGGCAACACTTGACAGGGAGCCTCACCTGTTGACAGCACTACTAGTGAGCGCATACGGTGGAGGTGGAATAGTTTCGTTGGGCCTCCTGGTGGAGCCAGTGATTGTGTGCTTACCACTGAGGGCCTCCTGGTAGAGTTGCACAAAGTGGGTGAAGATGTCTTTTGGGATTGTCTTCTCGTCAGGTAGACACTGGAGCAGAATGACCACCTCTGCCTGGCCGACGGCGTGCATGCCCTTAGTCGTCATGTACCAGCACTTCCTGTTTACATCTGTGGGGTGGAGAAAACGAGGGGACTGGTCCGTCACATGTGCAGGAGATAACTGGCAAGACAGATTCACACTTCAGAATGGCAAATCTGACGTGTTTGTATAAACTGTTTTACATAATAGTCATGACAGCAAACGATTACTTCACTATTTACGACCGTCTAAAATGTTTAACGCTTAATTAAATGTGTTTCTTAGAAGGCTCCTATTTTTTACGAGGTGCATAACATTGAGTCAATAAAAACTGAGAAGAACACTAACGTCCAGTTTGTGTAACGTCCAATGTGAAGAACCTTTAAACTTTGTAAAATCACTGAGGAGTGACGGTCATAAAAACAACATGACATCAAATCCACACATAAAAATACTCACAGTTGACAAGCTTGACCATGGCGAGCAGGTTAGCGTTGAGCACAAAGACCAGAGGGTCTGGATTTTCCTCCTCCAGCTGCTGCATGAGGACGATCTCTGACGGCTTCTCCTCCACGGCATAGTCTGCAAGCGGGGTTGAGCACAAGAAGGAGGAGGATGGTGGAGGGTGGAGGGAGGAGGGTGGAGCCAAGGTAAAGTTAGATAAACCAACAGCAGACGTCGGAGCGAGGATGATAAAAGGAGTCACATGTGAGGTCAGAGAAAGAAATGATGATCAGACCTAGATGCGGGAAAACTTCTGCATTCCCATGGACAACCCCCCCCCGCTCCGTACCCCCATTTGCAATGAGTGGTCGAATCATGAGCCGTGAATACAGGACGCAAGTAAAAAAAGTACACACACAAGCACAAACACAGCGGCTGTCGGAAGCGATGAGGAGGCAGCAGAATGGTGAGGATGAGGGCAAGCACCTGTGATGTGGCCTCCCGTACCTCCTTTGACTCCGGTGGAGATGAGGATGGGAGGGAGCCCGTCCTCTGGGATCAGACTGAGGGCGCTGCCCACGGGGCTGCCCACCAGCGCAGCAGTGGTGGTATGGGCTGCCTGGGGCTGGAGAGGAGGGGCGGGTGCGTACAGTACAAGTCAAAGGTTTGAACACACCGTATCATTCAATTGACAGCATGTTTTGTGTGACTGTGTCTGATGAGCTTCTATCATACTCTAAGGGACCAGTTGGTAATGCAAACTTTCTGATACAAATGTGCGGTCTCCAAAAAAAAAAAAAAAGTCTGCTTTTAGATCAATTTCTGCATTCGGGTTGGATTATGATGAATGTAAAAAACAAATCCATGACAGTATAACTTATGGCGTATATCATGGCGTCATGTACAAGTCTGATTTCATAACCAAGTTCTTTGCAGAGCATCACGTGGTCATTGGAGATGGAGCCATTTCAAAGCTTTAACAATGATTTAACAGACCATGAATTATCCTCAGATGTGGCATTCAAGTCCAATGAGCATACAAGCAACACAACCACTGAAAACAATCCACATTCCAATTGCTGTTCTCTCATGTGTTGGGAGACAAACTTTAAGTGGGATTTCTAATTCTGATTAAGCAAACATGGAATGTTTCTTTTAAACTCTCTCCAGTCCGTGACCCAGCCAGCAAATCACCAAGAATCCCTCAGAAAGAGTTCTTTGTGGCTTCAGAGTAGCTAATACACCCATAATAAGCTCTCGTAATAGCATTAGCTGCGGGTCAATGTTTTTTTTTTCGTGCCGAGCCTACCTCTGAGGACTCGGAAGTGGAGGATTTGTGTGAATACATGGAGATAGCCAGAGACTGTGAGGGGGTTGAGCTGGAGGCCGGCGGTTTAGGGGACTCTGCCGTGTCTCCGTTGGGTAGCAGTCCATCAGCAAACCACACCCTCCTCTGCTCCCGGGTCAAGGTGGCTGAAAGGTGAGAGAAACACCATGAGGTTATGTTAAAATGTTATGCAAATAAACCTTTATCAGAACCAGCACTTGTATAAAAAGCAGTGAGGGTTTTTTAAATTCTCTGTAAAGGTTGTACCCTCGTTGCCGGACGGTTTCAGGACTCCCACAGGCACCATGACCGTAGGAGGAGGGGAGCTGAGCACCCCGGAGGCCTGGGCCTGCTGCAGGGGGGGGATGGTGGAGCAGTACTCCGCTGGGTTGTTTGGGTTCGGACTCTGGTTGCTTCCAGTTGCCGGCGTCTCCCATGATTGAGCTGAGAGAGAGACAGACGACACCAAATTCCTGTGTGTGTAAAAACTAAACCTGTGGGAGAATTTTTTTGCAATATATTAAATCCAACATATAAACAGTAATTTGCTTGGAATGGGTCATTGTGAAAAAATAAAAACGTATAGCCAACACTGTATGGATTATTGCCCCAATACATACAGTATTATGCATCACATTCATGCCTTAATCATAAAGCAGAAAAGGTGCTGAACAACCTGTCACACTTTAGTTAAGCTTTCCTGCAATTCAAAACATCTCAAAATTACTCACCATCACATTATGAATGATGTAATGTCTTAATTTAAATTGAGCAGCATCTTCAGTTGCATGTACGTATTAAAAGAAAATGCACATATGCAACATGTAAATTGGACAGAAGTATCTGTGTACTGGATGCTCACCACTCGTCAGAGCAGGATGACATGTGACACAGACGCGAGCCTCCTTCCTGTCCATGTACTCGAGTCTGCACTTCAGGCTGCAGCACGTCGCACAGAACACCTTCAAAAAAACATGTGGACAAAGAAAAAGATTTAGTACCACATTCTTAGAAAAGGTTGCGAAAACTGAGAAACATTCCTGCAAATTGTTTTACAAAACTGAGAGAATGATTTCCTTTTTTTTTTTTAAAGGGGAAGAATTAAAAATCAGTTGGGATTTACTGCAATTGTGGTGCAAATGGACCATTTCATGGTTATGGATTTCCTGTACTCTACCAGGGCGTCAATGAGCACCAGCTGTGCACAGGCCACTTTCCATTTATTGCACCTCATTACCCAGTACCATTCAGATCCTACAAGCACCATCAAAAACTGGTTCGTGGGTCTACCGGTCTGGTGATGGGTGCACTGAGGATCCCACTGCGTCTGTTGTCTGTGGTGTCGGTATTACTGCAGTGCCAGCTCCTCCCCGCTCAAGTGACAGAGAGTGGGTCGGTTTACCACCATGGGAAATTAAGTGGCAGTCCTGAGATGTTCCAGTGCAGCGTCAGCGACCACGTCTTTACTTAAAGAGCCGCCATGATCATCCATTGAAGGATGTCATTTGATTTACTTCCTTGCCAAAGCACGTTTAATAATATTGTGGGAGTGGAATATACCCATCATGCTTTTGAAAAAAAAGAAAGAAAAGAATGATATTTCTTGTGCTTTTCTCCTTGACTGGATAGTTTTGGGCCTTTTGTTAAAGTAAATTGTTGCAGTTGTGTAATTTGTGTTATTTTGAGTTTATTTTAAGATTTACTGCAAAATGATTACATGTAAGCGTAATTACACAATTAAGAGATTGATAACTGAATTAATCCAGAGAAAAGTAAGTAAGTACAGTCTTGTTGTACTCTGAACCTGCCCTTAAAAAGGCCAATATCATTGGTAATTCCCAGAATGTCCTCTGACAAAACTCCAGGAGAGGTGTGAACATTTTGGAGAAGGTGGATACAAAATAATGATGACAGCGCTGTAACAGCAAGCATGTTTTTGGCAAGAGTTTTGAAAGTCATGGCCCTTAATCTGAAATGCAATAAACATCCAATGGATGCACTGCATCATTCACCCATGTAGACGACCCAAACTGCTATGGGTAGGAAATGTTTACATTCCTTTGATGGATTTCTGGATAACTTTAAAATGTACAAAATAGTCGCTTTAATTCCAAAGGACCCATGACCCTTTCTATTGATGCTTTAGATATGAGATTATTTGTAGTGTAGCTGCTTTCTCCACGGACAGCACATTGTCGAATTATTATGCAATCATAAACACACACAACCCATTATTTACTAAACTAAATTTCACAGGTTGCCTCATCATTGTTTGTTGACACAGGGTTTTATTCTGGAGGTTCAGATAAAAGCGGTCCACTGACCTTGCCGCAGGCCCTGCAGTGGTGCCTCCTCTTGGTGAAGGTAAACCGGACATCACATTTCATGCAGACGGGAGCCTGGCAGTCAGGCACCCACACAGGGGCCACCTCCCCCAAGGAGCTGACGGGCTGCCTGCACACAGCGCCCTGTTGGCCCGCTTGGACGTCGTTGTCGGGGCTCTCCGAGGGCACCGGGGGCATTGCGTGGACGACGGCATCCCCGTTCACCCCGCCCGCACTCTGCTCGGCCCCGTTGGCCACAGTTTCGGGGGCCACGCTTCTACGACACTGGTTCTCCTGGTTTTTGTTCCTGCTGGTGGCCGACGGTCCGAGCTGATTCTGGACCTGCCCCACCACCGGCTGTGGGATTTGGAGCTTGAGGCTGACTGGCTGCTTTGGTCGCGCCCCTCCGTACGGGACGCTGACGGGCTGCAGCCGGTTGTTGTGGGGTTTGGGATGGGTGCTACCGGCCGCCGCCGCTGCTGCTGCTGCTGCTCCTCCTCCTCCTCCTCCATCTCCACCCTCTTGCTTGCTTTCCTCCATTTCTTTCTCTTCAGTGACAGAGTCCTCTTTTGAGGGGACGGGAGAGGGAGAGAAACCCTCCTCTTGCCCCTCTGTCTCGTTAAGCTTGGAATGGTTACCGCTCTCCTGCTCCAAACCATTGGAAAGGCTTGATACTTTGATCAGTTGGTCAGGCTGTCCGTCTGGACCGCATGTCCTCTCTATCTCTGCCACTCCCACCTTGTAAAGTGGACATAATCCATTCACCTCACAACAAACCTGGATATCCGTCCCCCTATTCAAGAGGCTTTCTACCTGCTCCTCTTCCAAGTGTTCCGTTTTTTTGTCGATACAATTTCGGTGCAAAACATCAGCGCTGCCCCCTCCCGTAACATCTCCCCTGTTTGGTGTCAGTTGCACATCGGGATGAATTTTCAGAGACGGGGTTTCATTTTCGTGCCCTAACACAACCTCGAAGGTAAAGTGAGTGTGATTGACAGCGGAGCCTCCTCCTCCCGCTGAGGGAACTCTCTCCACCTGATGAGGCTTCGCCTCCTGGTCGTAAGCGCCAGGCGGGTCGTCCGGGGGAGAACGGGCCCCCTCGCTGAGCCCGCTGAGCTGAGGGCTGGCGGGGCAGCCATTCTGCACAGCAGCGCAGGCCGTCACCGGGGGCGGCGAGTGGTCGTCCGTGCCCACCAGCTTGCCGATGTTGGGCTGGAGTAATGGCGGGCTGTGGACGTCTGCCGGCCTCTCTTCCACCCAGGATGGCAGCTCGGCACCGGGATGCTGCTTAGGGGAGGCGCCGGGCAACGAATCGGGGAGAGTTTTGAATGGCAGAGGACTCTCCTGCGGGCTGAGGTCTGCGTGCGTCAGGGCGGGGTTCAGAGAGAGCAGGTGGGCCGGCGGGGCAAGGATCTGGGTCCACTTGGCATCGGAGAGAATAGGATTTTCGGTCTCATCTGGCAGAGAGAGAAGAGAGGGGAGCAGACCGTTATTTGCAGCTCATGTGCATGACATGACCTTTGTCTTTATGTGGAGAGTTGAAGTGGGGTTGGTCGCTTTGCTGCACTTTGAATAGAATTAGTTCCATACATAATTCACCCTAAATTTTTTTAATTTACAAAAGCAAATTAACTGTTTCAAGACAACTAGTACAATCATACACACTCAGGTGATCGAAGGACCTAAAAATGGAAGCGAGAAACCAGGAGACAAATTAAGAAATGAGGTTGGCGTTGAACAGGGAATTAGTGTGTGGATGGAATGTGGGCCAAGTGACTCGCCCCCCACTGGGAGCCATCAGTAAAGCTGCCACGTGAATGCTGAGTAATACAAGCAGAAATTCATAAATATATATATATATATATATATATATTCAAAAGGACTTTCACACACAGTGATGTCTCCTCCCTTCACTGGAATTCATACTGAGCTCTCTCTAACACAGACACACACAAGCTGGAATCTCTGGCAGAGGACACACAGATAATTACTCACAGGCAAAATACACCCTGAGCTCATAGTACCATCAAATATGCTGCGTTTGGGGGACTGGTTATTCTCTGGGGATCATCAGCCATAAATCAGGAAGAAGGCAGCCTATTTGTACTGGAAAGGTGAAAGTCTGCAGATACGCCGCTCTGTAATGTGTGTTTACTTTACGAGAGCCATAAATATCTCTGTCAACGCCCATTTTTTATCAGCATTAAGTGTGAAGAAAATACTATTTTCTTGCACCACTTCCACACAAGCCCAAGGGAAATTGATAATCCAATTAGTCCTATTCCCTCTCTGCACGCCCTCAATAACCAACTGCACACGTTCCTCAAAGTCATTGGGCGGTGGCTGATCGTAACGAACATCGCTGATTTACTCATGGGTACCATTACCTCACCACAGATACAGCCCGTCCCATTGTCATTCACAATGACTCATTGTTTCTCACCGTCTTGTCTCAGATTCTTTGTTTTTGTTTTTTTTAATTGCCTCACCTTCGTTCTGCTCAAACTCGTCCAGCACCTTATCCAGGTTAAAGGCCTCGGCCTGGAAGTAATTCTCCATGGGTCAGGAAGCTTCCCCCTGCCGACGGCCGTGTGAACCTGGTCACACGAAGGAACGGGTCGTTAATAAGGAGATGCCCCGCGTGACCTGAATCGTACCGCCCATTTCATATCTCGGTTTAATATCATTTAAAAGCCCCCAGTGATTTGCTCCTATATTAAAAACATATCTCCCGCAGTCCTCACCTGCACAGAGGTCCTCCCCGGCAGTCCCGGGTGGTGGGTTTTCGTTCTCAGCAGGTTTCTCTTCTCCGTTCTCACTTCACCCAGTCTGGCAAGCGCCCAGCGCCCACACCTGAGACGCGGAGGGAAACCCGGATCAGTAAAAGGAGCTGCTTCTCGGCCTGTGAGGCCGAGCCTGCTGCTGGCGACACGATGAGCGGCGGTGTGGTTACAGCCGGGCAAAGAAAGTCCCACAGTGTGTGGAAGTCAGAGGCCGGCTATTCCGCGGAGCCACGGCTTCGGAGAAAGCAGCAGAGTTTTTCGCTTAGTTTAAAAGGTGCGAGCGTGAACCTCACGTCGGCACTAAACCGTGGAGGCGCAGGACGGGAGGCTACAAACCAGGCTTAAAATAAACAGTCTGTTAGCGAATGAAACAAAGCAACGGCACGTTAAATTAAGACTACAAACCTTCAGGCCTGCACAGTCCAGAAGGAGTATGTTGACTCAGATGAGGCACAAGAACTCAATGACGTCACCGCTCAAAGACCAACTAAAGTTTTAGTAAATACTTCATGATGATCACATTCGCTTTTATCTACTCAACAGCACAACAGTGATTTCAGCTACATTCAATGAATTAAGCCTTTCTAAACCAGTGAGAACCTCCAATACAAGACCGTAGCAACAAGTTTATATAAGATAAACATCTTATACCACCCGGCTTCCCCGCAAAATAGACGTTACCATTAAAAAAAGAAAACTCTGCACCTCTTAGTTCAGGAGGGAAGCCTATACGCAATCCTTGACTTTGGAAATCGGCACTGTAAGAACCTGAAATGCATAAAAACAAACAGACACGTCTCCACAAGGGCAGGAGGCCATCCCTGATTAAGATTTAATTACTCTGCAGAGGCGGCATTGAATAATGCATCTTTAGTCAAAGTGCGTGAAAGACTTGTATTTTTAGAAATGTAAATTTTGAAAGATGCTTAAAAAAAAAAGGAGACATATGTGCATGCGAGAGTATGTCAGTCAGAGACTCTGTAGGACTATAACACAATTGGTCCTGCAGCCACATGATGTTAATATCACGCCGTGTTCATACATGCTCCAACTACTCAACCAATGGCAAACCAAAGCCATCACATGCAGCAAAGCCAGAATATCCAGATTCTGACGGTTACTCTAATTGACCTCTAAACTATTTTAAAGACTTTTCATATTATTTAATAGAGTCCATGATAAGGTCTTAAAGTGCTTGGGAATCTGACAAACAGCGAAGCCAATAACATTCATGTGAAACATTGTGAAACCGGAGTAAGATAAAAAAAAAGTTGCCTATTTTTAGCCAATGCTAGAAGCGAACCCCGGATGCACCACTTTGGTCCAGACTCAAACATCTCATCTACAACGAGATGGGTTGCTGTAAAATTCAGTAAACACATTATGACCGATTATCCCCCTCAGGAGGCTGCTGTCACTACTTTGGGGACCCTGGGACTTTTCCTCTTGCGCGATCATCGGCTCAAAACGAAGTGCGTCCAGTGTAGCTGTACTTCGTGTTCATTGGACGTTAGCAAATGATCACGCAACATTTATTATCATGCGCATGGCAGCGTGCAGCTCAAAACAACGCTGTGAAACGACACAGCCTCAAAAGAAACCATTGCTTTTCTACAAAGGCTCTTATACAACACTGGACTCCACGCCTAAAACGTACGGCCATTATTACAGTTCTGAAATGTTGGCCCGTCTCATTGTATACATCACAATGTGTCAAAACAATGATCGTAAAAATCATGCAGGAAAAAGGGGATAACTTTAAAAAAGTTATGAGCGTGTAAGCGTAGAACGCGCATAGAACGTTTACCAACACGTCGGCGGTCTCTGCTTTCAGAAACAAGCAGACGGCCGCCGCTCCTCCATCAGTGCAGCCGGGCTCGGGCCGCCGGTGTAAGCCAGACATGCTAATAATGAAATGGCCTAACAGACGACTAACGCAATAAACCACGCCTGACTGGACATCCGGGCACGGCCGCCAAATTAAATAAGACACGGGCGTAAACAGCGAGAAAGCTCGGACAAAGTGGAACGGTACAGCAGTTCATTAAGTCATCGCCGCTTCCTGCAGTCACCTCCTCGCACATCGAGTGGAACTTCCTCGCTAAACAACCACTGGCGTCCTGCTCCTTGGTATTTATATGGATATGTTCATATAAACTTCATTTTGTGCAATTCAGGGTTTATAAATTTTTATTGATGGGAGCAAGAAAATGGTGTTGTGAAATCCTTGATAATAACAATCATCTTTGTCACAACAAAACAGCATTTAAGTGCACCATTTACTGTCATGTTCCACATACGAGTGCCAAGGTTTGGAATAAACTTTCATGCTCAAAACGTAGTGCTTAATTTTGCAAACGGAAAGTCTCAAATAACCGCCGACATTTGGTGCATCGGATGCATCTCGAAATCCTCCCAACGCAACTTGTTCCCTCGACAAATATCTTCGATTGTCAAATTAAGTCAAAACTTGCTGGGAAAAAAAACAAACTTTTATGACACTCGTTCACTTATTTTCTGGAGTGTCCTTCAGACAGCACTTAAGAGTGAGGCCGACTTCATGGGTCATTATTGGAGGTTATTGGTTTGCGAAGATTTTTTTCATCTAGAAAAAATAATTGATCAGTTTTATTATTGCTCGCTCCCAAACCGTCACAGAGGATGGTTTTGAAAAGGGAGGTTTGTGCAAGATGGTTCCATAGAGCGTTGACTCTTTATTACAGGACATTTTGGGGTAAAAGACAAAATGTTTTTCAATTCCAGCTTCTCAAATGTAAGAATTGCTTTTCTTTCCTTCATACGCAACAGCACTAATGTCGGACATGATATAGACTGCTCGATTACATGAGGAAAAAGAAATCAATACACAAATAGCCACCCTACTAACAGTGCTGTGCGGGTCACTGGAGGTACAAATCCTCCCATTTGGAAGGTTCCCCTTGATAAAGTGATGTTCTCTCCAAATAATTCTCCAAGAAAACAGACTACATCTCGTAGCATTCTTCTTTTCCCCAGGGCCGCGAGCTCACGTCCCGATAAACAGCGTTATTACATCCATACCTCACACAGACATGTCGCAGACGCCTACGTCTACTCGGGGCGAGTGCAGGAAACCTCAAATGATCACTTCCCCTTTTTAAGAATGGACTGACATCACTTTCCTAACAACATGATCGCCTGACCGAGGGACACATGGTTATGTAACGCTCATGTCTGGGAGTTGGCCTACCTTCTCCTGGAAGGATATTTGTTATTCCATTCAAGTGTTGCTATGGATCTAAGAAAGTACAGGAAAGCACATAAACTGCACCCTGCAAAAAATGTTTGTCTCTCCTCAGTAATTAAAAAAAGGAATAAAAAGATTATTTCTTTGACGGGTGAGGTTGAAATGTTAACTCCGTTGAGATTTGAAAGAAGGGATAAATAAAGAGAGGAGCTGTTCTTCCATTACAAAAGAGCTCCTCCGCTTCACGGCAGGTGTCAGAAGCTATTATCTTCTTCTCGTCTCCCATGTGGTTTGATCTACATTGAACACTCACAAGAGCCACGAGAGGAGGCCGAGCTCCTCGGGGAGAGGTGACGGTCACCCACGTCTAAACGGTCTCTGCGTTGGATCAGTCTTACCGATCGACCCCCGGGGGGACCCATCACCCGAGTGGGTTTGCAGTGAGATCAAGGTGGTTACAAAAGAAAACAATACAAAAGACTATAACTGGCGTCATTATTACGTTTTCCCTTAAGGTCGTTCCTCACCGGTGGGGACTATCTAAGGGGCCACTGGGTCCCACTGAGTCTCTGGTGAATCCATCTCCAGAGCTTCACCACCAGAGATGGGCCCAACAAACGGATGACCATTAGTTTAAATAATGCAACCATAAAAGTGGCCTACAGGCCAAACAAAGCCTCGGGAGGTGGATATTAGTCACGGGTAGACTGGGGGGCTCCATGGGGGGCTATTCTGTGTTATTAACGTGGCGGGGTTATAACAGCTGCTAAATCACGACAGCACAGCACCGTGTCGCTACTTAATAGTTCACGTTAGTTGTATTAGCCGGGGGGACCGCTAGCACGAATTCAACGCCCCCCCGGCACACACCACACACCGAAAAGGTCACAAGGAAGTTTCCAAAAACAGTTAAGTACATAAATGGTGATAATTGGAAATAAACGTGGAGCCCCCCCAAAAAAGCACCGCCGCACGGCAGCGGGCGGGGGAGCCGCTTGGCGCGGCTCTGCAGCGGGTAGTCGTGCTGCCGAGTCGGCGGTCTGTGCCACTTTTTTTCAACGGTTGTTTCGACACAAAGTCCACCTCGGCTTGGCTAAAACTAAAAAAAAAGCCCTTCGCGGTCACTTTAAACGGCAACCTTGCGCCGCACTGCTGGCGTCTTTTCTGGTGAGCGTTGAGAATATAACGTGTTGACGCGTTGTGTAATTCAGCGTCAGATAGTGTTACCGTGACGCCACCGCTTCGTTACGATAGCTTGAAACAGACCGGGATTAAGAACAAGAAATGGGGGGGGCGAGGGTGTCACACGTTCCCCGCCGACTTTGGGCTCAGGTGATGTGACAGTTGCCGTTGAAATGGCGGGTTGCGAACGTTGGAGCAACAGCAGCGACGTGAGAACAGATTCAGTTACTCACCGGATGCATCCTCATCTTTACGTACGGTCCCGCAGAGCCCCTCCGTCGATATCCGTCATACTTAATCGCCTTTGAAGGCTATTTTTGAGTCTCCTCGCGTAAAAACCTCCGCTGCGCTAACTCGAACGGCACGAATCGTAAAGTACAGCCTGTAGTCGACCGTAGTTGTGCGACAGCACTCAGGGATCCCTCCCCTCCGGGTTCAATGTAGGGAAAAAAATAAGGAGAACCGACAAGTCCACCAGAATGGACACGAACAGCTTCCGGTTGTATTTACCAAAATAAAGGTCCCGCTTTCAAATGTTTAAAACGACCACTCAACACAAGCATTTAACAGCGTTGGAAAATGTATTCGGGTGGTTTATTGAAGTACAATCTGTACTACAATGCACATTGTTACATTTAAATACAATTGAAAATAATAAAAATACATATAAGCAGAGTGTGTGTAGTTCTAACTTAACTAAAAAATGTATATCATGCAAAAAACATAATTATAACCAGAGTACCTAGTATGCGTCTGGAGAAGTACACCAGTGTTATCAAAAGGTAGAGCATGAAATGTAAAAACACATATTTTGCACCTGGTCAGTTTTATTGTAAATTAAATTATTGAATAATGCAGTATAATGAAAGTATGGTGGAAGCTCAAGAAAGCTAAAACATCTGCCTCTGACACGCTTGAAAGTGAACTAGCATAAAATTACTTCAAAATAGTAGTCATATTAATCATTCAATCACCTGCATTTACAGGGCTTTGACTTGAATATACACATTATCCAATCATCCCCTTAAAAGTAGTAATAGTTTCCGGTCCTGACTGCGTTTTCACTGTGCAACTTGACGCACCCCGAAAGCGCTTCAGCTCCATCCAGCTGCTCCGCTGTGTCCAGCCGCAGCGGCAGGGACATTTTAGCTCAAACTAGGCTGAAGGTGGTGTGCTGAGCCCCGGGGCGGGTCCGCAGCTAACAGCTTCCCCCCTCCCCTCCCATCTTCGTCCCTCAGCCCCCACGACAAGATACACTGGAGCCAAGATGGCACATTCATCCCCGGTAACCTTGTAGGACCTCTCGCGCTGTGCAGAGCCGGACAGCAGCAGCTCATCGATCTGCACGATGCAGCAGCGGCGCGTCAGAGGTGATCGAAACGGGATGTGGGTCAAGGGATGTAGTGATGGAGTTAAAAGAAAAGTTTTTTTTTTTTTTACATCAGTCCTTACTTACACACCCAATCATACGTTTTTACCCAACTATGTGTATTGTCATCTTTAGTAGCATTGATCAGATAATGATCAATACATGGACGATTGTTACTATCCAACAGTAACTGATACTCAAAAAACATAGTTGTGAAATAAGCCCCTTTTTGGACAGATACTTAAAAACGTTCCTTGCTTGTTATTTTTTTCAGTAATATGGAAGGGAATAATACAAATAAGGGGGGGGGGGGGCAATACGCTGAACACAAACCACTTTCCATTTGTAATATTTAGATCAATACAAACCACTGAAAATCTTGTCTGTTCCCGGCTTAATCCAATAAATAATCTATAATAATAATAATCATCACACACACACACTCAGACATCTAACACCACTTCTCCAAGCAGACAAATAGGGTAATGTAATACTCTAATGCAATAATGTTATACTCCTGCATCATCGTCTGGTATCGAGCAGACAAGTCGGACCAAAAAAAACAACTCAGAAATCAAGTAATAACACAATGCATTAATAGCCCAAAAAGGTTTTATTAAATTCATAATCACTGCTATAACGTAAAGTGAAACAAGAATTCACTTTCATTGTGATTTAATAAACAATCTCTTAAATACTAGCCACGTCTGGATACATGGGAAGCCTATTTCTAAAGCAGTTGGAGTCATTTGGGTGCCGAGAGTCGTGCGCAGCCTCGCTTCCTCGAGGAGTCTACAATATCACAGCCTTATGAAAGGAAAATCTACTGCATCTGCATGTTGTTGTTGTGCTGCGGCAGGCTAAACTGCAGCGGTTTGGGTCTCCAGAGAATATGATGATGATGATGATGATGCATCACACCTTTAACAACCGTGTCTCCACATGAGGAAATACCCTCCGTGAGTCCATGAGGTAAAAAATAAAACGGTTGAGGCGGGCAAAAAAAAGGAAAAAAAGAAAAAAGGTTTCATCAGTTTGCTTCGTTCTTTGAGGCTTCATCAAAGTTCTCCACAAGATCTGCAAGACAAAAGAGAACAGGTGCATCAGAGTTGTTTCACACTCCATTTGGGACTCTTATGGTTAACATTCCGCAAACTGAAGCGTTGATATAAACCATGTAAAAAGGCTACAAACGGTCCTTTTTTTCGAGGACAGAAATGGTCCTCCCAAACAGATGTATTGTCATTTTGGAAACAAACCATCTACAGAGGTGTTGTAAAAACAAAAACACTGTTGTACCATAAGAACACTTCAAACGCTCTCAGTTCATAAAAACGTTTGCATCAATACCTGGTACATCATCATCCTCCTCCTCCTCTTCTTCGATTACCTCCTTGACTGCCTTCATGTCCATTGCTGCAAAATACATAAGACAAAACAAGTGATTATTGGACAAAAGCCGTTATAATTACTGCAGATTTAGTGTTTACGCCAAATTCTTGTTATAAAAATGTGGTGTTTTGCTAAAACAGGGAAGATCAGACACTGTAACAGTAACTAATTAACTCTCCCCGCAGCAGCCTTCGGCCTCATCTAATAATGTGTAAAGGCTCGCGACCTAGCGGACCCTAAAACCCATAAGCCCGTTCCTGATATTACACGAGCCCCGACGTGGGTGCGCTCACATTGCCGAGGGAAGTGCTCCGCCAGCTTGCGCAGGCTGCTGAGGCTGTCGGCTCCCAGCTGGCTCAGGATGCCCGGCAGCATCTCCGTCAGCTGCTTGATCTCGACGTTGCCCGTGATGGCAAAGGTGTTGGCGGACAGAGACGCCTGCACTTTGGGGTTGTTGAAGTGGATGACCGTGCCGTCGTCTTTGATCATGTTCACCTGAGGAGAAGGGGCCACGCGGTCAGATCGGGAGCCAAAATAATCCGTCACAAGATTCTGCATCGTCGACATATTGAGTCAGAAGAACAGTGTAGATTCTTTTGGGCGTCTGTTTTAGGTGTGAAAGTGATGCGGGGAGTGACATAACAAATATTCCACTGAAAAAGGGGGTCAATTACACAAAAGTCAACAGTCTACAGAGCATGCAGCTATTACTTTAATTATGTAGCCTTGGATCACAGATTTGCCTCAATGGGTTGTAAGAAAATAAATAAAATTGGTAGAAAGTGTCCCAAATTGGTTCTTTGCCTGGTTTACAGTGAGTGTCCGTTTAATCATTTATTGTAAAACAAAAAAGGTAAATTGAGCTACAATATGAATGAAGGAGACTTAATGACTTGTGTGCATCAGGTTAGCATCTTATCTTTGGGTTGTATCTGTATTTCGTGCTTTGATTTATCTGAATCACTATGTGGAAGCGGGTTGGATAAAAGCACTATAAATATAAATGAGACGACGTGATAGGAGTGCACTTTTTTTGAAAGGCTCTCAGATACTTTTATCTTTCCATATCGGACACAAAAAAAAAGAAAGACAAGAGCGCAGCTTTGGTGAAACGCTGACATTAGTTTTCCTCTGATAGCTCACCTCTTCTATCCCTGCGATGTTGTTCACTGCCAGTTTCTTCAGGGAGCCCTGGAGTTTTTTGTCATCAGCTGTTGCCGTTTTGTGAACAACCTTTTTCTTCCTGCGGGCCGTCCCCTGAGAAAAGAACAGGTGTGAATGCCTAAAAAAAAGATCAAATAGCTAACTGTCAAGTCCAATGATAATCGGGTTCTTGGATGCCGGTTTGGAAACACTTTTCCTTCCCATCTTTGATACCCAATTTGCTTGTGTCTTTTAAGCACCAAGCATACAAGCACCACTTGGATTTGACATTGATTTAAAAGGAAAACGCGATGCTCGTTTTCAATAGTAAGCTAAATACTAACAAAGAACTGATAACCAAAGAGGTCCAAGCAACATCTCCTTGTCGAAGTACAAAAAGTGGTAAAAGCCTTTTAACGCAGCTACATGATTACAAATAAGATTTTAAAAGTCCATGGGACTTGGGAACGCCAAGGTCATTTTTAGCATGAAGAAAGTTCCCCGTTCATTGACGTCTCCACCTTTTATTGGTCTAAAAAGTCCAATTAAAAAAAAAACTGAACTTTTACACTTTGAACCAACAAATGGGATTCCACTACACACGTAATGTTTTAAATCCTGGATTTCAGTATAATTTAAAAAAGATATATTAAAAAAAACTGGGGATAATTGTAGAAAAAAAACTGTACTTCTGGTGAAATGCAAATGAAGTAAATGTACTGTGTTTGAGAACGTCAATGTAATCTGGAAAAGGTCACAAGGACGGTGTGATAAAAAGGAAATAACAAATGACGCCACCTAGTGGGCGCCTGAAGACCTCAAAATGCATTTGTACAAAGCCACAGAGGCCGCAGATGGACGGGGCAGATCTCTCCCCCATAAAGGGAATGCTGAGGTCAGGAGGAAAAAAACTGGCAGGTGCTGAACGCCATCAGACTCCTTAAAATGATCAACAACCGAGGCGATCACAAATCCGAAAACTCAGATTCTGATTTCTATACAGGGCATTTGTTAACAGATTACACGAGATTTACTGGTAGTGCTAAATTCTAAAAATAGGACGGTTAGTATACTGTACCTTTCCACCTATCCGCACTTGAGCCTGAAGTTTGGCAAGCTTTTCTTGATTCATAGTGTTCTGTTAGTGAATGAAAAAACGTTAAAAAAAACAGGATATTCCCGTTCATCTTTTAAATAAAAACAATTGAGAGATCCCGTTAAATAATATGTTCTATATACATCATACATGTCAGTGTGCACTTAACTTGTTGAAGTTAAATGAGCCCAACATGAGTCAGGCCACCATAGCTAATGTTACAATAATCCTCAACACATTTTAGCATTGAGCTAGCAGACTGGCTGAAAGTTATACTGAAGACCTAAGAACTATCAGAATGGACTGGCATGAATTAGATAGAATCAATAAACACATCTGGAACTCAATTTTAAAATGACATTAAAGTATAATGTGGTGGTTGCTAGTTGGTTTGCTAACCAACGTTAGCTAGACTGCTATTTCAGCTAATATTAGCATGGTGGCTGGACAAGATACCCCCCCGAGCATTAACTAGCTTTTCGTTACTGTGTAGGCAATAGCCTAAATTCAACTTAAATTAAGTGCTTAATCAAACAGGCTGAGATGTTAACCATAAAACTACTTTTTATATGTTGTTTTACCTTTTTAAAGGACAGCCCGTTGAACTGTTAACGGCACGGTAGCAGCGCTGAGGCGGTGCGGCTTATTCTTGTATCAAGATAGCAGCAATATCATATACTTTCTATCAATACTTTCAGAATAAAATAAGCACGAATCACGCAAGCACATGTTTGTTTTATTTATAGCATATATTTATATGAAATGCTAAGAATACATGTCTTAATACATTTTAGTAGGATTTAATTCGTTATTGTATGAAATATATATATTTCTTTACATTTGTCGTGATTATTAAACCTTTGTTTTGCACTGATTTCCGTTTTTCTTTCTGACATTTCAGTGTTTAACTTGACTAGTTTGACGCTACATCCAGGAGCACGCGGTTGTGAGGATGTGACGTCACATGAACATGGAAAATTAGTCACAGCTGACCAATAGGAGGAGCAGGCAACTAACGGACATGCGCACACACCTCACTACTGCAGCGGACGAGAATTTTACTTTGAAACGTGAGGGTTGGACGTCCGGCTCTCCGGTTCACCAACAGGAAGTGCTGCTAGCTTCTAGCTGTGAGGGAAAAGAAGGACAGTCAAAATGCGAACGTCTCTTGTGAACATCGTTTTATTTTCGTCCCTGCACGTTTTGTTGTCTTTGACGTGCTTTCAAGATGTCGTCGAAGCAGCCAGTGGGAAAGGTGAGCTTATATTTGTTTCAGTTAATGCAGAACACCGAGCGGGACATCTGGTCAGTGAGAGAGTCCCCGCCGCCGCAGCTGTCTTTGTATGAGTATCCTGGATCGCAAAGCGTGTGTCCGGGACAAGTGGACGTCTGTGTAATGAGACACGCCAGCTCTTTATTTCCAGTTTCACAGGTTTCACCCCTAAGTGACAGCATACGTGTACTTTCGTTAAATGTTGACGGTTAATGATTATTCAATTGAGCTGAGGCACGAGTTACATTTTTTTTAAATAATAATAAATGTTTATGCCAACAGTCATTCGTAATAAATTAAATATGTAACATGCTGTAAATCAACAGCTAATTTGCCAAAATTAGACTAACACTATTCTCAAAATGAATGAATGAATGAATGAACTAACGTCAACACCATTTGAAATGGATTCATATGTAACTCTAAACCAAACGCATTAGTTATACGTTATTAAAACAGGTTACATAGAGTTCATTCAGTGGTAAAACGGCTGAAGTATAAAAATACGGATTTTTATAGGTTTCGCCCAAAAAATGCAGGAGCTGTATAAATTCAGTAAACTGGAACCTATTGACACACATGATATCTGCACTGCTTGAAAGGCTTTACCAATATAGTGTGCTTGAATTTTCACACTGGGCCTGCATTGCAATGAATTAAAAAAAGAATCACATCTCATGAATTCATGCCATTTTTAAGAGACATGAATACTTTAAAATCTTCCAAAAGCCCATCCAGACATTTTAAACTAAGATAAGAACATAATCTATTGCATTGTTTTCTTGTCCCACTCCCACCATAAACACCTAGGAGTTAATTACCGTATGCCGTTATAGGTGAGCGAGCACAGCTTGATATTAAATTACCACCATTCTTCTCACTTCCTTCTATTGATATAGTATGTAGGGCAGACCCACCCTGATGTCGAAATATAATCGCAGTGACACCACGTTGGCTTGCTCATTAGTTCATTTCCTCCCCACAGGATTTGGAGAAAACATCCACTGGAGGACGCTGGATGACGGCAAGAAAGAAGCCGAGGCCAGGCGAGTTCACGCCGAGAGCTGAAATATTATATATAATAATATATAACACTTCTTGATGAGCTGCCTTTCTGCCGCGATGCCTTTGATCCTAAATCTCTCACAAGCACTAATAACCGGAGGAGGCTGCTGCCCGTAGCTTTCACTCAGTGATTCATTTAAGTGCACGGCGTTCAGTTTTTGTCCTTAATAAAAATGTCTTTGTGTGTTTTGCGTCGACAGCGGGCTGCCCATCATGCTCATCATCCACAAGACCTGGTGCGGAGCCTGCAAAGGTGAAACCACGTTCTCGCCCTTTCCACCGTGACCGCCTCGCTGTCATTCTCCTGTTAATGTGCCACTTTTACATGTGGGACACCGATGTCGGAGGGACGAAAGGTCCACTATTTCATTTAAGGAAATTCTGCGCATTTCCTGCCTGAAAGGGTCCAACTTGATCATGACCTAAATGTAAAAGTGACTCCTGCCCTTTGGTCAGGCCACCATTACTCCTTCAAACAGAGAAAAACGACCAAAGTCAAATTTCACAGCAGAACTTTTAACTTCTTACAGGTGTAACTATTAACACTACTGATGTCTGTGATCTATTAAAATGTCCCAGAAGGACATTGGTCACTGTGCAGATAAAATCAACAATCGAGGAACACAACCGCCATCTGTAATGTTGGAAGAATTCAGAAAGCTGTTACTACAGCCGATTTGGAGATTTCATGACAATTAGTTGTATATCTTTGTTTATTTTCACATCAGCGCTGAAGCCCAAATTTGCTGAGTCCAAGGATATCTCTGAACTTGCACACAACTTTGTGATGATCAACCTCGAGGTAAGGACAGTTTGAGTGGCACTATTCGGTCCAGGGTTTAATTAACTTGTAGACCACAATAACAGGGTATATTATTAGTTGGTTGAGGTTTGATTGCAGTCCTGTAAATGATTAGTAACCTCCTTGTTTGAACAGGATGAGGAGGAGCCAAAGGATGACGCCTACACCCCCGATGGAGGATACATTCCTCGGATTCTTTTCCTTGGTACGAAGGGATTGAGTTACTAAGTGTAAACACTTAGTGGGATTCCTTTTGGAGAGACATAGTTTGTTACTCAAGAACACACAGTGCCAAACAAAGTTTCAGTGGACTGGAATTAGCTTTCGGTAGCATAAATGTTGCTTAATCAGAATTTTAAAGCGAAGCAACTAGTCAAGGATCGGTAAATTAACTGCAATGCTTATCGGAAAAACAATGAAACTGGCACAGAAGAATACTCAAAGGAAACACTTATGTGGTGTTCAATACAACAAACTGAGGGTCAAAAGAATAAGTCACAGGAATTCTATGCAGCAATGTTGATCTAATTTAAAAAATGAAATATTTCAGTTAAATACCATTTAAAGCTGAAATGACTTAATAGTTAGATGGTAATAATGCTGGCTACAGATTCTCAAATGCTTTATTCGCACACATTAGTCTGAGATGAAATAATTACCTTTAACAGTTAATTGGAAACAACTTGTGATTTGAAAACTAAATTCGCCTTTAAGAAGCATATTTAAACGTTTTATTGAGATAATACATTATGAAATAAAATTGGTAAGAAATGTTTAAAGTTTAACATTCATTTGAACTGAGAATGTTTTATTTGACCCAAAGATCCAAGCGGTAAAGTCCACCCTGAAATCACCAACAAAAATGGGAATCCAAACTACAAGTACTTCTACAGCAGCGCAGAACAAGGTAAAGAATCCACCTCTTCAGGATCATTTTATTGAGGAAGTCACAGCACGATGTAGCAGCTTCCAAAACGGTCGCCGGCCGTCGCCTTGGTAACCACGGCGCGTGTTCTCTGCTCAGTTGTGTCCGGCATGAAGGAGGCGCAGGAGAAGCTGACGGGCGACGCCTTCAAACTGGGCCACACCGGAGACGAGCTGTGAGGAGGAAGAGGAGGGACAGGCATCCGGCTGTAAGGGCTACACTTCCTCTACCTGAGCATCAGGTTACTCTCCCAAACGTCCAGTTGTACCGATTCTAGAGTGTGTGTGTGTGTTTGAGGAGGGGGACGCTCACTGAAGAAAACCATTAAGATCGGTGCTCGATTATTCCTTATGTCTTGTATGTTTTTTTTCCTACTAACTTATCACCTCTATTTTCTACTGTCATCACTGAGGAGGATATAACCTATATAACAGTGGGAACTCATTTTCATATGCTGCTGGATGAGAACTTGACATCTGGAAAATGCCAACTTTAAGTAAATTACCAAGTGCATCACATCATTTCAAAGCCCACCGTGGAGTTAACTGCTTAATTCACTTTAACCAATAGTTTTCACCCAGAAGCTGTGACGTGCTTCCAAAGATGCCCTACGGTATGTAATTATGTATTTCCCCGTGCACAATGTGGGCTCTCTACTTCGGATTTAGATCCAATCGTTAATCTGCCAATGTATCAACATTTAGCTACATTGTGCAAAGTGACGCTTCTTTTTGCCAGCTGTGAATGAAGGAAACATTGGTTCTGTGTCTAGATGTATTTTATACATGTACAGACAAGTGTGCTAATAAAGTTTGTTGTACGGAGGACTTTGAGCCACACGAATTCAAGACACAGATGTAACCGTATATCAAGTTTTATTGTCTAGCCAACAATAGTGATCCCTTATGGTATGTCAAACAGCAGACACTATCATTTAACTATTTAAATAGTGCATTTGCATTCACTTAAGACATGCTTGCGATTAACTCCATTCCAGACAGCCTTAAATGGCCTATTTAGGAAAGTACAATCTTTCTTACAATGTATTGGTGTATAAATGTGTTGCAGCATCTGATTTTAAGAAATTGCAGGAAAAAAATAATTTCAGGACATGCCAACAGACTAAACATGGAAAGAGGAATGCTGCCTCTCTGAACTTGGCTAAAGGCATTTAAAGACACAAACCACTGTTCTGTATTGCTGCGTCTCTCGATAAAAGGGCTTAAGCTGATGTGTTAAGTGCACAAAGAATTTTAAGAAAAGTAAACATGGCCCAAGTCTTGACATTTCTTCAATGCAAGGTCATTTAAAATATTTAAAAAGAATCAAGAGTACACTAATTACACATAGCTGCTGCTATAAAAATCATTCACATATAAAAAAAATAATCTATAAAACTGCGACACATCTGTATGCTCAAAATGACACAGCTAAGGAAGTGATTGAAACGGATAGTTTTCAAATTTAAGGTGCGCATGTAATATTTCATAACCAGTGTATTAGACCACCAGGGAATATGAATTATTGACCAGCTGTTCATCAGGCAGGAGGAAACGTTGCCTTTCGTGGATATCTTTACACGCCATCATAGTGATGATGAACACTTCCACCCCTATTTGTGCTGGTTGACGTTGGTCCAGTTTGCTTCCGAGGATATTAAAAAGGAGATGAGGGAGGTAGTGTGGGAGTGTGGAGGAGACAGGAGCAAACTTAGAATCTTCCCTGCTTGGCGTCTCCAATGGCGCCCCAGACGTCAAAGACGAACTCATCGGGAAAGGCAAAGTCTCCGAGGGTCTCGTCCAACGCCATGGCAAATTCATCCGGGTTCTTCTTGTCACGGCCGACCTCAACCATCGTGGAGGCTGTTGAGGGAGCAGGACATTTCACTTCTTCAACTTGGCTCCAATGATTAAATGTTTGCCAGCATTGGAACCGAACGTAGAGCACTGACTTATGAAGCCACTTCAGACTAATTAGAATGTAAGACTCTTTCTTTAAACCCCGACACAATAATGGAAGATCACTTAATACAAGACAAGTATGCTAGAAAGATGAATTAATTAACCTGCAGGAAATATTACTACGCCGCAAGTACGCAGAGGCAAATCAACTCAATGTAAAATTAGTGAAAAACGAATATATAAAATTGTTTATTTGTGTTACTCGCACAAGAGTTGACACTCACCTAGTTCAGTGTCTCGGATGCCCATGTAGCTCTCTAGAAGGTCGTCCACTTTCTTTACCGCCTTCTCCTCAAACTCTGTTGGCTAGAACAAAAAAAATGTATCTTTGTTTCCCTGTATTTGGTGCCGTTAAGCCCTTGCCAAGTATCTCCCAGGATGTTGCAAATCAGTCTTTACTCATTCTCGATATATACTCGGGTCTTGGCCTCCGGTCAGGTGTACTTCACTACAACGCTGACAAATCGTAAATGTGGGGATCCGCAGGCATCATCTTTAGTGGGTGGTTCGTTTTGTTCACTTAGTCATATCAGTGAATCTTCAACAGAAGCAGCATTCGAGACCACGTCAGGAGCAAAAAACATCTAAGCGGTCCTCGTGAAAGTATCAAAAGAGGAGCTCTCTTTCTCAAAGCACATCCAGAACAATTGTCCCAGGTTTCAGCAGGATGCCCAAAAAAGGGTACTTACCTCCTCCTCTACAGTAGCTGGGCCCTTGGAGCGAAGCCTCAGAGTCCCCCTCCCTGTGCCGATCTTGTTCTCACTGGCGGGTTTAGCGCCCTTTGACCTTGGCTCGAGCATTTCTGGCAGCCAGAAGAGAAACTACATCAAGTTTGTATTTTTGCAAGTTGCCCAAATACACTGGTGGACGAAGGCTTTTCGTTTTCAGCTACAGACCAGTTATGGTTTCTACAAGCTATTTGTAGCCCGGAAAGGAAATCAGCAAAGGTGTAATTTAGCATTTCTGAACACGCATTCTGATGTTCCTTTGATCAGGGAAACGGTTGTGTAAATACACAACGCGATCTTGTGCGTCCCGGCTCGCATGCTGTGGGTCACTTGTTGTGTGCCGATGTGCATGGATCGGTCTCACTCACCAAAGGCCTTCATTGGCTCCACCAGCTTGAGGGTGAAGGACTTGTCTCTGGGAAGCTCTTTCAGCATGCGGGCCACCTCATAATGCCGCGTGCCCACGATGTTCTGCCCGTTTATGCACTCTACGTGGTCGCCCACGGAGATCACCTTCACGCCGTCCACCACGCTGCCCTCTTTGATGCGCTGCCATGCAGGGGAGATCAGAGAGACGTGTGGAATTCAAAAGACGGCAAACGTACGTCACGCATTTGTGAAACACCACGCGAGAGGTTTGCTTCAGTCAGAAATTAAGATCAAAACGAGAGCGAAAACAAACCAAGGGTGTATCAACAGACTGACTTAGATACTGAAAAAGGAGCCTCCTGTGTTATAGCAGATTATCACTTTTCTCCTGCTTTAGTGCGTCATAAATACTGTCGGCTGTAGTGCCGCTTCGGCCTCACATGATGGCACACGTGAGCACCGTGTTATGGTGGCGCAAGTTGACCGAGACCAAATAAGCTCATTAACAGTCTGCATCATCAGTGGCATAAATACCAAGCAGAATTATGATTTCAACAACGAAAGCAAGCTTGTAAAGTTACTTTAAAAATGTACTCGAGATATGCCGAGATACCCACTATTGAAGTAATGAAGAGCATCTTCAATCAAACTAACAAATTTATGATGGAGACTTGACATTATGTGATTAGGTATTCAAAATGAATGACACATCCTCTCATGGGTCACTACCTATAGAACCGTGGCAGACAAACCAACTAGTTTGAAATTAGTTAGTTTACAACTAATAAACACAGCTTACGCTTATTCCCAACCTTTGAGGTCTTGATACTGGAAGTTGCACTGACATATTGGTACAAGACATCGAGTCAAAAGGCAAACTAATTTTGCTTCACTTTAATTCCCATGTATGGTACGTAAATAGAGAGCGCTGTTAACCAGGAGGTGGAATAAATATTGACGAGTTCAGTTCCTTACCTTTATGAACGCATATCCGGCCCCATTGTCTGTGATCGTGAGGCCCAGAGCATCTTCATACTTATAAACCTCCACCTCCTTCTTGATCCCTCGGATGTGGGCGAAGATAAAATCCTCCAGGCCGATCTGGCCCCCCAGCAGCTTCTCCATGTCGATCTTGTGGGTGTTGAGGGTGCAGAATAAAATCTGTACACACAGATGTAGATTACAAAATACTCATAATGCACATATTTGAGCAGAAGGTCTTCAGGGATTATTATTGATAATTTGTCTTTGTCAAAAACAGAAAACCCCATAAAATGTCTACATATTTTATATACAAGATAAAGAAAAAAAACATTTTAAGTCAGCCTGAAAGCCAGATATAAAAGAAAAAAGAAAAACTTTAAAAGTTAAGATGACAGAGTACTGCCTACACTTAATAAAGAAATCCTCAGGGGCCTCCATCTTTATTGCAACAGCCAAGTTATGCAGTTAAACCCCCCCGCGTTGGCAACAGTGTGTGTTCTGTCAGTGTAGAGTGCTGAGACTGTAATGAAGCAAAACGGGGAAAATGACCTTTCCTTCCTGCAGACATGTTAAGATCGGGCTTCACACCTTGCGGGCGCCGCGTATTAGCAGGACAAGGTGGAGGAAACGTGAACACCTGGAACCCGATACATAAGAGGCCTGATTTAACAGCAGGCCGGACAGTGAAACCCAGGAGGAGGAGACGGCTGGATGTGAATCATTTAACACGCGCCAACTCACCCCAGGAAAGGCTTTAGTTTAATCTCCACATCCTCCATTACGACCATATGCATATTATTGTGTGTACATTACCAGGGTGCAAGTCGGGCCGTGAGAAATAACCCCCCCCCCCGCCCTCTCCAGCATTAGATTTGATGATTACTACTGGTTCAGGAGGTTGAACTGGCAGCGAGGCCTGACTCATTTCAGCCTGTTTGTCCCCCCTGCCCATCTTTTGGTGTACCGACCGGCTGCTCACACGTTTGCTAATGCGGCCTCATGTGTTGCCCAGGGTTACCAGACTATAAAAGAATGGGATTATAATGAGGGAGGCCGCTAGCGGGTAAAAAGAGAGAAAGGGCAGTATAGGAGGAGGAAAGGGAGGGTGTACTGTATCTGAATTGATGGTTCTTTTCCACAACCGCGCCCCCCCCCCCCACGCCTCCCAATTACAAAAGAGCGAGTGGTAGTGACAGCAGCAGACGCCCACCCCCTGGTTGGTTACCAAGGCTGCGGAGCGCATTGAGCACTCAGCACTCCTCTCTCGCTCTCTCCTCCCGCTGCGTTCGAAGCCGCAGTGTGTTCACACGGCCGGGTGCAGAGCGACTGCCTCTCCTCCAGACCCGACGTTACACCTCCCACACGGACCCGAACCTCGGCAACCACGGACGAAAAAAGAGGGCGAGTGAAAGAAGAGGCCAGAACACATGACGTTGGTGCCTTTACGGTGCTCACAAAAGACCCGTCCGTTGACGCCATCAAATATTAGTAGTTTGCGGCCTCGACCGCAGACCGTTTGTGTTGTGATTTTATTTCCTTTTTTTTTTGCAGTGGTCGGCGCCTACCCGCCTCGGGGTGTGGCTCAATTCATGCTTTAGTTTCCTTATTTGTACAGGTGGACACGAGATGTTCCGTACTCCGCAGTGGCGTCCGCTCTCAAGAGGGACTTTGAGCAGCGGCGCCACGTCACACGGCAAAGGCCAAACGTCCACTTAGCTGCTCATTCCCTCGTTCAGCTGGAAGCGGAGTCTCAAGCTACGTGTATCATTTAAGCACAGAAGCCCTGCAGACAAGAGTAATATAAACTGTATAACACTCTTGTTGTTTGTGTCTCAAACTCCTCGTGTGCTTCCCCCTCTCTGACCCCTTTGACCCCGTGCTGGACCACCGGCCTGCGGGGACCTCTCCCCCCGTAGGCTCTATCTTCCACGTGATGGATCTGGATCTTCATCCTCCAGAAGATGGCTGGATTGTCCATGTTGGGATTTTCTGTATTTATTGAACCCTTCTTCAGCAAAACGCATTGTGGCCACATAAAAGAAAGGCGATGCTAAATGAATTACCACCAGTTTCAGTCTACACTATATTAAGAATTTTGTTAAACTAGGAAACTGAACAGTAAACGGCGTCAGGTGATTTTAGTCGTTAACAGAATGCTGATGTTGGCTGTGTGGCCGTGTTTTCAGGACGATATCACATTCATCAGCATTTAAGCCGCTGTAATCATTTACCTAAGTGGACATTTTCTTTGTTGTTTTACAAAATCCTACATCCGGATTTAAATGATCATTTTGGAACACCTGGAAAGCAGCCATCAATTCCACCTTTACCTATTGCTCCGTTCGTTTGGGGTCATTCAGTCGACAACACGTTTATTGTTGAGGTTTTTAAGTTACAACCACCTGCAGACCTACAAAAGAAATAAAAAGGAAAGAGGCGTGCGTGCGTTTCACTAGGCTGCAAACCAGATATTCAAATTGTAGGCAAATGGCCGAGTTTGTGGCCAGCATGAAGTCAGAGGGAGAGACACACCTCAAACTCTACAGCCGCAGGGCCAATAACCAGACTTTGACCCGAGATCTCATTCTTCATGGAACCACATGTGTGCCTTGCTGGCTGAGATTAAACATAACATATACTGCGTAAAGCCTTTGCGCTTAGTTTTTATGCGGTTATATTTGTAATGTTTTCTCACCTCAATAAATTCCTTCCCATCCCTTCTGCTTCCTGTTGTCTGTGTTTGACATGTAAAGTGCCTTTGCAGGGCTGGAAAATTAAAACGTCTTATTATAGGGTTTGACTGCTTACTGTTGTACAAGAACTTGTGTCCGACTAAAGGATCAACAATAGATGCTCACAGTGAACACGGACAAGTTTTAACGTAACGTGATGTCTGTATGGAAAGAAATATGGACTATTACTAAAAGTAATGAGCAAAAAGACAAAACCGTTGTTCATTACATAATTCATATTAGTTCCCAGAAGCACTGAAGTAACCTCAGAGCAACAGGTTTACAAAGCTACGGTCTCTGGAGAGCAACTATTTTTCTCCGGTAGTTAATTTCAGTGCTGTGCAAAATAGTAAAGCAGTTATTCGTGGGGTGTTAATGATTTGTGTTTGCACAACGGACATCTTAAGATATTAAAAATAGATTGCTGCCTTAATAAAGCCCATCAGCCCATTTCACTAAACTTACTAAAGTTCAATCAAAATGCTGTGACGATATCACATGTGTTTTCTTAAGTACAAAACAATATACTATTTTCAGCTACACACCAACTGTTCACATGCATGCACACAAATGCATCGTAATCACATTAAGAGAATAGTTCTATTTAATGGAGATTGATCTGCTTTTTGGAGAGGATGTGCTTGTCAATATCAATTTGAATAGTAAAAATGAGTATCAAGACTTCTCTAAAAACAGGATTTGATTACAATACGATTCCATTGAAAGTGGAAGCTATTGAAATAAACTCATGGAGATATCAAAGTCATTGGGCACGGCTGGTAACATCCGTCCCGGGCGGCAGAGAGGGGCTTGGTGGTGTTTATGGAGGGAGGAGGCCACGGGCGGGCGCGGCACGGATCCTCTGGGACGCCTGTGGCCGTTACCGGGTACCGAGTTATCTGGGTCCATTCCGAGCGACGCCCGCTGAGCCGGACGCGAGGGACTTCCTGTGGAGTCCCAACAACTCACGCCCCATTGGTCTGTATCTCACTTTGTCCACGGGCAACTATCTATGCCAAATGTCTGAATAGACCAGTGTCACGCACACCTCCCACACCGAAGAATGCCGATGTGACAGAACTGGTTCACGGGAGCGACAGGGATGTTGAAATTTGGGTTGTTATTTTTACCTGCTTGGTTCTGAGGTATTATTTCAGCTGGGACCTTTTTTTATATTGATGTGGCAACTAGAGAAAAACACAGATGATCCCTTAACAGAGGAGGAACTTTTGGATCGGGTTCTCTCACACAAGCTGCTGGAAATCAGTTAAAACCTCAAATGTCTTTGGCTCTGGTCTAGTACTTGTTGTTGGGAAAAGCCTGAAGCAGTAAAACAAGTCGAGACAGATGTAGAACAGTACTAATGCGTGTCACTGATTGACATGATTGAACTAATATCCAAAGAAAAACAGGCTGGTGTCCAAGATAAAGAGAACGGCTGCATCGCTGCGAGTCTCCATTGAATCTGAAAGACTGTGGCGAGTTTCAGGAAAGCATCCCACCACTTATCACGTGCACATCTATTTGTGAACCATTTTCTGGTTCACTGTGTACCAATGCCAGAGAAACAAATTCCTCTCCAATTATTTAACTCGTTGAATAAAGCGACCGGGCTTCACGATGGGGGAAAGAGTTTCTGTCTGCAGCTCTTACAGCACACGTGGCTGATAACAGGCTGCTCCACAGGCCTATCTGGTCTTATTTCAGGCTGACAAAAGCCAAACATGCCACTCGCGCTTTCCCTTAGAAAACAAGAGCTTGAGCAGACTGTGCTTTTGTTTTCAATACCTGAAAGTCTGTAGACTTTTTTTTAAAAGCTGAAGGAGAACTTTTATCTTAAAAAAAAAAAAATCAAGGTCAATTTGTCGGGTTGCTAGTGAATTCATAATAAAGATAAGACACAAATCGGTCTCTGCATTGCGGGGTTGAAGGTGTACAGGCTGGTGGGGCGAGCCGTTACAAACACCACCTAGATTCCACACAATACAGCTGACTTTTAATGGCCACCACTGGGGCCAAACTCTAAGAAACACTGTAACACGTATTCGCAAATACAAATGCAAATACTGAAGCAAAAATAGCACTACCAACCAAACTGCAAAAATACTCCGCAATCAGTAAAAGTACCTTCAAATGTAGTGTACAGGCTCTCCCGAATAAAAATAAAAATCTAAAATGGTTTGACACATTTCAAAAAAGGTTCTACCTTCAGCGTTCATCCATTCTCGCTTTTAGTTTTTAAACAATTGTGAACATTTGCCCGCTTAGATTTTTTACATTTTTCTATATGTAACCTTTGGAGTTTAAAAAGAAAAAAAAGGTAATATTTATTACAACTGCTGATAATTCATTATGAAAGAGACACGGGGCTCCTTGCCCGACTGGAGTTTGTTTGTAAGAGGTCAATATTTAACTATGGGCTAATTTAATCCATCACGTTATCACAACGAAGGCAACCACTATTTGGCTCTGTAATATAGCTGGGAATAAAGTTGCAGTTAAAAAAAATATTTAAAAAAGTACCGGTACCTCAAAAATTGTACATAAATCTAGTTGAGCGTACAAATTTAATACAAGAGGGAATACTTCATTACTTTCAGTTGGGTACTTGAACGCAGCACTAAATCACATAGCTTCCTTGCCGTGTTAATCCTCATGTAGCAACAGGTGAGCACTTACCTCAGGTGGACTTATATTAAACGCTTCTGCGATCTTCCCGTATAACTCCTTCACATTGGCGAATCCCTCGATCCGGCCGGTGGGGCTTCCGTGTGCCAGCTGCGTGTGGAAGACCAATTTGGGCCGCAGGTTGGCGGGCGGAGGCGGCAGTCCCGCTCCGTTCGAGCCGGACTTAGCAAAGCTGCCCGCGGAACCTGCGTGTCCGCCGCCGACCTCCTCGTTGTCCACCAAATGCTCCTTCGATTTGTTTTTCTTCCTCCATGGTCCCAACGGCATTTTTCGTTGTTGTTTACGTTGTGGGAGTTTTTTTTCGACGTTTAGTTAGGAGTTTTAAAAATTCCGAGCCGCGGTTAGAACATTGAAGCAGCCAACCTGTTGAGTCCCAAACCCAACGGTCGCGTTCTCCTTATTTACTTCCTTCTTTCGTCCGAGCTTTTCTTCAACGTCTTTCTTCCTTCCTTCCTTCCTTCCGCGACGGACTTTTCCTCTTCATCAACCTGCCTCACGGCTTAGATTTATTCATCGACACAGGCTCGGACCTCGCCTGCGAAATACACGGCGTGAATATTCAACAGGTAGGTTGTGGTGAGTGCAGGATAAACTCTGACACAACCTGCTGGCTGCTCCTGTCCGCGCGGCTAACAATAGCTGGTCTGTCTGTCAGCGCCGCGCAGGCGCAGTGGGACGAACCCGGCCTCTGACCCGGTGCACCTGTGCTCACTTGAAAACAATTACTCAGGTGTGTTGGGCAAACAAGTTTTCAAGTTACAGTGGCCTAAAATTAAAGTCTTAATTTAGTTTGAATTACTGAGCAAGTTTTGATTCTGAATGCAAAATATAATACACTTATATATTGTATTATAAGTTATTATTGGTTAGGCTAATAAGCAGTATATAAAGTCCACCATCCACATCATTGTGATTTACACATTGATATGTCATAAAATAAATTTCAGTAATGTAACCATAAGTATTTCTTTCACAAGGACTACATACAGGAAAACATTTATTTTTTTATTTTTTTATACGGGAGTAGCTACAAATTGGACCAGTGTTGGAAGAAGTATTTAGATAAAGTACTACCTACAAAAGTAGTGATCATCCATTTATGATCTGTTTTCAGGAAAATTATAAAACATTACACATTATCAGCTTAATGTACTTAAGAAAGTATCAAAAAAAGAAGAAAAAAAAAAGATCTTTTTTTATTAGTATTACGGCTGTATAAAGTGTATTTTACTAATGTATGTCTTGACGAGGTTGCTCCTACACATACTGTTGGGAATCTACAGCAATGTATCATATTCTGTATAATCATTGTACATGTCCTGTGTGCAGCACGTATCTCACATAGCTCAGAATAACAGCTGTGTTTTCAATAATATAATTGGAGCCCCCGCCCCTCCCCTAAAAAAACATACTTTTATTTAAGATAACACAATTGAATTGAAACAAAGCTTCGTGTTAGGCTCACATTGAGAAGAAGCCCGTGTGCTTCCCCTCCACTCTGCCTAGATAACAGTTACTCAGCCTCTGCACGCGTCTCTCACACACATGTATGTGCATGTAAGTTATTATAGAGCCCGCGGGGGGGCGTTTCGTGCAAGTCTTTGCTTGCTCAAAGAACAATTTGTGCACTAAAAGGTCTCCATTTTTTTTTCCTACGGGCTACAGGTAGATAAAAAAAAAAAACACGATACTTGCCTATGAGATTAAAAGTAAATGTCTATGTCTATGTAATAGCAGCTTGTGTCTGGCTTTGAGCTTCAAACTCACAAGCACCGAGTGGCCCTCTATGTCCAACAGGGACCCCGTCTCTGTGGGCCCCTGAGCCGGGAGCCGCCACGACGAGTGATGTGGCGTCCCCTTGTGGGAAAATGTGCAGTGAAGGCCTCTGTGTGGGCAGCTGATAGCCAGCAGCTGAGACCAGGCACCTATTTTTACACACTCATAGTTTTTTCATTAGTAAGTATTAATATCAGTCAATGTTTTTTTTTAATTGCACATGAGAAAAAAAACAGTTTTACAACAACAAAATATACATATTTGAAATATTACTTTGAGGCTCTCTTTGTGCGGTATTGCTAAATGCAGAATGTTCACTGACTAAAAATAGACGTAGGCTGCATTTACTGTTTTAAAGGGGACTATTGTCTGTATATTTAATGGAGGATGGTTCAAGATGCCTCCCGATAACCAGTGTTGGGCAAGTTACTGAAAATGAGTATTTAGTTACAGTTAGTTACTTCTTATAAAGGTAATTGAATTACTTAATTAAGTAATTTGTTACTCTGGAAAGTAACTTTTAAGTTACTTTTAGGTCTGCTTTTTAAATGTAATGAATATAAATAGTACTGAACAGTCAAACACAATAAACATATTTTTAAGACCTATTTATTGTAATCAACAGGGCAACAGCCCCTCAAATCAAGCAATAGTACAAAAGTCCTTTTTAATACTTAACTTAATACAAAATAACTGTTTCAGGCATTTGCCTGAAGGCAACTGACTCGACAGGATGCATCTCATCTTCAACATACGGAGCAATCAATCTATTCAGCTCTGCCCGGTTTATCGGCTGCACTGCAGTCCGTGTAAAGTGGAGCCCTGGTTGTTTGCGTGGAGCGGCGCCTGCAGCATCCGCAGGCCTGCGCTCTTTCGTCATGAGCGACGCGATGCTGTTTTCATGCACATACGGCGACTATTCTGTGACACACAACGTTTGGTGTCCACAACTATTTTGTGCTGACAGGCAGCTATTTACTTACTATTTGCCGGCCCTCCGCTTCGCGTCACAAAAAAGAGTAACGCAAGTAACAAACTAATTTCAATTTCAGTGATTGTAATTGCGTTAATTTATTTAAAAAATACTTCGTTACATGCTCGTTACCGCTAAAAGTACTGGAATTACAGTAATGCGTTACATTGTAACGCGTTACTCCCAACACTGTCGATAACTGAAACGGCTCGAGATCACTTCATGTGGAAATATTTATTTTAAAATTCAAGTTCAATATACTGTACATGTACGTTTTTCTAAAATGCGCGCATGACGAGCCAGTTCATTCAACCACTTCCCTCTTGAACAAACTGTACGAAGATTTCAAGACGGCTTCCTAATCGAGGCTTTTCTCTCTACGGACAAAAATAAATACTGAAAAAGCATTGAAGCCTGTCAGATCTAAATGAGAGCAAGAACATGTACTGTTTGGCACTGCAATTATACCCAGCATCACTGGGATTTTTCTTTTTAGGGAAATGTACACTCACTAACTACCAAATATTTCCAACAGACAAAAAGATAAAGTGATTGTGGGAAAGACCCACGGACATGAAATGTGTTTCTTTCAGATATCGACAACCCAAACAGTCTTGCACCTACATATCAACTTGGCAGCATGCATGGCGTTTATAAAAACACCATATAGCTTAAAAATAATTGCACATTCGTCCTAGCGGTCCATCCGTCAAGTGTCCCTGTGTGTGTGTGTGCGTGTGTCTGTGAGTGTGTTTGTGTTACAAGGGCAGGCGCTGTCATGCTTGTATCTGCCGTCGTTCAGTCCGTCCCGTTCGTCCTAAGCAGGTAAATGCCGCTTCAGGACGTCCTTGGCGTTGCCGGGCAACGCCTCGGGAAAGTTAACGTCAAACTCCACCACCAGGTCTCCTCTCTGCTCGGGGTTTTTGGGTAAGGGGAGGCCCTGACCTGCGACAGTCTTTCTCATGGCAGGCTTGACGACATCGGTGATCTTCATGTTGCACGTCTGCCCGTCTATCGTTGACACGGTAACCGAGCATCCGCACAACGACTGAAAAAAGACAAAGTCAGAGTCAAAATCAGGAAAGTGGCACCCGACAGATGATCTGCAGTGTAAATCACACATGATTAATATGTGGTATAATTAACGTAAAAGGATTTGGATACATTGTGATCGCAATTTATTCTGTATATATATTCTGTCATTGTCCTGATAATCAAAGCAGCTGACTGTGATCCATTTCTCTTCATTGCACGAAGCCAAAGACACAGATGGGTCAAATAAAAGCATCTGTAGTTTTGTCAGTTTTATTCCCAGCCTACTTCTACTAATGACTTGACAGCGTCTGCTGTACGACAACAATGTTCATGTCTCCACAATACAATCCTGTCAAAAGTTAACAAAGAAGGAAACACTTTTGCCTTGAATGCTAAAATATGTTAACATTATTGGCAAAATGGTTTCCTCAAACTGACTTCTGAGTATCTGCAGTTCTACAGCTTTAAATATCCTTGTAGCTCAAGCTTCTTAGTTAACACTGAAAGGGCCACACTGGACCTTTATAAGAGATTTCTGTCAGGAGAATACTTTCATTTACAAATAATGCGACTATTTTCACTTAAACAGTGTTCATTTGTCAAAGAAGTTTGTTCAGTTACCATCACATGATAACAGGTGGTTTGTAATCTCTTTATTCAAAGAGTTGAACTGGACTTAAACAACCTTCCCATTTCTTGTCTTTCAGTTACTGTGTGATGCTTCCTCCGCAGTTCTAGAATAAACCACTTTGTGTTTGTTGGGACAGAATTGTTTTGTCATACTACAAGAATGCCACATCAGGCTGATACACAATCGTTCTTTTTTTCCCAAGCATGTTTTCGGTGACATTTAAGGTGAATGCTGTGTTTTTATTGATTGGACACATACTCAGAGATGAGGCAGTGAGATCTCAGAGTGTTAAAGAGAGTAGGAGGAACCGTGCAAGTACATCTTGTAATGTGTGCACGTGGGCAGCCGGCCTCTGTGCACCTATTTCTCAATGTTCATCAAGATTGCATAAGTGCACACGCAAAGTGTGCGTGTGTTCGTTACTATGCTCATTCGGGTAGCCGGTACTTTCGTGGGAAAACCGAACGATTCCCACGGCTTTTGTGATCGAGACCAGGCTTTTTCTTTTCGAGTACCGGAGCCTTCGGCAGCACTCTAAAAGTAAATATCAGCTTTTCTCAAATCCCCCCGCGTGTCTGTGTGACTAATCCATCTATCAGACTCTATTAATACTACAACAGTCAGAAGTGTGCTTACAAAAAAAGAAAATCCCTCACCTGTCGTAAGCTCACGCGCACAGGATACACAATGTTCGAGCCCTCCCGCCTAAAGTGAGGGTGCGGCTTGTCCTTGATGACGAACACAATGTCCGCCGGAATGGTATTGGGGGACTCGTCTCCCTCCCGCGGGAACGTGATTTTGGTTCCCTCCTTCCATCCCCGCTTGATCTCGATAGTGAGTATTTTGTCCTCATTGCGCATGGTCCTGCCATCCGGATTCAGCCTTTTGCGAGAGATTTTCAGCTTCTTGGTGCAGCCGTGGAAGACCTCCTCCAGGGTGACCCTCAGTTCGTGGATGATGGCCGGGTCCTGCTTCCGGCGCTGCTGCCCTCCGGGGCCGGCGTGCCCGTCCCGAGGGAACCCGTTCATGTTGAAGTTGGTGAAGGAGCCGAAGGGGTCGTTTCCATCCACCTCCATGTCGTCGTCGTCTCGGCCGTTGGCTTTCCGCCCGAAGAACATCTCGAAGGGGTTGGAACCGCCGAAGAAAGTGGCAAAGGTGGCGTGAGGGTCCCCATGGAAGGTGTAGGTGAAGGCGTTGCCTGGCCCGTCGCCAGAGGGGCCGTTTCCTCCCTTGAGACCTGATGGGTGACGGAGATGAAGATCACGGACATTGACACTTATCAGTCGACGAAGGAAGGACTTCACTTTGACCATCCCATCCCGAGGATATCAGGCCCCAATACCGACCTCCTTTAATACCAACCATGAAATTACCAACCCACTTCAAATACAGTCTGTGGGAGTAACATGTATCAAGAGAACAGTAATCAGCTGATGAAAATGTTTTGCAGTTATTGTGATGTAGATGTGTTAGAGGCCCAACAACAAGCCAATTTAACCAAAATAAAGAGCAGATTATTTGCTTCAAAGAAAATGATGGCTAGTTGGCACAAACTCTCGCTTTTAACAGGTACATTGGCCGTTGGGATATCAAAATCTGTATCATGATGACTCTGCTTGATAAAATATATGATGATTGATAAAACTACTCCCGACTTTTTGGCTTTGGACAATACAGAGAACTGATCCGATACTTAAAAAAAAAAAAAAAAAGTAGTTAGACATGTACTGAATTGTTACTTACAATAATAATGGTATCTGACACCACATGAATCCATTATTACCATTACCTGATCAACATATTCATATTTTGGGGATATTACAGTCAACAACCATCTACGGATGATTAGTCTGTCCAATAGCAATCTAAGCACTTTCACATTATGACCAAAAAAGGGTGTTTCATGGCTTGAAGAAGCATTTAAGGGAGACTTGTACACAATTGCAGGTCCCCAAAAATGTGGCTGCTTTGCACATTGCTCCACAAATATTAACCCTTAACTGATCAGGTTCAGCCCATTACATGAAATAGTGAAAAGGTTATTTTAGTGTACTCCCTTTCATTTTTAATTAATTCATTTTCCCTCTCAAACATGCTCACCACCGATGACCATCTGTTCAGATACTTCATCGTAGGTAAGACATTCTCCAAATAAAGACTTTGATCACAAACAACAAATTACTGTTTCTTCATCACAACACCCATTTTGAAGAATAGCCTGAGGTGGAACTGATGACAGGCCATTCTTATAGCAGAGGCTTATAACTGCAGATATAGTGTCATAGCTAATCCTCATATTAAAATACACAGGACCGCAGGCCTGTGATCTGCTGAACAGCTGTTTCCTGAAACCTGGTCACAGGCCGGCTGTGTTTTACATCCAACCATCCAGGCTTTATAACGCGTTTACTAACGGTATATTCACTGTGAATTACAAAAAAAACGTCACACAAGGTTACGCGATGTAATTCAATGCAAATCGGGAAAAATACAACACATTACCTTCTTCTCCGTACTGATCATAAACTTCTCTTTTCTTCGGATCACTGAGGACTTCATACGCCTCAGCGATGTCCTTAAATCTGTCCTCGGCGGCTGCAGACTTGTTTTTATCGGGGTGCCATTTCAACGCTTGTTTTCTATACGCTTTCTTAATGTCCTCGTCCGTGGCTCCTTTAGAGATGCCCAACGTCTTATAATAATCTTTGCCCATTCTTTCCACGTATGACGATGAAGATTATTTTTTTTAATTAATTAAATAAAGGATGGAGACTGAGAGGAGCCGGGCCGGTGGTCGACGGCAGGTCGTACCGGGAGAGAAGCCTCCGCAGTCTGGACTCAGACACGACGAGAAGCCGGTTGTTAAACAGCGCAGGAGGGAAAAGGCATCGAGAGGCTGTTCTGGACCCTCTGCTCTTTCTCCGGGACTGGATGTCCCTCTTTAAATAGACACAGCTCCCTCCTCCCCTGCATTCACAGCGTCAAGCCCAACGCAGGAAGGGATTGTGGTTCCGGTGTCGGCCGGTTAGTCACATTTAAACCTACACCAACATAGACAAGTACAGGAATAGTATATTTACAAATCTTATTATTTATTTATTTTTTATATAAATTATTTCATATTTAGTTATTCTATGTATGTGTTGTTTTATTTATTGCCTCCTTTTTAAAATTATTTATTTTTGCTCAATTTCAAAATGTCTAAATACATTTTCCCTTCGATTACTCGACGTCTGCCCACGAGCTTGCGGAACCCCTCACAAAGGTGGAGGAGTTCAGGACGATGTGCTCGGCTCGCTTGCGGCCACAGCGCCACCTGCTGCACCAGAGAACGTGGTGTTTCCTCTTTGAGCTGCTGATGAAAGCGCCCATGCAGCATCGCCACTGAACCCCTGCGATGAGTCAGCGTCCCAGCACAGCCGCAGGTTAATAATATCTGGACATCATAAATGCATTTAATCCCGACTTGATGAAGCACGCTGCATTTTCTTTTACGTCTTAATTTTTTTTTTTGCTGGAGCTAATTTGATCCTAAACGCACCATGGATCAGTTCCGTGGTTTGTTTGCTAAACTCGATAAAAACAAGGATGGATTAATATCAATGTCGGAGCTCGAAGATGAAATGAAAAAGCACGGGATCCTGTTAGTGGATAGAAAGGTCCAGGTAACAATCTGGTGTTTTTGTATGTGTTCTAACCTAATTTATTTAGTCAAGCACTAATAACACAAACATGCTGATTTTCTCCTAGAGTATCATCGGTTCTTATGACAAAAACAAAGATGGCCTGTTGGATTATAATGAGTTCCTCAACTACATGATGGACAGAGAGAGGAAGTGGAAAATTCACTTTCATGATCTTGACAAGAATAAGTGTGGTGAGTGGTCACATACTTGAACAATGTTTTATTCCTCTAAGAAAGACAAGAAATTGCAGCAAGCGGTTAAACACAAATGCCATGTAATGCTTTTGCAATGTTTTTAAGCATTATACCTCCTGCTTTGATCCCCTGTAACACACTGTGATCTACTACTGATGATCTTACATGGGCATATTCTTTATAAAACTATGACCGTGAGTTCCGAAAGGACAGACAGAAAGGCAGTCATGCATACACTCTGTTTATTGCACAGATTACACAACAAACACCTGCAGGTTGTGAACTTTGCAGTGGTATCATTGATTCCCAGAAATATGATAACTGAACGAGCAGTACCTGTTTGTAATTTTGTGCATTTCTTCTCTGATCAGGAGTGATTGACCAAGAAGACATCATATGTTTGTTTAAGGAGTTAGGAGTGGTCATTTCAAAGGCGAATGCAAAAACAATTATTCAAATGTAAGCCTCTTTTGCCCACTACCTCATGGATTCATCATTGTATTTAAAGCTAAATTAATTTACTGTATGTCAAATATAAAAACAGTCTTGGGCTTAAATGAGTTCAGAGCAGATTGATTCTTTCTTAACAGGTTTTTATGGGTTGATATGCCATCCCAGTTTACTCTATGTCTGGTTATTGATCTTATCACGTTCCCTGAATTGATATACACCTCATAAACTATAAGTTTGAACATGCCATCAAGCCTGCAGTTGCAAAAGAATAGATGGATTGGGTCTTAGCTGATTACTCCTCTCACAACTGTCATAAAATCAGTTACTCATCACTGTTGAAAAGAGACACTTCCAGAAGGCGTTTAAACCTGAATTATTATGCTTTTTTTTCTAAAGCGGTACTAGCACATTGTCACGCGGCTTCTTTCGTTACAGTATGTGATGAAAACAAAGTGTTTATCCACCAGGATGGATAAGGACAGTTCGATGACGGTGGACTGGGCTGAGTTCCTGCACTATGTCATCCTGAACCCCGTGGACAGCATCGGGGAGCTGGTGTCGTCATGGAAACACAGTCTGGTGGGCTCTGCTGGCGGCCTCGCCAATATGTTACTTCTGGTGATGCTGTGACACATCCACTCAAACACGAGCAGCGACAGAATGATTAAAGGGTGATGAATGCAATTGTAGGTTTTCGATGTGGGTGAAAGTCGTGCGATGCCCATCGAGTTCCCAGAGGAGGCCTCTGGTTTGGGTGCATGGAGGACGTTTGTTCTCGCTGCGGGTCTGGCCGATGCTGTATCCCGAACTGTGACGGCGCCCATCGACCGCCTCAAGACCCAGCTGCAGGTCAGATTTCATCTAAAGGTCTGAGCCCCCCAAAATTATGTATGCTATTCAAAACACAGTGAATTAGAACAACTTGATACGCATTTCAAGTACACTCAGGAACATCTCCCTGCATACATGCTGTTCACTTGAATCATCCGTTCGTGGGACAGTCCCACCACAAATACGTTTATTACTATTTATTTATGCTGTGACATCCCATCAAAGAAACATAGTTTCAATGTTACAGTTTCAGACCAGAAATATGTATGTGTCTGTGAATAGAAGTAGCCTGCTATCAGCTAGCCTACTTTGATTTACATAATTAGCCGTTTCCTGATAGTGGAGAAGCATTCATTTGAATGCATGTGGCCAAAAAATATAAGAAAGAAAATGTGGTTAGTGCTTTTTTTGATAGTTTCTTTAAAGTAGAAAAAGCCCTAAAATCTAGTGATGTTTCTCCGAAGTTGACCAAAGAGGTTTTACAGAAGGATCACAGTTATTACTGTGGGTTGAGTTGGGCTTTAAGTTAGAGATAAAAACCTGATACCTTCTTACTTTTGGAGCATCTGTTCCAGCATGAAAGCGTTTCCTGTGTGCTCTAGGTTCATGGATCCAAAGCCTTCTCCCAAGGCTTTCAGGAAATACGGGCGGGTGGCCTGCGGTCCATGTGGCAAGGCAACGCCGTCAACGTGCTGAAGGGAACGCCACAGTCGACGCTGCAGTGTCTGATCTACGCCCAGGTGAGACATACAGACGGAGAAAAACGCTCCAGTCTAAATGATGAACGCACCAGTATCTTGTTTCCAATTGAAGAGCTCACTCAGAGCTTCTCCGCCTTGTCCAGATGAAGGTGTGCACCCAGAACAGCGCTCAGGAGACTCTGACTGTGCAGCAGCGTTTCGGCCTGGGTTGCGTCTCCGGTGCTGCCGCTCACGCTGCGTTCTATCCTTTAGAGGTACCGGATCAGTGGCTTGATGGTTAAAGATGAAATACAATGTTAAATGTCAGCGTTCCCTGGATCCAGGTATATTCATAAAATATCTTAACATAATGGAAATGGTAAATTACTTCTACATTTTTTTCACTACTTGTTCTTTAGTATTTCCATTTTACAATTCTACTTTATATTTCCTCTTCACTACAAATATTTGATTTTTTGCACCAATACATTTTATTGACACCTGTATTTACTTCACAGATAATCATGATATAATAATATTATATTATTTTATATGAAATAATATGTAATATTATGCTTGAAAAGATTTTTTAAAAAGTTGCCACCACTATCGTGTTGGAAAAATGTCATGAAATGCATAATAAAAAAGTTTTTTAAAAAGTTGTAACATAATAATGAATTTAAGATTTACACTCCCAGTTGTTCCGATCACAAACTCTGATAATGAGAAACTGCAGTATTTAGTTGAGAAACCCTCTCCTTCTAATATCCGTAAAACAACTTCCACTACTTTGCTTTAAAAAAACATAAAGCCCCAGATTTTTATAACAAATCTCCGTACCCGTTGGCGCATTTGACCAAATGCAATACTGAGGCCAAGAGATGCTTCACTCTGAGCAGAAGCCGGCGCCCTGCCTGCTGTTTAACCTCAATCAACATATGAAAAGTTCTCTTTCTTACAAGCGAAATGGGTCATCATGCTTCTTGGCAACTCAATTGTCATGTAAGAATCCGAGTTTGGGTGTGTCCCATTGTCCGTAGTTACATATGAGGTTGTAAAATGGTCACTAGATAGACGTCTGTGTTATTCATTGATTAGCATGCTTGGTGAATTCATCACAATCTAGATGGCAACATTTGACCCCATTAAATCAGAAAGCTTTGTGTCTTAATTTCTTTGTGAAGAAACCTGAGTAAAAGATTAATCTTTGTTTTTTTTTTTACTGTAACTGTGATCACCCAGATGGTGGAAAGTTGGACTATTGTGCCTGAAAAATGAATTTTCTTTAATGTAGCATTGTTCATTAGCGTGTGTTGATGGAGGTTTATTCTAGGAATATCGGCCCTTTTATATCCTCTACAGGTGCTGAAGGTGAGGTTGAATCTGCAGCAAGCTGTCACCTACCATGGCGTTTGGGCCTGTGCTCGATCTATTTACAGACACGAGTCACTGTCTAGCTTTTACAGAGGATTCAAGCCAAGCGTCCTCTGTATGATCCCCTACGCAGGCGTGGAGTGCGCAGTTCATCAGGTCAGACGGAAGAACACCCCACCCCCAAAAGATACAACTCAAGTTTGTCTGAAAGATGTATTTAACTTTTTTGCTTCTGGTTGCAGTCGATCATAAACTGGGCACAGCGTGATCCAGCCTACAACAGTGACTCCAAACTGTTCTTCTTCAGTTTTGTCGCCTTTGCTTCAGGGCAAATTATCAGTTATCCATTGGCAGTTATCAGGACTCAGCAGCAAGCACAGGGTAAACATTTTTTTCCCCACATTTTGAGATAATTTGAAGCAATTTGACCTGTTTTACTCATGGACATTTGTCTTGTTTTGCAGCTTTCAGCTCAGATTCACGTCCAGCTTCGGGTGTGCTAGGCGGACTGGTAGGAATATATGAAAGACGTGGCATTAGAGGATTTTATAATGGAATGGGAGCCAGCTTTGTCAGGGCTATTCCATGCGCTCTGATAAACTACACTCTAACTAGACAATTTGAAAATCTGCTTACCTCAATTTAAGTCTCATCGAAAACTGTGAACTTGTATTAATGGTAACTACAGGCAATAAAATAACTGGAATCCTGGAAAAGTTACTGAAGATATGCAATTGTCATCCGACTTAATCTTAAGTTTT